CTTACATTCACTCCCAATCTTTATTCAATATCTCAAATACTGTAAGGGGGGGGGAATTACAACCGGAAACCCTTATCAGACATCTTTCGCATGCAGTAGATCATGCGTGTACCCATTTTACCCTGCATCCAATCCTTGAAGTTTGTTTGTTTCAAGGGTTTACTACTTTAGATTATTGAACAATGTCGAACGAGAACCCCGTGCAAGCAGAATCGGCTCTGCTCAATCGTCGTCGCCGTCGTAAATCGCTGCCTTCGCGCAATGGGACTGATCCAACCTCGCCTGAAGTTATTTCCTCCCTCATTTCGTCCCTTTCCACCATCTCCGTGCCCCTAAACTCGCACTTTGACACCATCCCAAAGATCGACAACGAATCAGATCCAGGACCGCGGGAAGTACCGCGTACAGCGCCAGTCCATTCCCTTCCTCCGTCCGAGCAGCATGGGTTTGGAATGACTTATGGTAACTACAAGTCAGTAGTTGAGCCACCCGCGCTACCAGAAAACCCATTTCTACACCCCGATGATGCGGCCTCGTCGCCTGTTATTCGCATGGCCAGGGCTTCCCCGTCACCAAAGTCGCCCCGATCACCGAGATTCAAGCCCTTCAAAACGACCGACTCATCCACTCGTCCAGCCTCAAGGGAATCTTATACATCTATGACAGCCCCTGAACTTTCCTCATTCGGAACAATCAGCACGGAGCCTGGCCCCCGCCAATCAACCCCGAGCATTGCTTCGAATAGTTCTGCAGGGCGGAGAAGTCTAAAGGGTACATTCAGTCTATTGAAGAAGTCATCATCACGAGAATTCTTGGAAAAAGATTCACAAGTCGAGCGCTTGCGAAAGACTACTAGCTACAACGACAGTTTACGACACAACACCCCGCGTAACCGAGCAAGCTTGCGCTCATTGCATTCCATGGCGGAAGTTACAGAGGAGGCTCGTCCTGCAGACGTCAAGGAAGAGCCCTGCGAAGAGAAAGCTGCCTGCACTCCACCAACGAAAGATCACCAATCGCTCCACGGTACCCCGGATGCTAGCACTCCCGGCGGAATTGGAAGCGGCAGAATTATTCCAACTCGCGACTCATCTCTGCGACATCGGCACAGCCAATCGTCGGGCTCGAGAAGGCACCGGTCTGCTCGTCATAGTCGATACTCTTCTACGGCTAGCAAAGAGTTCAACACAGAGAATGGGTCACCGGGAACAAGTAATGACGCAGAACAAGTGACCCGCCGGATTCAAGAGCTGAAAGATCAGCAGCAGAAGATCAAAACCGAATTGGAAGTGGAAAACAGCCCTGCATACTCGACTAAAACGAGCCCTGCGAAGCAGTCAAGGGGCTCAAAGGCGTCGCGGGTTCTAGGTTATGATGCCAACGAGGCCATGCAGAATGGACCAGGCCGCGACCACCCATCTTTTAACGAGAGTGCGCCTTCGCCAAACGTGATGACAGGGAAAAGTCGTGCTGGGAGCCGGCCAGGAGCACCACTCACATCAAAGTCTACCCAGTTACCGCCGCAGTTACCCATGTCATCTACAGAAAATCTGGATTCCGACAGAGCTAGATACAAGTCCCTCGAGCCAGTCGCACCAACCGCCCATCGCCGCACCCCATCCGGTCATTTGTCCCATCTGTCAAATGGGCGTCCCTCATACAGCACCGAACGACCATCCAGTGCGGATTCAATTGATCTTGCTGTTGACGACTATATCTTTTCGCCGAAGCTGACACAGAGAGTGACCCACCCAACAACTGGCCGCTCCATTGCCTTCTCTGAAGTCGGTGCTCCTAAGGGCCATGTCGTGATTTGCTGTGTCGGCATGGGACTTACTCGGTACCTGATGGCATTTTATGATGAGTTGGCTCGGACGCTCAATCTACGACTGGTCACATTGGATCGCCCTGGCGTTGGCGAGAGCGGTCCACATCGGGGAGACGAGCCCAGCACCCCTCTCAGCTGGCCCGGTAAGCAAGACTTCCCATAAATTCTAATCCCGTCCTAATGAGTAATAGATGATGTTGCAATTGTTTGCAACCACCTCCGAGTGACAAAATTTTCCATCCTTGCCCATTCTGCTGGCGCAATCTACGCTCTTGCAACGGCTCTCCGAATTCCACAGCATATCCGTGGCCGCATTCATCTCTTAGCCCCATGGATTCCTCCATCCCAGTTGTCTACCATCGGTTCTCAGAAAGATCCTGCGCCCACCAACGCAGTCCCTTACTCCCAAAAGATTCTGCGTGCTCTTCCAACATCCCTTCTCAAGGTGGCCAATTCAAGCTTTATGAGTGCCACTAGCGCCAGCATTACCACCAGTCTACCCAAGTCCCCCCGACGGGTCAAGCGCAAGGCTGCTGCCAAAGAAGCTGCCAACGCGAACGCCATCCCTCCGATACCACCTATTCCTTCCGTTGAAAACAATCAACAGACCCAACGAGTGGACATTGTACCAAATATCAAACCGTCCGCATCGACTACTGCTTCGTACAGAGAGAGTGACACCACTCTCGGGTCTCATATGAAGTCTCTAGAAGACGAGGTCGAACGGCAGCGCGACTATGATACTCGTCTCACCTACAAGATCTGGGAGTTGGCTACCACCAATGCCAACCCAGCGGTTGATTTGCTGATATGTCTCGAGCGTCGCCAAACAATTGGGTTCCGCTACGTGGACATCACGCGATCAGTGGTGATGCACCATGGTAGCAAAGATCCACGCGTTCCGGTGGAGAATGTCCAGTGGCTTGGCAAGACAATGCGCCGCTGCGAGGTCAGGATCCTCGAAGGCGAAGGCCATGGCCTTATGGCATCTGCTGGTGTCATGGGCAGTGTCTTGACTGAGATTGCCAAGGAATGGGAGGACTGGACGATCCTTGTCCAAGGCAAACGCCGAGCCACTACCAGCCATGCTACACGGCCTGGGCTCTCGATTCACACTTGATCTCCTCAGTCTACAGATCTCCCCCTTTATCTGATGTCTTTGACACAACACTACACTTTCAGCCCTGGTGGCTCGTCTTTCACTAATTACCATCACTCTCATTTTAACAGGCTGGGCGGCAGCTGGTCTGCGGTTCCCACTGTTCCTACACCTTGAACTTCAATATCCTATCACTCATCCTTACCATTTTCTTACCCCGTCTACACACATCTACTGGTGCTAGGTTCATGCCCTCTCTATGATTTACTGTTGACATGGGTTTTGCCTTTGAACTAAAGAACCCGTCTGATTTAGCATAATACCCAGTCATGTCATATCCTAATTAATATTGATAATTCATCTTGATTCCTAGTAAAAAAGTTAAAAGTAAGACATGTCAAACAAGCATAGATTATCTACATCATAGTTCTGCCAAGCATCAGCGCTCAGATAGGGCCACAAATCAGGGATGACATGCCCTTGGCCCCTTGACCCCACTTCTCCTGACCTGTTTGGAGGTTTCGATCTTTTTATTGTTAGGTTTGTTAGTTTTGGAACAACTAGGAATAAAGGCGCAAGTGTCGAATAGCCTAAACTGTTAAATTCTGCCGGGAACGGAGGAATTCTTGGCTTCTGGAACCCCCGACGTCACGTTGTCTACTCCGTAGCGCGAAGTCACTCACGGACCTGACGACTGGAATATTTTGATTCAGCTTTTTTGATCCGACAAGCCACACGGCTACAAGCACAATTCCTCATGCCTTCCCAACGGCGGCTTCGACTGATTGTCGTTGCGGTCATTGTGCTTCTTTTCATGGTCTTTTACTACACTGTACGTCCCCAGATCTCCCTCTTTCGCACTGCTTCTTCAGATATCTAATACAAACCAATCTAATCTACAGGGCGATGCAAGCAAAATCCAAAATCAAAAGTTCTACCGATCAACCCTCGAAGCAATGAAAGCGAAGGAGCAAGCCAAACAGGCCAAGGCCCAAGAGAAAATCCAGAATGCCGTACATGCGTCCGGACAGAATGGCGGTGCCGGCCCCGGTGCCGGTGACAAGGTGCCCGTCGCTGAGGTCGAAAAAGCTGTTGTTCCTCCTACAGGGAATGAAGATACGGAGGAAATACCGATTGCGGGACGGACGAAGATGACCGTTCCTAAGAAGGCCAACGAGGATACGTCGTCAGAGCTTCAGTCAGAGATTAAGAGCGAGGAGGAGAAGGAGCGCGAGGAAAAAGCGAATAGAGAGCGCGAAGAGAAAGAGAGAAAAGAGGCCGAGGCGACAACAGAGCTTAATGCGATCCTTAAGCGGGCACCAGGTATGTTCCCCCCGTTTTGGATCTTGCCTGTATCCAATAATAACGGCAGCTAGTCATCGTATTCTCCAAAAGCTACTGCCCATATAGCAGGAAAGCCAAAGTGATCTTGCTCGAGCACTACTCCATCGAGCCGAAACCTTTCGTGGTCGAATTGGACCAGCACCCACTCGGGCCGTATCTGCAGGCCCTGCTCGCAAAAAGCACGGGACGTCGCACTGTGCCCAATGTGCTTGTGAGCGGAAAGAGTATAGGTGGTGGAGACGATATTGCGGCATTGGATCAGAGCGACGAGCTGGCTTCGACGTTGCGACAAATGGGTGGGAAATGGATCGTGGATGTGTCGCACCAGGTGGTTGAGAAATCACTGTGAGGTTAGTGTTGTAAAACAAGATCTAATAGCCACAGCCTATAGCCCTGGCAGAGAGTTGGGGGTGAATATGGTCGTTGTAGCTCATTTAATTGTACATAGTAGCGAACTTGCTCAGGAACTCCAGGCGTCAGCTTTAATATTAGCACATGTACCTCTACTTGTCAATCACTTAATTAAAAGCAGTGGAGTAAGTACTGGTACAAGCCGCGATAAGATGATAAGCTGATAAGGAACCCTAATTGCGCTAGACCCAAAATGGCTCTAAGCGACGCACAATCCCGTGACATCCAATTTCGCTCCACCACCAAGTCCATTCGAATTTTGAACCTCCCCGACATCGACAATCTACACCCCCGGCAACCACCAAAAGTCACGTCAAGATGCGGTACATTCACTCCGAGGAACGGCTGCCCATTCTGGACAATGGTGAGCGAATTTCTTTTTTTATTGAGGGAGGAAGCCGGTCGCACACAATACAACTTCTATTTCGGGTACCAAAATCAACAGCCTAGCACGACACACGATCAATATCAAGCACCAATACAACAGAAACAGGAGGAAATATTGTGTGGGATCGGCGACACTCGCACACCTATCAGTCAATTCATGATTTTTGATTCAAAATGTCGAATTTCACAAAAAGAAATACCATCAACTAACCCGAAACTTTTTTTGCTTTATAGTGAAGGTCCACATTAAGTCCCGCGTCGTGACTGTCGAGGGTCCCCGTGGCAAGCTGGTCAAGGATCTCTCCCACATTGCCGTCACCTTCGGCCGCCCCGAGCAGAACGTTATCTCCATCGAGCTGCACCACGGTGCCCGCAAGGGTGTTGCTACCCTCCGTACCGTCCGCACCATCATTAACAACTTGATGATCGGCGTTACCCGTGGCTTCAAGTACAAGATGCGTTACGTCTACGCCCATTTCCCCATCAATGTCAACATTGAGCCCAACCCAGAGACTGGTCGCGCTATTGTGGAGATCCGGTATGGAAGCCCTGGAAACTACAGTTTTTTACGATATGATTTTCGCAATCATGCCGTGAAGATCAATTGTGATGGAACTAGAACTAACGTTTTTGCTATCAGTAACTTCCTCGGTGAGAAGTACGTTCGCCGCATTGTCGCCCAGCCCGATGTCGATATCGCTCCCTCCGCCAACGTCAAGGATGAGCTTATCCTCACCGGTAACTCCCTCGAGGGTGTGTCCCAGTCCGCTGCCGACATCCAGCAGATCTGCCGTGTCCGCAACAAGGATATCCGTAAGGTGAGTTACATGAAAACAATTACCTTTTGTCAAGGAGGACCAATATCCCAGAATTTATACTAACAATCACCAGTTCTTGGATGGTCTTTACGTGTCGGAGAAGGGCAACATCATTGAAGAGTAAATGTGCCGCTTGGGAATGTATGGGGTGTCCGGGAGAGGTTTCTTTAATTTCGCCTACTTGCATATAGGGAAGCAAAGCGAAATGTCAAAAACAAAACGACCCTTTTGAAATTCACTGATTCCCTTACGCGAAAACGTCTGTATGTGGCATGTAGAAATGTGCGCCCGTGGCAATTCCATTACTTCATGACTTTAATACTATACAAGTATTGAGTACTAGAGAGAGATGCATTTCTCGTGGGGCAGTGTGTAGTTGAAGATGAAGATGAAGATCCGGGGGAATCTGGATCGATCTGGTACTTCCAACTCTTCAACCCTCCACCCTCCAACCTCCAAGATAATTCTTTCAGACTAGTTGAGGCTAATCCATCTCCTTAACACAAATATTTTCAAATAAATTTCATACTCAATCTACTCTTAATCCAATACCGCTATCTCGATCTCAATCTGCAATCCTCTGGCGCAAATCGCGTGACGTTATACGTAGCATGTGAAAGCCAAACCGGGCCCGCATGTGCAACTCTCCCTCCACCAGCCACGACGCAGACATATCCCTTGAGTAAAAAAATAGGGACCTGGTGGCTCGGAATACGGGAGATTGTTGGTGCGATCTGGAATATGATGCTCGATGTTGCTCAGTTCTGGAGAGGTGTGAGTATTATGCTCCAATCACAGCCCAAGTGTCTTGTATGTGGGGAGAGGTCTGAGGCCGAGATGGCGAAGACAAAAGACACACAAGACATAACACCGGGTGTAGTTTTTAGTCTGATCTTGAGCTAATACATATTTTCTAGAAACTATTATCATGGTGGCATTCCAAATCCCCTCGAGACCAACTATTCCATACGCTAGCCAACGCGGAGAGCTATGAGGAGTGGGAACAGGCGGCATTTGAGCTTGATGAGCTACAAAGTAAAGATTTATGGTATGAAATCAAACCAAATGAGTTGAATCCAGCTCAAAATTTCCATGTACAAACCTACCATCTAACCACCTACGCAGGCGCCAAAACCCTGTCAGCCGACACTACGACTACCGACTAATCCTCGGCCGACTCGAAGCACTAATGAGCGCGCGCGAGTCAGAAGATATCCTAACACTGGTAAACCTGCTCCGATCAGGGCTAGTACGCAATCTGGGCAACATAACCAGCACGAAGCTATTCACGCACGCGTACGCAGGAACCAAGCTTCTAATCGATGACTACATCACGCAAGTAGCGTTGTCAATCCAGTATGTGGCGTCCTTTCCAGGGGCACCGATGCACCCGAGCGGGTTCGGCTCGCAAGCGAAGCTGGAGCTGCTGCACGATACGCGGCAGGCTTTTGGGCGGACGACGCTTCTGCTGCAGGGCGGGTCTGCATTCGGGCTGTGTCATCTTGGTGTTGTGAAGGCGCTGCATTTGCAGGGTTTACTGCCGCGGATTATCACGGGCACTGCGACTGGGGCGATGATCGCTGCGCTTGTGGGGATTCATTCTGAGGATGAGTTGCTGCCGTTGCTTGATGGGGAGGGAATTGATCTTTCTGCTTTTGAGAAGCGGAAGATGGTTAATGGTGGAAAAGGGGGGAATTCTAATTCGAGTTGGGTTGGGACGTTCTATCGGAGGATGAGGAGGTTGCTAAAGAAAGGGTATCTGTTTGATGTGGGTGTTTTGGAGGAATGTGTTCGGGCTAATGTTGGGGATCTTACGTTTGAAGAAGCGTATGCGAGGTCGAAGCGCATTTTGAATATTACTGTTGCAACGACAGGGAAGAATGGGACACCGAACTTGTTGAATTACTTGACTGCGCCGAATGTGGTATGTATTTCTCCCTTCTCCTTGCCAGTGTCTGTGATAACTAACACAATTTCCAGCTCATCTGGTCTGCAGCTGTAGCATCCAACGCCTCTTCCTCCTCAGGCCTCTACTCACCCGTGACAATCTACTGCAAAGATGAAACAGGCGCAATAATCCCATGGCCACACACACAAGACGCAATCTTCCGACCCTGGCGACACGTCCATTATAACGAAGGCGAATCGCCCCTCTCACGAATCTCGGAGCTCTTCAACGTAAACCATTTCATCGTCTCCCAAGCCCGACCATACCTTGTTCCATTCCTGCGGTCAGAACTGAATCTCCTAGACCGACGCCAAACAGGCTGGAACAACCTCTCCCGCTCTGCTATGCGACTAATAATCGTCGAACTGCGCCACCGACTCCGCCAACTCGACTATCTAGGACTGCTACCGGCCGCAATGAGCAGAATCCTCATCGATGAGACAATACCCGGGCCGAACCTCACCCTTGTTCCGGACTTGTGTTTCTGGGATCTGAGGAAATTGTTTCAGAGTCCGACGAAAGACCGCGTCTCTGAGTGGGCGCTCAAGGGTGAGAGGGGAGTTTGGCCGGCGATTAGTGCACTGAAAGTTCGGGAAGCGATTGAGATTGAGCTTGATAGGGGTTACCAGCTTGTTAGGCGGCGTAGACCGAGTGATGCTTCGCTTTCGGTACCTGTGCCTAAGCAGGTCAATGCTATGAATGAGGGGATTCCTAGGCGCAGGAAGGGTGGGAGTGAGAATGAAGAGGGGATTCTGGCTGATCGGGAGTGATGGGGGCATAGTGTTATGTTATATAGTTGCTAGAAGTAATGCTTTCCTTGCAAATGGACGGTGTACTTTGTACTTGGGTGTTTTGACTTGGATCAATCAAATGTTGACTCGTCAGTTGAGCATATCGACCTTTGAAGAATCTCTGTCTGCTAAGGTCCTATTTATCATATCTCCTACAGAAGACATCATTGGCTGTTGATCCAAGCTCTTTCCTCCAAGAAGGTTTTAATGCTAATTGACAGGAAAAGCCTTCAAGTTATGGCAACTTGACCGCTTGACAGCCAACATTCAACAGCTGCAGATCCTGGAGATGAACAAGGCCTTCGAAAAGATATCAATGGCAGCTTTGGTTTTGCCGGCATGTTAGTCGTGTGTCGAATGAACGGTCAATTATATCAGCGAATGCTGGAAGCTCGTTACCATCCTTCCACGATTGTCAACCTAGCGGACCTCACAAATATCATTCAAATACTCTCTTCAGCCTACCGTCCTCTATATACAGCGGACTTGACGCAAGCATATCACTAATTACCAAAACACACACATGTGAAATGACCCCGATTGAATAGCTACGACCGGATTTCCAAAAGCCCTCATCCAGACGCGATTGCAGAGTCCGTCCTGGCTGAGGCAAGAGTGTGCGAACTGTTACTGCAACAACCACATCCTAATATTGTTATCTACCATGCCTGCCAGGTGTCAGGCGACATAATTACAGGACTTTGCTTCGCGAAGTACTCGCAAACGGTGATAAAAGAGATTAATCCTGGTGCATTGACGAAGAGACAGGCGAGAAGCACATGCAACCCAAGGAAAGACTACAGTGTTGTTATAACGGGTTTTTGAGAGTGGCATTCGGTATCTTCATCCTTTAGAGTGGGTTTATAATGATATTAATCCTAGTACTATCATGTTTGATGGTGATGAGCTAGTGGCTGTTGATTTTGGTTGTTGTCGGCCTATTGGGGAGAGTACAGAGGGGTTTGGCGGAACTTATGAATAGTATTATGAGAAGATACAGCTGTCTCTTCCTGAGAATGACTTGAATGCCTTGGAGGAAACCTGGACTTGGCTTGGGGATGACTCGCGGGCTTTTTAGTTTGGGGTCTAGTATTGTCTGAGATTATCACAGGCATTTATTGTGTTTGAATAAATAAGATAAACTAACTAGTTTGGCAAAGCTCTTCTGCAACTGCTTATTTAGGGAGCCTCCAATTGTTTAGAAGATTGTTTCGGGTCCAGGTAAAATTGTTAAAAAATGATGTATAAATAACCTCCGTATATAAAATCAACAATTTCACTATCTAAGCCAAGAAAACCTACCGTTCTACATCTCCAACCCATCCCGTGCCTTTCCCGGTGTCAAAAACATGACACGACTTTGTCTCGCCAGATATTGCAGTAACACTGAAAGTTAGAGTCCACCTTTCGTCCTGGGTATTGAACCTGGATTGGTGGACGGGGCCATTCTTCTCGGACCTAGTGCTCAAGTTAGAAACCAGACAAGACGCCAACTCGAATCAAAGATAGGCTTACATTAATTTAGCCCTTGCAATTGGTCCAAATCTCTAGACTCAATTCATCAGCAAAGCCGGTTCAAGAATCACATTTACCCAACAATGTCTGAAACAGTACCCCTGGGGTATGAGGAGAGGGGGCAATGCTTGATATGTACCTGTTCAGCTCCCCCGCCTGGCGCAAAAAACCTATTGACAGCGGCAAACCAACGCTTTTCTAGTTTATTTATATCGTAGCCTGTAAACTCGATATTGATCGCTGCTGTTTTGGCACACGCTTGCTTACCCCGATTGACAAGGTTCCAACCGTCTTCCATCGTACTAAAGTCTGCTTCAGTACAGGCCTCAAGTAAAGTTGATAATACAGGATGACTGGTAATTCTGGTTTTGTTTGATAATTAAGCCCTCCAACTACGGGAAGGTGCTTGTATTTTTATCGCTTCTCCAGTCGGAGATCTCCCTCCATTGAATATCGTGAACAGAATAATATTGTATCATCCTGGGACAACACAAAACTTGGATCAACAAGCATGATTGATTTCTAGGGGAAGAATGATCATTGTTCACATGTCTTAATGTAATTTCTCTAACTGTATGGCTTATTCAATGAAGCATCTGGCCAATTGGACAATAGATAGGGAATATTGAGTTACAGTGCCATTATATTCACGTTGTGGCAGGCAATTTCAGATGAGTAAGTGTCTTGATTAGCCCTCTGAATAAGTTATAGTCTAAAAAACAGAAGTAAAGTAAGTAAGGCAGCAAAACCAATCTTACAGTTCTGGGGGTCAGACATATGGCGAGTGATTTTCTTTTGACACTGTCTTTCAAATTTGTTGCCCCGGAACTAAAGAGAAAAGACAGGAGATATTGAGCTTCTATGAAACACCTATCCAAGTTATATATAGATACCGGAGGAGATGAAAGACTGGACAAAGCGGATCCTATGAAACAGCATGCTCTCCAGCCCTGTCTTTGCTGAAACAGAGTTTCTATTTTATTCTAACAAGCCAAGAAAATGTTGATCGAAGCTGAAAGTTCTAAATAGTTCACATGCACCGCTTCGTGTCTTAGATGAAAAGATGAAAGAAATATGAGTGCCACCCAGATGCTGATTGGGATCCATTAGGATTATTAGTCATGATAGCCCTAACTACCTAGGTAACCTTGTTGCCTTTCTTTGTTAGGCATTTTGACATAATAAGAACTGCTCATACTATTCTTTCTCTAATCTTGAACAGATTTGCAAACCATGGCATCTATTTGGGAAAGGCTGAAGAGACTCTTCGGCAAGAAGCTGAGGAGCCTCTTCCGAAGGTCTCTCGAGTTTCCCGTCTCTTTCCCAACAACTGGCTGGGAAATTCTTCCCGCTGATAAAAAGCTGGAGGAAGAACAGATGCCAAGGTATTTGGAGGATACCTGCTATTGCCATTTCATTATGGGCGACATTTTGCTCTCCCGGTATCAAATTGTTGGTAAACTCGGATGGGGAACTACATCCGTTGTTTGGTTGGTTCGAGATCTCGAGTGAGCTAATACTTTCTTGCCCACCTGAAATGCATCTATTCAAGCACTAATTAGAACAGAAGGAATGACTATATGGCATTAAAGGTTTTTGCGCTCGATGTGCTTGGTAGCGAAGAATCTGCATACTACGATCGCATTGAGCAGGGAAATCAACAGCACCTGGGATCGGACAGAGTGAGGACGAAGATTGGCGAGTTGAAAATTCCTCGAAATGATGGATGGAAGCACTTGGGCCTTCTACAAACGCCTCTGGGGGAGAGTTTGCTAGATATCCAGAACCGTTCGGCCGATGAGCGTTTGGATAAGCCCACTATCAAGTCGACAATATATCAGATGTTGCTAGCGTTGGACTATCTGCACACAGAATGCAAGTTTATTCATGGGGGTATGAGATGGTCCTGACCTGGAGGTTTAATAAAGATCACTAATTCCTTTGATAGATATCAAGGGAGACAACATCTTTCAAGAGATTGGGGACAAAACTAGGCTTGAAAGATACGTTCAGGCTGAGATTGAGAACCCTACACCACGGAAGATTGTGGTCAGACATCCTGTCTATCGTTCTAGGCCACTTGAGCCAGCATCCCAGTTGGGTAAACTTCAGCTTGGAGATTTCGGCTCTGCCGAGCCAGGAGACGTCCCACGCAACGGTCAACCTCTCCAGCCCAATTTCTATCGAGCACCCGAAGTGATGCTGAAAAAGGAATGGAACTATCCAGTTGATATTTAGAACTTGGGCGTTTGGGTAGGTTGTACTTAACTGTTTAGAATGACTGCTTATTCTAATTTGCTTTCGATTAGGCATGGCGTGCATTCGAGGGCAGTCCACTGTTCACCTGCAGAAAAGACGGTGGAGCTTACTCCACCTCTGTACATCTTGCGCAAATAACCGGGTTGCTGGGACCACCACCTCCTGATTTCATAGAGCCTGACACTGTCAGTGCCAAGTATTTTGATCAAGACGGTAGGTGGAACCCCTTCCTATGATTGCTTGACATCCGTTAACTCTCAATCACAGGGAATTGGATATCTGAGGACTGTGAGGTTAATACGACCAGTTTTGAAGATTTGGAGAATCATCTTGAAGGGGAAGATAAGGAGATGTTCTTGGACTTGATGAAGGGAATAATTACATGGCGACCAGAAGATCGAAAGACCCCAAAGGAGTTGATCGAACATCCATGGCTTCAAGGTGTTTTTTGGCCACCTGGTTTGTACAAACCAACTGAGTAGTCTCTCCAGACATCTTGCTAGTTAGGTTTTCTGATTGTTTCTTTCTTTTTCTCTCTTACGAAATATATGTCTGAGTATTCATACACTCGGTGGTTGCTTACTTTGTTTGCATTCAACCTTTGCCTGAAAGATCATCAGCCATCGATGCATACATAGTATATGGATATATATATTTTTCTTCAATAAAACCCTCTTTCTTCTCTATTTCCCTCTGATATATACGGAGCATGTATATCTATATCTCACTAATACTACGGAATACAAAAACTACTGCAAAACAAAAGAGCGGTGAAAATAACGGCGAGGCAGTATCCAATGACAGAGTTAAGTTCCGGTGGCATATTTAGTCGCCCGTAAGTGGGTCTCTTCGTTCCTCCGATCCTCCTCTCTCCATATCCTCATCTGAACATTTAACAACCCTCTTTTCTCTTCGATGGCCACCGGTAACTCACCAGATTACAAAAAGTTCTTCCTCGAGGCGCAAGAACGCAGCCGTCGAACAACTCTCGTGGAGTTTATGCGATATTGCCATGACTTGTTATCGCGACCGTTGGGAGTTGCATCACCATCTCGCTCTACCCCCTCCTGTCGGAAAGTATTGCCCCTCACAACTGAAACCATGGCTTGAATGTTCAGCTCAGCAGCAAGAAATTTACACTTCTGTGTACAACTATTTGCATCCAACCGAGGATGCCAAAGTGCAATTATTCACCCCGTTGCTTGTGATTGAAGAGGACGCAAGACGATTCGGGTATCCAGCAATGAACAGCGAGCAAGATCTCGCGCACTACGAGCGAGTCGCCGTGGAAAGCCAAGTTCGCGATATTATTGAGCAATTATGTAAAATCGACGCTGCTCGAGAGGAGTTTAGACTTGGAGATGGGATTATATTTGAGAATCATGCAAATTCACTCGATGCGGATAATGGCAACGAAACGAGTGCAATTCAACCATCGAAGATAGAACGCCCAAAAGCCGATTCGTTTTTTATCCATCGAGTCGATGGTAACACTCGCGCCCTCATCGCTACAGTCGAATACAAGCCGCCTCATAAGCTTTCCGTGGAAGCTCTTCGTCTAGGGCTCAGAGAGATGTATCTGTACAAAGATATCGTCAGATCAAACAAAATTCCCACGGACGAGGAAACAAAGTTAAGGTACGATGCAGAACGCCTCGTTTGCTCCGCTATTGTTCAGGAATATCATGTGATGATCCAGGAGGGCCTCGAGTACTCCTATGTGACCACTGGGATTGCCCGTGTTCTTCTCCGTGTGCCCCTTGATGGCCCTAGCACCCTTTACTATCACCTTTGTGATCCCAATTTAGAAGTGGACCTAGAAGCTGAGAATAGGTTCCAAAAACCAAAGACTTCTACCGCCAGAGTGCTATGTCTGTGCTTAATGGCATTCCGTTCACCTATACGTGACCATGAATGGAGAAATCGTGTCCGCCAAAATCTTAAAATCTGGGACTCTAGCTTTAGCCGTACCCGCCCCCAGGAATCACAGGCTCATCCCAACTCCGATAATACATATCTAGAGTATACGAGTCTAGAGTCTGGTTCTGCTTATGAACCCCCCTCATCTCCGCCGGTATCCCCGCCGTCGGCCCCAGAAGGGGGCCGTCGAGTGCCTGTCAGATCCGGAGGAACCTGTGCGCCTACGAATGACCGACACCGCAAGCAGTCGCCAGACTCGTCAGGCTCCGACTCAAACCAAGCAATGGGACGTAAACGGGGCTTCAGCCAAGTCACATCTTCCCTATCCACCCAACGAGCGGCTCGTCAGGAAGACGCTAGGAGATATCAGGACAGTCAGTCCCGACGTGATGCGCAATTCTGCACCCAGCGGTGTCTTCTCGGGCTACAGACCGGAGATAACCTCGATAACAACTGTCCGAACGTAAAGCTTCACCGTCGGAACCCAGATGATCTTAAACACCCCATCACCTCTAAGGACTTAGTACGTTTACTAAACGCACAACTAGACGAAAATATCGACCGATGTATACCGTTCGGACGTTGTGGGTCATACGGTGCGCCTTTCAAACTGACTTGCATCGTACATGGCTACACAGTAGTCGGAAAAGGAACCACGTCGAACCTATGGAAACAAGTCTCTAGCGAAGCACAAGTATATCGAATCTTACGGAAAGCCCAAGGCTCAGCGGTACCTGTTTTCCTCGGTACAATTGATTTGGCCAAAATCTATTTTCTGCACGGGGCTGGAGAGATTCGCCATATGTTAGTCATGGGCTGGGGAGGAGAGAATACCGCGGAGATGAAGATGGAGCCATGGCTAAGCCAGGAAATTAAGAGGTCGACGAAGGAAATCAACGCATTAGGCGTTTTTCATGACGATCTCCGATATGACAATATTCTTTGGAATAAGGAGCTTGGACGAGCGTTGATTATCGACTTTCACCGCGCTACTTTGAATACCCGCTCCCTGAAGCGATCACGACCAGAGAAGAGGAGGTTGTCAAGACCAGAGTTGGGAGGCGCAAAGCGTTTACGTCCCTTGAAAGAGGAAGACTGATTTTTATTTGCATAGATACCCATTTGATTTGGCGGTTTTTTACATGGCGAGCGCGAAAGGCTATATCTGGAAGATTAGATATGTGGGGGCCACGTTCGACTTACGGAAGCCCGCATGGTCATACAAGCCTGATACCATAGAGCAACTAGGATTCAAGGCCATCCATGAGTGGCATTATTGGCAAATGAAGGACGATTTTGAAGTAAACTTTTGCTAGAGAGATATAGACAACACAAAAAAAGTAGAGATTTCGATATAGGTATGTACTTATGGTCTGTGTTGTCTCGGGACGGTCCGCTCGCTGTGGACCCGATGTCTCTGAAATTGGGGCTTTATCTCGCTGGCCTTCCCACACAAAATCCAACACCTAGGGTTCCAACACCCTAGGCCTTAAAACGTATTTAGCCAGAAAGTTCCTCCACCTGCGTCACATCTTCAACAAACGTAGCGTTATACTCTTTCATCATCTGTATCTTCTCCTCCATATTCATCGCTAAACTTATTCTCCCAAAATTTCTTGGCAGTTCCTGGGTACTCGTAAACCTCAACACCCACACACCCACTCCATCCGTCGGCCAACCAAACACCAGCACCTTTTCTTCTTCCTCCGTAAAATCCCTCATACCTATCATCGCCCCGAGCCAATCCTCCTGACTCCGCCACAACTTTGCACCAGTCCGTCGCATAAGATCACAGAAGCTGTCTTCTTCGTCCGCACTGGATGAGCGCTGCGATGCATGAGAGCGGGGAAGCGATAGGAAAAGCATATCGAGAAGGCTAGCCTCTTTTATAAGAACCCCGCCAGTGGAGGGATAGCCGTAGACAACGCATCCTCCGGTGTCGAACTCGGTCCGTTCAGTCCTCGATATACGAGGGAGTTTAGTGCATGAGAAGTGCTGTGTATCGTCTATTACTGTTTGTTGATGAACAGTGGGGGAAAACTTGATAGGAAGGAAGCCGCCAATGGTTTGTTGGTAGAGAGTCGATAAGAAGGTAAAGCTGATGGCGACGAGCATGCTGCTAAACCTCATGTTTCAATAAGGCTACAAGCAGGAAAAGACCAATGTTGGGTAATTGATAGGAGCCTTGACATATACAAGTATTGTTCTGTCGAGGTCTACCTAGTAACCTACCGCTGAACGATGTCAGCTGTTAGCGTAGGCCTATCCAATCGGAGTTATGAACGCCGTAGGAGGCTCTAGTCGTGGGGCTAGTCGGATTGGGAGGAATCTAAGACGAGTTAGGATGGGGAATGGTGGATATTGCGATTTGGCGCTAAGAGTTGCTGATTGGATAGGAGGATTAGACGGGTAAATAGTTGAATTCACTATTAGACAGAGAAGCCTAAAATATCTCATTTCCGCTGTTTTCACTATTGCAAGCGATGTAACCTGTCTGGGGCCATATATTATATCCTTCCTTTTGTTGCATTTCATCCGAATTTCACTCTATACAGCCTGTCAACATGGTTCGCCTTGCTCTTACAATCTTCTTGCTGCCATGCTACACTTTAGCTGCGCCACCTGCTGATTTTCCAGGCGACGAGACTCCTTACCGAGTGACTCCAACTGGCACTGTATCACCTGATTATTTTTTTGGAACGTTCCTCTATAAATATCTTGACTGCAACAAAAACTTCGGCCCGGGAGCTAAGGACAAAATTGACGAGGCCTATCATGATGCATGGCTGATATCCAAGTAAGTCAATCTCTCGTAATCATCGTGTGCTCTTACCCCACCTTTCATACCAATCCTGATTCTTGCAAGATCATCTGGAGAAAAGATAGACTGACTCCGTCATCGTGCTCTCCAGCACTGCAGGAGTGGCGTCAGGCATCAATTGGAACAGCGCAGCTGCAATGGAGTTTCTGGGTCCCTCAGGGCTGAACCAAGCGCAGCAACCTCAAATACAGGCGGTCTTCGCAAATACGGCAACGGTCATCAATGGCCACAAAAGTCCTTTCCAGCATTTTATCAAGATTCGATGTGATGATCCAGAAAAGTTATGCCAAAACCAGCCCGATCAAGATCCGTATCAACCTAAGTACGTACTGCCACCCTATCTTTCTGTTGATCCGGGATAAGTATAAAGTGACTTTACTGATACATTCCAGCCCATTAAACTCAGGCGATCCGCCAAAGCCAACACCACTTTCATATTCGAGGAACTCTGACCCAGATAATCCCGATACTCCGATGATCAATTTTTGCGGCGGCTTTTTTGCTCGCAGAAGTCTGGCAGATGCAATCACATACGGAATGGCTCTAGCTAGCCCAGACAACTTCAACCTTGCAAACTATGATAATAGAGCACAAGCATTTTTGGTGCGCTAGATCAAAAGCCTCGACTTAAATCTGGTATACTAACCAAAACCGATCAGCATGGGTTATATCATTTAGATCTGGCTGCGAACTCTCCAGACCCTAACCCTCGTGTCTACGATCTCCGGATTGACATCAAATTGGGTGCTCATGGTAGGATCTATACGACTGATGTATACGGTCCCTTCAATTGTAAAGTATTAGCCCGTTGGCTAGGTCGAGATCCAGGATCGCACTTTGTCGGATACTATATCCAGCGAAACTCCGACAGTCTGGTATATTACGCATTTGCTAAGTACTTGATGTCGAAAAATGGCAACGTATATCCTCACCTACCCATTGTTACACCTGGAATCGCCGGACCTTTCTATCCGCCATACCGTCCGGATTCACTCGCCGTATTCGTTACAGAAGGCAGCAACTTCTACTTGAATACTACCGACGATCTTACGATTTGGGATTCCTCCCCTGGTGGAAACTATCCAAGTTGTTCTAGCGATAAAAACGGGAGCGAATCCAGCTCTCCCCTAACTATCGATGGATTTGCTCCAGCTTCCGCCTACCCAGATGACTATAATAGCCAGGTGTCGACTTGGATAGAGGCCCTGCGCTCGACAGATGGGAATTCGAATCTAGGTTGGGGAGGGGACGCCGGCCAGCAGATCGCTATGGCGTCGTAAATTAACCCCCTCGGAGACCCGGCTTCGTAGGAGCGACTCCTTGTATACGACACTGTGAAGATCAGCGTATTGGTTGTTAATGTTTTGAGCTACCTTAGTGTAAGCTAATGGCAATTTACACGAACTGTAAATACCCCGGCGTATATATAGTACTCAATCCTAGCTCGCCAATAGCCCAATATTTCGAAAACACTATAGATACGCTGTGAACGTTCGAGAGTAGTTAGAAGAATTATACAAACTCATTTGTACCTAATGATTGGACGCCAAAGGATCCCTGAAAGATATAGTATGTTATCTATAAAGTACTAGTATAGGATTAGATTGCGAATATTGCTACTCTTACCCAGAGCCGCCAACTAACTAGTTATTTATGGTTACTAGAAATTACTAATAATAACCGACCTAACCCGTTATATACAAAGCGGAAGTCCTGGTCCCACACATATTTGTGCGGCTATTCATCGGCATCAAACAACCTGATGTTGGAATCGGCCGCGGGTGGCCGATTCAGGCAATGGCTTTTACTCCGGCTTTTACAAATACAGTGGCGCTTGGTATGATACAACCACAGCCAATGCAGATTGGTAATTATAAAAAACTGTTTTAATTTGATGCAGCTAAACTAGTCCATCGCGACAATCTATCTTGGGGAGTAAGGGGCCATCTGCCCAATGTTTATCACAATGTCTTTGTTGACTATACTGAAAGAACCAACTGCAATTATGAACTAAATTGTATACATATATTGGCCCTGTTCAGGGCTATACATCAATACATTGTATAGTGGAGTTAGGATATAGATCACAAGCTCTAGGGCGTCCTCAATTAAGAGCATCCGACTCAGGCGGACCCTTATAATCTACTAAATGTCAGCATAAAAAAATCCTCAAAAGCAGTCCAGCCCAGTGCAAAAAACTTACATTTCCTGGCGTAAACCACAAACCAAACCGCAGAGATAGCCATGAACCCAACAAAGACAACCGAAGCATAATTCATCGACACAGCCGTAACCGGCAAAGCAGTCGGCATACTAAAAAGCACCAACTCAAACGCAATCCAAGCCAACGCAACAACATTAACAAACCTGCCAAGAATGCCGCCACAATTCCACGGCGCCTTAGCAACCTCCATACGACCATGCCACAGACTCAAAAAGATGGGAATAGAATAAGCCGCCGCGAGCGCAATAACCCCAACAGAAACAAACGCGGTAAACGCACTCGTACTCCCGAGATTAATCAACCCCAACAACATCTGAATCACCGTCAACAGAACCAACGCCCAAATAGGCACGCCCCAGCGCTTGTCGACGCGTGCCCACACTTTCGCCAGCGGTATGGCGTCATCACGGGCCACGGCCCAGGTAGCGCGCGAAGCAGCGACTGTTATACTAATCGAGCAGAAGATTGTTATAACCAGGACGAGGGAGATGAGACCTAGACCACCGGCGGGGGAACCCATTACGCGAGCCAGGATGTATGGGAGGGCTTGGCCTCCCGGAGCGTTTATGATATCTTGTAGTGGGGGCAGTGTTGCGCAAATGGGGATGATGAAGAATAGACCCGCTATTCCGCCGACAGGGACGGAGAGTGCTATTGCGCGGGGGACTTTAATTGCTGGGTTTGTGCATTCTTCGGCCATGGAGGAGATCATTCCTATTGCGGAGAAGGTGTATGCAGGTGGGAGGAGACCAATGAAGAAGGTGAAGTCACCCCAGCCAGCGAAGGATTTGTCGTAGTGGGATAGGGTGTATGATGGCGAGTGGCGGCCCACGTCTGCTTTGATGGAGATTGCGATTAGAATGATTATTATTGTGAGGACGGTCCATGTTGCGCAGAGGGTGTCGATTAAGGGGAGATGGTTGTTTGCGAAAATGCAGATTGCTAGAGAGGAGAGGCAGACTGCGTAGAAGATTAGGAGGAGTTGCCAGCTGGATGCTGACCAGTCTGGGTGGTAGATTGAGACTGTTGCTGAGACCAGGGAGGCGAAGCCGAAGTTTACGGAGAGGGTTATGGTCCAGTTTCCGATTAGCCAGATCCAGGCGTTGATGAAGGAGAGGGTTGTTCTGTTGCCCTGGGAGATTTGGAAGGTCCAGTAGTAGGGGCCTGCAGAGGTTGGGTAGCGGGAGGCTAGTTCAGCGAGGGAGAAGGCGATGCATTGATCAAAGAGACAGACGACTATCCAGCCAACGAAGATTGAGAGGGGACCGCCGCCGTAGATAGCGGAGAGGAGAGGAGAGCCTTCGCCGTAAGGGATTGCTGCTATAGCAAGGGTTTGGAAGAGGAGGGTTAGGACTGAACGGTTGCGGCGTAGTTCTTGTTTGTAGCCTAGACGGTCTAGTTCGAGGTTCTCGATGGTGCCCTTTTCATGATCCTTAAGAGATAAAGGGGGGACCTCCTTTTCAAGTGCCATGGTGATAGCAGGTGTATGCAGCAGAGTCTCCAGTTGGATAGTGGGGTAAAATGAATAGGCCCTCTAAGCTACAAGCTACTAAGGATAATAGGAGATAGAAGGGAGGATATACAGGGATTATATGAAGTGCCGATTCAATGTGGATATACGGATTAAAAAACAAGCATGATCCATGTATAACACGCCACCAATATAGATATGTAAATAATGCAGCCCGAAAGGGGAAGAATCTCGCATATTGTAATGGCTGATAGGTAAAGATATACGAGTGTTGAGAGTCAAGCCTACTAGAGGATAACATGTACCGATTGGGTGTACCGAGATTTTATAGTATACAAGATAATATATGTATTGTGCTCCTTACTTCCAACAACAATAGAAAATATAGAAAAGAAAGATAAGGGAAACCTTGACGCCAGGCCTAACCCTAAAAAGTAACAATATCCATACGAGGGGACCGCATTTGATCTACAAGATTGGCATCAGATACTGGCATTTGATAGGAGGAATATGGGAGGAATGCATGATTCCACACCAAAAATAAGCCAGGGAGATCAAAATAAAATGAGGTATCAGAAAAATAGTGTAAAAAAAAAAAAAAAACAGAGAAAACCCCCTGAAATCTCCATAAACATCAAACATTATATGTAAACAGTACCATATGTACGAAATACGGGGGGAACCCCTAGATAAGATAATAGAAAAACAAAAAATAAAAAAACAATTACTGTGCCGTCGACGGCCGACCCTGTTGCGACCTGCGCGAGTGCAGACTAAGTCGGTGACCGGTAGACGGGGGACCCTCGGTAGCCAAGAGGGGCGGGATGCTAAATCCATATCCCTCGGTAGCAGCGGTACGATCCTGGGGATCGATCTCAACACGGATGGAAACATCAAGTCCGCCATACATGCCGCTGGCACAAGTGAATCCGTCAGCGGCGCTGTGCGTCGTTCCGGCATCCACTTCGCCCTTGTGCAGAGGTGAGTGGCCGTCCTTAGGGAGATGATCGAGTTTCACGGAAATAGCTTCGAGCACGCCGGTATTACCGGGCCCTGGGGCGACGACCTCGGTGAGGATGGCGTAGTTGCGGGATGGCATGGTGACCTTGTTGAAGGCACCGCTCTTCTCCTTGCCGCCGGGTTGCTTGTCGAAGAAAGGCATGAGGGTCTCGTCACAGTCGTGGTCGAGATGGTGAATTTTGTTTCTGCGGGCGAGGAGGTCGGCGACGGCTTTGGGTGGGGGTTTATTTGTGATAGCGCTGCTGACGACGTTCACGATAAAGCGGTGGTCGTTTTCGCCTGCGAGCTTGAGTTTCGGGTTTGAGTAGAAGCGGCCGATGGCGGCAAGGTGGACGTCGCCACCGAGGATGGTTATGCGCGTGCTGTTGGTGCGGGCAAGCTCTTGCAGGCGTTGGACCAGCATCCTGCGCTCGCGCTTGTGCTGGCGCGCGGTGTAGTGATCGTCCAGGTCGTCGAGAAGATCGACTTGGCCGTCGAATTCGTTGAAGAGACCGCCTGCCACGCCGAAGCGTTTGTTCAGCAGCCGGATCGGCGCAATCAGGGGGGATGTGAGGATATTCTCGAGCCATGCAAGACGCGGGTATGCGATTGGCACACCTAGCAATACCACCAGGTGCTTGATGTCGCCGTTGGCGGCGGCGATCTCGCGCTGCAACCGCTCGAAGATCAGATCGTAGGTGTCCTCGTAGTTGACCTGGTGGCGGGTGCGCTCTGTACGCGCATCTAGACCTACAAAGGCAATACGCTTGCCGAAGCGCATGTAGATACTTCGGCTGCGCTCTTCCACGTACGGACCGGGCCGTTTGCCGATGATCCAGCTATCGTCCTCAACCTGCTTATCTAGAACGTATGTGTTCTCCATTTGACGCGGGTCAACACCAGAAGTTCCATTGACGGCGTGCATAGTCTGCGGTGAATCGGTAGTGAAAGTCGACTTGGGAGGAGCCATGTGGTGCTGGAAGAGACAGTAATACTTAAAAGCAACCCCGCCGATACCGCGGAAGACAGCGCACTTCATGAAGTGATCCGTGTACGATCCGAACCCATCAATGATGTCATGGTCATCCCAGATATTGACCTGGGGGATGCGACCATTGGCAGTGCGGAATGGCTCAGTGTTGTACCAGCGCACATAGTTGGCATAGTAGTAGTCATCGCAATCAGCGCGCATCTTATTATCGAAGTCATGGTTGCGTCTCTTGTGCGGGTTCGAAATGGAAGTCCAAGGCTTGAGTGGGCCATCCACACGAATACCGTCATTGTAGATCTGGTCACCACCGCCAACCATAACGTGGAATGGCTTCTTGCCATGCACACGCATCACATCGTTCCACAGGTTTGGCCCCACCCAGGCATTCATGTCCGTGCCAACGGAGAAACCATTGCACGAGTGGAACATGATGCGCATAGACTGCTCTTCTGCGGGAACAATAAACTCCCACGATCCCGGGACCTGGGCTCCAGACTCGTTATACAGACCGGGAATATCGTACGCCCAGCGCGCTTCGAATGCCGCCACTGGCACAGTTAGGGAGAATCGCCAGAATGCTTTCCCAGGATCCTCGTAGAGCTTGAGGCCTTCAATTGTTTGGCTTGTCTGGGCGCTGATGTCGTTCTGGGCTTCGATATCCACGGCGCCTACCTGGCGCAGGCGCAGCTGGGGCTGTTCCTGGGTTGGCTTTGTTACAATCAAAACACTGCCGTGCCAAGTGGTCGAAGCTTGGTAGTGCATGTTTTTGAGATTGATCAGGGGACCGGAGATGAGCTCAAAACGATCGTTCGAACCGCGGGCGACCTGCTGTCCAGTCTCGCCATCGTGAGGCATCTCTGTAATTATAAACATGCACGGTTAGTTTGCGCGGCTTTCAGACCTAATGCTGGGTTTCCCATACCATAGACGGGCTGGGCACTGTACTCAGCCATAATAAAGGCAATTGATGCGATACAGGGAGTTTGGGGTAAAAAGAGAAACAAGAGCCGGTGGGCTCGAGTCGCACGGGGTTATTAAAACACAATTAAGTGGCAGGAAAAGGAAATTAGGCAGCCTCGAATGCAATAGGGCTACAGGGCTGAGAGGACAAAAAAAAAACCAAGAAACCAAGCGAGATTGGTTGCAGATCTGTACCTTTGGGCCCGCTGCCTTGGCAATTAAAGGAGGTCGCAGCTCAAAACAAAAGACGAACAGCTCTGACGATGCCAAGTCACGCCAAGTCCTTATGTGAATGAGGTGACCAATAGGAGAGAAGTTTATGACAGGCACGACCCGCTCTAGCCACGTAGCGCCACATAGGTCTGTTTGGCTATTCCCGATTTAGACCACAGAGGGTGGCGGTGCACCTCTAGCTTCGGGTTGAGCCGGTTAAGCTGGGGGTTTTCTTTTGATTGTCAAGCATTTTCTTGCTTTAGGCATTTATACATATATGGCGTGACTATAATTATGTAGATATTCATTGTATAAGTCTACATAATGCACTCGATATATATCAGATTCCTCCCGAGGTCCATCGTAAAGACCCCGCTCAACGATCTGCCTATCATAAGCTTGTTATTTACCGATCTACATGTGCAAACCCTACTTATTATGGAACACCTCACTTGAACTTTTTTTTTTTGATTCGAAACTTCGGAATATTAATTTAGATGAACTCGCTGGATCAGAACATCCCCACACAGAGGACCCTGGGGCGATCGAAGGCGGAGCAGAAACAGAGAATAAACATCGCACTCACCAAAACCCGGACCCGCAGCTTGGACCATGACCACCGATCCGAGTGACCAGAAACAACCTTAACACGACGAGATACCTTGTCTTTTTGAATAGTCTCAGGCTCGTCTCGAAGTACGATCATCTTCTGCCCATGGAACAAACCCGAAGCAACAACCTTCTTCAACTGCTTCTGACGATATTGCTCAATAGTGAGTCCGTCACGAACAGCGAACCAAGAGTCCCGCGAGCCAGCCGCAAGCACTTCCCGCAGTTCATCCTGATAAGGCGTATAAGCCTCACGAAGCTCCTCATGATCCTTGGTAATGAGCTCAGCGAAATCATCCACAAACTGCAAGAACTGCACAGTAATAACCATATCCAGGCCAGCCTGGAACGCGCGTGTAATAATACCATAGTGGTGCAGGAGGCCGATCTCCAGGATCTCAACTTGATGCTGCATGGTATGGCGAATGGCTGCTAGGAAACGATCGACGGGAATATCAATAACGAGCTGGCCCTCCCCTTTGGACCAGACCTTCCAGAGGTCCTCGTAGTTCTCGATCGGGGACTTGGGCTCGAAGAAATAAGCCTGCAAGCGGTGTAACTTCAGATCGAAGCCGAGCACCAAGCTGGCGGTGCTGGATTCGTTCTGCGCGTCGGGAATAGGGAGGCTGACGAAGACTACTGTGGAATTTGTCTGGGATATGGCGTTGTCGAGGACTGGCTTGTCGTGTATGGCGACTTGTGTGAAGCCGGTGTTCTTTATGAGGTGGCACTCTTGCTCTCGACGGATCTTGTCGCGGCGGCTTTCGATGTGTGTGAGATAGATGTGGTAGTCGATTACGCTCCAAGGATGGCGCATGTAGCGGTTACCATGTGATGCAAAAAATGTATGACCGGAGGGCTTGAGAGAGTTCGTGGGCTCGGCATTCTCTGGTTGGGGATTCTTGGGCTTGGTGCTTTTGGGTTGGGAATTTTTGGGGGTGTTAAACTTAGTAGACTTGATAGGCTTTGCCCATTTAATGGGATGAATGCGGGCCATCTCGTCGGTGAGCTGGGAAAACAGGGGGCTCTGCATGACTGTTAGAAAGTTGAAGTCTTAATCGGCTTTGGTTGCGCGGGTAATGTATAGTCTTCGGTCGTAGATGCAGGCAAAGGACTTGATTCGGGACTCACGATGCTTGGGAGAATCTACAATGGAAATTAGGTCTGGTGCGAGAAACCTCTCGCAGAGGACAGAGGCAATCTCCTTGACGGAATGATGGACGGCGAAAAGTATGCAAAGGAGAAGGATGAAGCTCTTGAGCTCGAGGCGTGCGGAAAGGATACGAGTGAAGAGCTCGGTGAAGAACTTTGAGCTTTCCTCCTCGTAGATGCAGTAATAAATGATATCGAATAGGTAGTAAGCAACGGCTGCTTGAGCCACCTGGATGGTACAATGCACGATCACGAAAGTTATGGTTCCAAAGCACAGGATGATGCTGAAGCACACGAGAAACAAGATCCAGTCCTTATGTGCAGAAAGATTCTGAAAGAAGAGGTTAGCAGATTCCATGATGAGGAGTGCTTTCAATAGATGGGGCAGCTTACAATGTAGAATGATCCTTATGTGTAGTGTGTTGAAGAAGGACGATGCGTGTGGGGCTGAAGTATCAATTGAATCGCGCTTGTTTGTATTAGTTTGCTGTGTTGAGATGGCTGCATGGAAATTATCCTAAGTCGTGGGGAGTTTCCCTTTTGTACTTGAGTTGAAAATGCCCTGCGCACGTAACTATGGTTTCTCGATGGAGAGGGAGAACACAAAGGTATTCTAAAGATATTTGTCTGGAGCCCTCAAAGGAAATCTCCTTCGAGCTTTGAGGAGAATAAAAGATACAAAGAGCTCAGAGGCCATTCGCCGACAAAGTTCTTGTCTGAAGGGAGTTTCCTTTTGTCAGAATTCTAGATTATAGGACTCGGCATTCAACCCATAATGCCCTTGTTGTTTCTTTATGGACGAGTATCAAAGAGAGACAAAGAAGTCCCGGGCAATGAAGGGTACAAAGACTCGATTCAATATTGTAAGATAGAGACTGAGTAACAAAGAGTCTCCCATATCAGACAGATCGACGTTTCATCTGTTGATTGTATCAGAACAAAGAGTGCGTTGTGGATTTGGCCCGTCGAGGAATCAAGTGCTTCATCTAGACATAGATAGATTTGACCCGGGGCCATATAAAATTGATCAAAGAAATGGACAAGGCCATTCTGGAAATAAAGACTCTTTGCTTCCATTCAAGTCTGGATTCCACTATACCTGGAATGTTCACTATAAGAAACCTTGCCTCAGCTAGTCAACTAGAAAAGCACATCTTCACAGGAAACAAACAGGGTTTCCATCCAATCTAGTCTCACCAAGGCCAAGTACTCTCAAGCCCCATTCAGTTTCAATCCACTAACCTATCCCAGCAAACATGGGGCAGAACAGTGTATTCATCGTACCTTCGGAGAACTCGGACGGCAGCGCGGACGAGGCCTGGCTCGACATAGGCTCTCCCGAGTACATGGACGATCTAGACAACCATGAAGCCCACTGGATCACCGTACCTCTTACCGTTGAAATGGATTTCACCCATACTGACGAAGATATCATGAGTTATGTGCTCGATCAGGTTCGAGCCCGGCAAGCCGAGGTACACCAAACAGCACAGCATCACGAGGGGGTGATTTGCATCTCGATTCCGGTCCCGGTTGATTGTGACACGGTTGATATGTGGATTCGGGCCGAGGTCGATGCTTATAGGTGGTTCCAAGCGATTTGTAGTGGGTTGGTTACTCTTAACCGGGATGTGATTTTTCGGGAACCCCCAGAAGACTCGGTATACATATAGTAGTAACACCCTAGAGAAAGAGGAGGGGGAATGGTCGAATTGCGAGAAATTGGTGGTCTGGTGGAATATGAGAATTGTGCAAAGGTAGGAATCCTGGAACATACATATGTGGAATCATTTTCAAGTTGTCAAATGCATTGGAGTGTATACTTGAAAGAACTTTAGTATCTAGTACCTACTTGACCATGTATCCCATAATCAATTGTCAAGTTACCTAGTGCCCACGCGTGCCTTCCCTTCTGAGCTCGTCACCCCAGTTCCCTGTGTGCCTTCCATTTTGGGGTTGTTATCGCAACTCGTCACCCACCTCCATCACCTTAAGCCACTAGGAAATTATAAATACCTGCCCCCTCCCTACTTCCTTCTTTCTTCCTTCTTCATTTCTTTCTCCATCGCTCCGGGTTCCATTGCCTTCCCCCAACGTGGTTCCTGTTGTCCTGTGAAGAATTCCACACCTCTGAGGGCACTGGGCGTCTCTGCCGCGGCTTGGGTACCGACTGCCAGACTAGGGGCAACCCTAGTCTAAATGACACGAAGTATGTTGTGGCCCGGAACAGTCCCGTATGGGACTTAGTACCCCCACGACCTCTGCGGATACATTACGTCACTTCCCACTCTCTCCATTGCGCATCTGGGAGCTCCTCGCCCCCCCCCCCCCCCGGTGTTCAAAGAGCTTGCTCATTGAACCAATTTTTGAAACTTGTCTTAACAGAGATAGCCCTCTGTTTCCCCATGAAGAGAACTCTGAGGGTATCTTCTCATTTCTTGAAGGGTTCCTCTTTTATGGTCCCTCTGTGACTGTGCTTTGTGTCTCCTGTCTACAGAAATAGTGCTCTATTTCCCTGTGAAGAAAGAGTACTCTGGGTATTTCATCGAAGGGGTCCCGGTCAATTTTCTTAGTCTAGAACTTAGCTTCGCCAACAATCTCATCTCATATTTTACCGTGCATCTAGATATCTCTGTAAGCCTCTCTCCTGATAGTCCTTTCATGGCTCCTCTTGACATGTTAACAACTTTGAAATTGTTCAACAGCGGACCACAAAGGCATTGTGCCTACCTATGTATTAATCAAATGCTTTGTGATATGATTCATTTCTATTTGAATCTCGGTTTCTTCCTTATAAAAATGCCTCGATCTCATCCAGTCTTTTGATCTAAGCACTAGTTGTCCCCTTTCAACCAGATCCAACATACAATTTTAAAGCTCACACAGACACACTGCCGACATCATGGTAAGGCCCATGGGAAACAAAGAATCTCTCTACTACCTAATTGAAGCAGCCCGGTATGAGCCGGATCTTATAGGTGACGATATTTACTGGGTGACTGTGGAACTCTCTTACGACATGTATTTCAGCTATAGTGATCAATCGATCTTGGAGTTTGCGCTTCTCCAGATTCGGAACTACCGTGCTGTCGTTTCTGACGAGCCACAGTATAGGGTTAGGCATGCATGTATCTCGTTCGGGGTAGTGAGTGAGGCTCCGACCACTGAAATCTCGAGGCAAATGGCCCATGCAATTATGACTCAGTCTGTGGATGTCGTGCAATACTGGCTAAATCAAGTGTGTGCTAGTAAGGTTTGTCTTGATCGAGAGCGTATCTTTTGTGTTGGACACAAAGATGAGCATTTGCAGAGGGAAAGATAGTACTGATATGCCTAGTGCGCAATGGTTGAGGTTAGGATCATGACTAGATGGAAGTATTTTTCGACTCATTTATAGTCTGTACACTTGGTATGCGAAAATGAATATCCTATTTTACAGTCCTTCTGATAAAGCAATTAATATTATTAGTAGATCTCAGAATTAGATGTAGGCTCAGTGGTTCTGTTACAAAATCTGACCAGACCCAACTTTTTAGCGCGTGATTCTAATGAGACCCATCTTCTTTTAGGTGTCCTTCCAAAGAGATTGATAATACAAATAAAAGTTTTATATATATCAAGTTAGTGGTTTACTAGCCAATACACCAATTTAGATAAATCTATGGATATTTGGGTTCACAAACACTCTTCGGGTAGAACTATACATACTAGTACAAAAACTACGGATATCTCCATTAAAGACCAAATCACTGGAAGAATGAAGAAAGCCATTGTAGCAATGAAAGGCCTTTGTTATTTTTAGTGCGATACCCCGGACAGCTGGCATCTCGACTGCCAATATATAAAACCTCGGTATTCTTGCCTCGAGTTATTCTATCTCATCGCGTCATTACCATAAAAGCATTCTTCTATCATCGCCAAAAAAAAAAAAAAAAAAAAAAGAAACCTCCGCCAAAGACACAAGATATACCCTCTCGCAGTAACACTGAGCTTCCCTAATCCTGCTTCAGTGAAACATGCTAACCATCAAAATGCCAAAGTTACTCCAGCCAAGCGTGTACATGGACACGAACGGGAAATATTTCGCCGAGCCAGCCGGTGACCGAAGCGACTACTATTGGATCACCGTAAATTTCTCTGAAGACTTTGATCGCCGCGGCCGTAGAGATCCAGACATTATGTGTTTAATAAAGCACCAGATCGTCAGAGGCTGTTTCACTGTAGACGATCGGGCAATGCATAGATTTGGGGAAAAATGTCTCTCGTTCCCTATCAAGCGTGATATTGATACCCCTCTACCTAGGTCATATACGCCTGACCATACGCACCCAGATCTTCTTCTTGCTGAGAATCTTGCGGGGTATTGGGAAGATTAAATGAGGGCCAGGAAGGTTATTCTAGATCAAAAGATGGTTTTTGCTGAGACTCGCCGTAAGAATAAGGAGGTGAGGTTAGAGGACATGTTAGATGTGAGACATGTTTTAATGGATCCCTGGAAGATATAGATTGTTCTTTGTGAGTTTTGTGTTGAGTTTGAGTTCTTCGAGTCCAATGTTTCAGGCTTATTTGGACATGGACCAATCAGTCCACTACATTTTTCTTATTTTGCTTACATACTCTATTTTCAAAATTGTCTTTGTAAGTGTAAGTGTAGATTTGGATAGTATACTGGTCACTTGATAACCTTCAGGAAGAGAGAAAGACAACATCGAATGCATGGTATGTAGTATGGACCTAGGTAGTAAGGTTACTGTCGAAGCTCATTATCGAAGCTAGAAATCTAACTGACGAAGCTTCCAAATAATAGTATTCATTGGAAGTAATGAAGCATTACACCGCTAGACTATAGCAAGAAGCAAGGTAACTGCTTACGGCCTAGGGAGGCTATATTCTTGTGTGACAATACTGGTCTTTAGAGAGGACTAATACCCCAATTCGAAGCTATTATATATGCAGAGTGTTCCAACAATATTGTAGTAACATTCGACTGTATTGAATATAATTATTACTAGTCTTCAAGACATTCTCCTACCTGAAACACTAAAAGGCTGTTCTTATGATCAAAGAGTAAGGGCTCTCTTGATGTAACTAAATTGAACACTTGAAGAGGAAATGAGAACAAAGGAAAGATTTATATAGAATATCAGGTCAAACAAAGAGTGTGGAGAGAATAGTATACTTCCCCAAAGAATAGAGAAAGGTATTATAGCCCTCAAAGGACTTCATTCCTTCGTTGTTCCCACCCGATTACCATAATAGACGGCTTGTCCCTCAGGATATAAAACCTCGGTTTCCTCGTTTCAATTCTATCTCACCATCACCATCATCATTCAGAGCAGCCTTTCCTAACACACAACAAAAGGCAGAGTACCCAAGAACAACATTGAATTCCCACAAAAACAGCACTTCATTCACTCCAGCCGCCACGATGCCTTATTACCAAGCGAGTGTATTCCAGTCGAGCCAGCTCGAGCATGGCCGCCGATTCCATTTTAAAGAACCCCACACCAGCCAGGGAGGTTGGATCTGGGGCTCTGTGACTCTCCCGGACACCATGGACATTCACAGCGACGATAGGGAGATTATAATCCATATTTGTAATACCATTGCCGCGGGTTTGGTTACTTGGGGCGATAGGTCTTTGCACGGCCTAGGATTTAATTCCGTCTCGTTCCCGATCAGGATTGAAACCCCCGAGCAAGATTTAGACGAGCTGATGTTTCAGGTTGAGTACATTGCACTGTGGTGGGTGCCTTGGATACAGTCTGGGACTGTTACTATTGACAAGCACATGCTTTTCGTGGCCAAACAGCCGTCCTCGGAACGTGAGGATCAGTTGTTGGATATTCCTCTGAATTGGGATCAGCCGGAGGAAATGATTGCGGACCCGTGGTGTGCGGTTACTGAGCTGCGGTAAATCATTGGGATTAGACTGAGGTGGGATTTATGAAGATGGGTATTGACTTTTTTTCCTTTAGGACGTTTTGATAAATTGATATATCAAATATTTTGAATGGAATAATGAATGAGAAAACATAGTAACCCAAGTAAATGAGTAGTATGAAAGGCTAGAATTTGCCGCAGTAACGCCAGTATGATACAATTGGAAACCACAGGTAGGTTACCAGGTCTTTATTGATGAGAGTTTAGAACCACCTTGACTGCCTCGCCTTTCTCTCACGCTCTTTCTTTTTCTGCATGAGGGTATACCCACATCCAGCACCAGCCGCGTATCCACCTAGATGGGCAGCGTGGTCCATCTTAGTCAGTCGGGAGAGGGGCCAAGCGCGGAACACGAACGCGGGAGCAAGCAAGCTGAAGACCTCAGTGCCGACCAGGCAGGTAAGGAAGACCCAGCCGTAGGTCCAGATATTCTCTTGGAGCCCTTGGGGAAGAATCCACATGGTGAGTTTGTCACTAAGGAGGGTCAGTACAGGTGCCACAAAGAATAACAGCTGGAAAGATGGTGGGAGACAAACTTGAAGTGAGACATGCACCATGCGGCGACGATACCGCTGGTTGCAGCACTGGCTCCAAGGGAGGTCATGCCTAGGCGGCCAAGGATGACGCTGCGTGTCAACGAGAAGACAGATCCCATGACACCAGAAGCGAAGTAGATGGCTAAAAAGTTCCCACGGCCGATTTCATCGTGGACTGTAGAGCAAGAAAACAGTTAGAACTCATATCTTCTAGCGCTTCTACTAGCCACAATACATACCTCTGGTTCCCATAAGTCCCAGGACCATCATATTAGTTCCAAGATGCCTCCATGTCTGATGACTGAATGTGCTTCCAATCATACCCAGTGAGCTGGGATAGAAGGGCACAATAACGAAGTAACGGTTAAGTAGTCTCCATGCAGGAGGGACGAATTTCCATAGCAAAGTCACTGCTACGTTAGCTGCCACAATAGCACCCACAGTAGCCACGGCAGGAGGCACATCGGGCATAAGACGGTCTTTTCGTGCTGGGAACTCGTATTTCTGAGTAAAGGTATAGCAAAGGGCGAGAACCACGATCGAGAACAGAAGCGGAGCAAGTAGACGTTGAGACTGCCAGTTCGAACATGGTTAGCAACTAACCAATTTCACAAAGTGAACTATCCTTACGTTGGTGATGTTCATCGACTCAGGACTCTCGTTGGTGGCGGCAATATGATGCTTCTGGACCCAAGCGAGATATGGCCTCTCGATAGGATCCGCACGGGGACGAGCTAAGAATGTCAACACCAATACCAATCACCCAAACTCGAATCCTAGTATATGTAACATACCCTCAGTGAGCGCAGCTTCCTGATACTGCTGTAGAGACGTGTTCTTCCCAAATTCCCGCATCAAACGTTCCTGTTCTTCTTTCTCGCCATCGAGCCACTCCTGCCGTTTCCGTTCTTGTTCAGCCAGCAAGCGCTTCTCATTTCTCTCGCGGGCCTCTTTCAAAACACTCTTGCCGTAAGGAGAACCCTCCTCGCCAAGCTCGGCGTCATAAGAACCGCTCTGCGGCTTATACAAACCTAGCTTCTCAGCGCGGCGCACGAGCTTCTCTTCCTCCGCGCGCTCCTCACGCTCAATGCGGGCAAAGATAGCAGCATCCTCATCGACGGGGTACTCACCGCGAAGCCACTCCAAAGCTGTGTCAAACTGCTTCTGGGTGATAGCGCGGGCAATGTCAACTGGCAAGTCCGCGTCGAGCGTGCCGGTCAGGCGGTGGCCGTGCAAGACGGCCAGGATACGGTTTCCTAGCTTTGCATTGAACTTGGCGGGGCCAAATATGGCTTTGATCTCGGCATCAGAGAAGGGTTTTTGGCGAGGGGGAACCTCTAAGGGATCCGATTTAAGCTTCGGCTTTGGAGATGCGGCCGAGGTGCGTTTGAGGCGGCGTGGAGTGGAGACCGGGTTGAATCGTTGCGGGGATATCGGGGTTGGAGTTGGACGAGACGGCTGAGATACTATTTGGGATAGAATGTTCGGGATTGGTAACGTGGATTGGTGCGAGGTGCTGTACATGCGCCATGGGGTAATGCGGAGATCGCGACTTGCAGAGCGGAATGCTACCGAGGGCAGCACCGAGGTACGGAGCCCCGGGCACGGAGCCCGCCATACGGCCCAGACCGCATTGCTCATATCCTCTGACTGGAGAGCGAGGGCTCGGAAAGGACCACGGAGTATGGGGTGGTGGGTGATTGTTCGGAGATCTTTTTGGCGGCATCATATGGATCGGCTGCAGAGTTGTTCCGAGACCGCGATTGCAGATACAAAGCAAGAAATGATGGGAATTAGTTGAATATGAATTGTCCTCTATGTCTATCATTAGCTTGAACTATAGTATCAGGATTCCCATCCATCCATAATCCACCAATACTCAAAATCGGCCTCAACATCTCTCCGAGGTCCCATATGTACACATCTGATCTATAAACCCCGCACGTGATGATAACGGCAATCCAAACAGCTTGAGATCAGCCCGCATTGATCCCAACTCTACCTTTCAACCCTCACAAAATAAGCATCAAAATGTCAACTGAATCCCTCCCCATAACTCCAGGAGCCTTCGCTGAGGCAATCAAAGAGCTTCCCCTCGCAGTCCTCTACAGCAAAGTCTCCGAGCTCACAAACTCCATCGCACACCTACATCGCTCGAATGCCGAGCTCCGCGCATTCTTAGCAGAAAGTAATGATTCAGATGACGACAAGAAGGAGCTGGAGGGCTATATTGCTGAAAATGAGGGCGTGGCCGTGTCTATGAACGAACGAATCTCGTTGCTGAAGATTGAGGTCGAGAATCGTGGGCAACCTTGGATTGAGCTTGATGAGCTTAAGATCGACAAGAGACAGGACACTTTGACAGATGTGCCGGTGACGAATGGAAATGCGACCGATAGTGGAACTGGAGCTGGGGCTGGGACTGAGGCTGAAGCTGGTGCAGGACAACAGTCTAATGATCGGGAGGATGAGGATGGGGATGGGGTCTATCTGTGACCAACTCGGTGGGTCATCTACGCGCAGTCGGCTTCATTAAGCTGGCTTGGACTGCCCAAGTCTTCAAAAGGATTGCTACCAATGCGTCAGTGCTTCCTAGCCACTGTATTTGCAGGCGCTTTACTATATTTGCGTGTGGGTCAAAGATCGACCTATGTCGATTGGCTGTGTTTCAAATCATCCATACTTCACAGTACTACGATGTACACGCCTAAACCATCTCACGAATGACCACCCCCAAGCCTTAGGGCCTGCTCACGTCTTCTGTAGCGCTAAGAATCAAGCCACCAGGTCCACACGAAATGGAATGTATCTAGTGGATCATTTACAACCCCAAGTCTCATGTGGTATGGAATTATGATAAGATGAATGTATTGCAATGGGTAGATAAAAAAACATGCAATGGCCAGCTGATGCTGGATGAAAATATGCAAGATCATCAAGTAGAATAATTCACAGCGCATGCTAAATGCTCAGTCAAAGCCCCAGCTTTGTGTCATATCATCGCAAATTCGCCCATTCTTTTTTGGAAAATGGCTGAAAGAGAAAGCAGAATATGAACAAAGCAAGACAGCGCGGCCCAACGCCAGGTTAGCGGACATGTCATGGTCGTCAATGTAAAAACAAAAATTTGCAACTCCAGACCCGTGGAGCTTAAGTGGCGGCCTGCTGGGCCCAGTGGCCGCCGGTGAGCGCCTCTGGAGGAACCCGCTGCTGCTTGATGAACAACTCAATTAAGGGCTGCATGGGTTCCATCTCCTTATCAGACACAAGCCCGTAGTACTTGGAGACAGTCACAAAGTGAACGAAGCACATGTTCAGGACATCGTGCTTGTTAATGTGCCAAAAGGGGTTAAGCCAATGAGCGTGATAAAGATGGGCATAGCAGCGGAACATCTGCTTCATGATACCCTGGCAGTCCTTGTAAAAGGTTGGCGGGAAGCCACTGGACTTGCCGATCCAGTCATCTGTATTGGCAGGGTCGGAGGGAGTTGTTGACGCGCCGTTGGCTTCTTTGATGGCAGATGTCTCGGGAGTACCGTTGACTTTTTCGGTAGGGAACATAACAGGGTCGTGGATCTTGCTGACAATCCATTTCTCGACCCGATTGATGAACTTCGGGGCAGAAATTTTAGCGGCGCGGCCGTCAACAAGCCAGGTATAGGTCAGCCTTTAGAACCGTTAGCTCAGTTCATAATTTACCCCGTCATATTCACATACCGTCCAGCGGACATTGTTGGACAAGTGTTTTCATTGCAAATAGGTAGACCGGTCACACTGTTCACCTCCTGAATAACCTGGAGCATGCCGTGGAGTAGACGGTATTGTTCAACAACTAAAGCAGAAACAAATTAGCCTTCTCACTCTCAAGATAAGCTTCCACCTTGCTTACTCTGGTGAGCCAGCCACTCGCCCAGCTCCACATTCTTTGGGCAAGCACAGAGAGTCAAGAAGTTGCCCCTCACATTCAGCGGGGCATACTTCTCCTGGAAGAAGTACTTGGGTCCCTCTGGGTCGTTCGCTTGAGTCTCCAATGATAGGCTGCTGGAAATCGAGGGCGAATTCGACATGGTGGCTTGATGCTGAGGAGTAGAGGACTGCGCTGGGCTTTTAGGTGGATTGTTGCTCTTGTTGTTTCCTCCCCGGCCAAATCCTTGGCGACTGTATTCAGAAATAGAGTTAGCGGGCGATCGTGGCGAGTGAATAGCTGGTTGAGAACAAAGTGGGAATATACAAAAGAAGTGTGGGTAGATGTGAACGACAAAAAGGAGGCCAGGGTATATATTAGACTTTGGGAATGGAATGCTCCTTTGTATTTGTGGCGCCGGGGGGTTCTTCGTGCAGTATGAGGGGGTAAAGGTAGAAGGGAGATCGAACAGCCGATTGCAACAAGGTCACAATGGCGGAACATCACTTACACACTCTGGAAGAAAGTTGCCATCTTGAAATTGATCTGCAACGCTTCAAATCAAGAAAATAACGGGGATGAGGGACAAGACGGTGAGATGCCACACGTTGAGGATCCCCTTTTGGTCTGGGCCATCGAAACACTAGTCCCGTTTAGGTCCGGTAATCGGAGAATTTAAAGTTCCGCGCGTGAATTGAATTATGGGAGCTGCGTCGTGAATGGCCGATAGAACAATTGTCAATACACTATTGACGATATATCGGATTGCTTATTCCCAATATAATATTAAGGACATCTCCAGTCCTTTATTTGTCACCACTTGCATCTCCACATAACTACGACCTTGCAACAACAATAAATTCCATACACCATGTCCTCCGATGAGGAGGGCGTTCGACGCCCCAGCAATGGCAATGAGAGCCCCGCGCACAGCAATGCCCATGATTCTGGCGCTGAACAAATGGATGAAGGTGATGATCTGTTCGGGTCGGACGGAGAGGGCGGACTCGATGATAATGAGTATGCAAACCGCACCAGCGCGACAAGAGCTAGATACTGATATATGGCTAGACCTCACCGCAGCCTGGACGATGAACATCTTGACTCGGGTGACGATGAGAACCGTTATTATCGACGCGAAGACCGAATGTATGATATGGCTGAGGAGCAGCAGGAAGTCAATGTTGCTGATCAGGACCTTGCCCGGGCGCCAGTGCCATTGACCAACGATGGAGAGGTAGGAGGAGCCTCTACCCCGAAGTCTTTGAGTTTGATCTAACTTCTAGTAACAGGTCTACACAATGCGGGTGCCAGATTTCCTTTCAATCGAAGGAGAAGAATTCAATCCCGCGACTTACGTCCCACCGCCTTACCAGACCGCTGCTACCTCTCTATGCTGGCGCAAGGATCCTGCGGATGAGTCTCTTTTGCAGTCCAATGCCCGTATTATCAAATGGGAGGATGGCTCCCTTACTCTTCAACTCGCTTCTGCTCCGCTTGAGCAATATCGCATCGCATCCAAACCCCTCGCACCTCTCACCAAGTCCGGCGAATATGACCACAAGTTAGACTCCCACGTTTTCCTCGCAGCTGGACTGGAAACAGCCCAGGTTTTCCGATTGACCTCACATGTCACCCAAGGTCTGACTATTCTCCCGACCACCTTGGAGACAGACGATGCTGTTCAGCGACTGCAAGAACAATTGGCTGCTGCTGCTCGTGGTAGCAAGCAGACTGCAGCTGGCACTGCACCACGTTATGAAATAACAGAGGATCCTGAGTTGGCTGGCAGACGCGCTGAAATGATGGAAAAGGAAGCTATCAAGGCTGAGCGCCGTCGCCAGCAGCATGCTGATCGCGAGGCCGATCGCGGTCGCCGCCATGGCGCTAGTCGTACTGGTCCTAGTGGTCTTAGTGTTGGTGGTCTTGAAGATGGCGGTTTACTTACGACTCGCCCGCGCGCCAAGCCTCGCCGCCAAAACCGTCGCGGCGAGATCTACACCGACGATGAAGAGGACTACTCTCGTGGTGCGCGTACCAAAGAAGACGAGTACGATGAGGATGATGGATTCTTGGTTGGCAGCGACGAGGAGCTCGAGGAAGAAGCCGAAGATGAAGAAGAGGAGCTGGAGGATGAAGACATGGACGCTGAAGGCGAAGATGACGTCGAGGCTGCACCTGCGAAAGCTGGCCGTAGCAAGCCAGAGCCTCAAGCCAGAGCTGGCACACCTCCTGCCCGAAAGAAGAACCGCTACGTGGTGGACGACGAGGACGACGAGTGAGCTTGCAGCATTCTTGTTCTCTCGCGGGTTATTTTTCTTTTCGAGTTTTCGATGCAGTTTTCTTGTTACATATCCACATGGTCCGGCGTCATCTACATGGACAGGCATTCGAGGGACAATAGGGCTCATTTCACTCTAACTTAATGCTTGTACAACAAAAATTAATGAAATGGTCAATGACATATCAATCTAGCTTCGTACCAGCGAAGAGACTTGTATAGTATATGATGCCGAATAGTATATAGCAATAACTCCACATAGTCTTGGACATATCCAAAGTAAAACCCAGACAACTGACCCCAAACTTTTCACGCATGGTATGCTCCCCTATGCGCTTCATTACGCGCAGTAACCGGCTCAACGCCCTCGGGATATTCTGAAGGATCAAAGCTGAATTTTTTGATCACATCTCTGGCGCTTCCAACCACACGAAGGCATAAAAACATATTTTCACTGGAATCCTCCTGATCTTGTGACTGCGCCGGGTCCGACGTGGAGATTGAGTGTCCAAGTGGATGTTGCCCAGGTTCATGCCAGCGACGTTGTCGATTCTCGATTTCCGTAATCATGGACAGCAGATCCGGCTGCTCAGCACAAGCAACCATAGCACCTGGCTCAACGGGACCACCAATGACAGCGCGACGAACGACTTGGTGGAGCCATGATTTCCAAACTTGAGCTGGTTCAGGGCTTTGGAGCACCTCAGGCAGGTAGTGTGCAGGCGCAGACTGCATCCCCAATTCGACAGGATCGGCTTGCGCGACACGCAGCCACGAGTCCGCGACGACGGTTAATAAAGTGCCTATGAACATGATATTTTGATAGCCCGTTGCAAAGGCCTTGGGACAAACTTGGCAGCGAATCACGTCTCGTACAGTTCGTGCAGCGATATATAGCGAGCATAGAGTGTGGGAATTGACGGGGAAGGAGGAGATTGACGTCATGTGGCTGAGGCATAGATAGAGATATGATAAACACGTACACCCAGATGTTGCGGAGTCAGAGGAAATGGATGTGGCAGGAGAGAGCGGGAGTGAGTTCGTGGGAGAGAAAGTTGGAGGGTTGGGGAATGGCATTGGCATTGGCACGGCCGTGGCTTCGGAGACGGCTGAAAAATCAGGCCACGGGGAATACGATGAGAAAACAGGCAGGTTTGACTGTTTCAGAAGATCCGGCTTCCAGGCATGGTTGTGGTCTTCATAGCCTGACAGTAGATCTGCGGGCTGGGATTGTGGCAAATCCATGTTCGTACCAGACCGCCAGAAGAATTTCGGACAAAGATGATCGGAATCTGGGAAGGTGGCTATGTTTGGACTCAGTCCTAGTGAAGATTGTGAAGATTGTTGCGAGTCCTCTGGACTGGGCCAAACTTCAGCACCAGATAGCGCTGGGAAGTCGACCCGCTCATCATCTGTTCGGGTCCGTTTCTTGGGCGGCCGGCCCATCTGTTTTTGTATGGAATAGTTACAAGAGAGCGACTGTTTTGTACATCGCGAACATCCCAACATTTCTCCGGAGCATTTAAGCTTCCGCTTTCCTGACGAACAGCAGAACGTGGTCAGTGGGGGTTCCGTTACATCGGCTCGGCCTGTGAGACTTACTACACTCGTCGCATGCTGCATGTCTTTTTGGCTCTGAGGAATCATTCGTAATAGCCAAAGGGAGCATTCCCTCATAGTCAGGCGGGAGTGACATTGTTCGATGATCCTTTCTAAATTTGACCCTCGATTAAAAGAGCCGTTCAATAGTTAGTTGGAAAACATTCCAGGTAGTAAAACATTGGCGTGTCATAGATAGGCGCCCGATAAGATGGGGGCGGTCATGTGGGCGGTGAGCGGTGAGCGCTGCGAGAAATTATCCTAAAAAAAAATCCATGGATCTACAGCAATAAGACAACATCCGCTGAACAACACCATGAACCCCAAGGCGGCTTCAAAGAAGCGCAAGGCTGTCACTCGCGATGTCGAGGAGGAAGCTGGTGTCTTTTCCGGTGACGAATTGAGCAAAGGCAACCTCGATGGGGCCTTGTCGGACAAGACTAGCCTTTCGGACAGCGAAGACGACGACAGCGACTCGGAAGTCGAGCTGGTTGATGACTTTAGCGACTCAGAAGATGGAGAAGATGAATTGGACAGTGATGAGATCCCCTCTGATACAGAGGAAATTAAGCCAGCTGCTGGTGAACCCAACTTCCGCATTGTGAAGGATGCCAACGGAAACGATCGCTACCTCTGGGATGAAATTCATCCGGATGACAATTCTGAACTCTCCGAAGTGGATGAAAATGCGAACACCATTGGCGACATCCCGCTGAAGTTCTACGACGAATACCCCCATATTGGTTACGACATTAACGGAAAGAAAATTATGCGTCCTGCCAAGGGCGAGGCCCTAGATGCGTTGTTGGACAGCATTGAAATCCCCAAGGGCTGGACTGGTATGACTGACCCTCAGACCGGCAAGCCTCTGGAGCTGAGCCAGGAGGAATTGGAGCTGCTCCGCAAGGTGCAGATGAACGAGGTTCCCTCCGAGGGCTACGATCCATATGAGCCTTTGGTGGAATGGTTCAGTAGCCAAAAGGAGATCATGCCACTGAGCGCCGCTCCCGAGCCCAAACGTCGTTTCGTTCCATCCAAGCACGAGCAGAAGCGTGTGATGAAGCTTGTGAAGGCCATCCGCGAGGGCCGCATTCTTCCTTACAAGGCGCCAGAGGATAGGGAAGAGAAGGATGAGGAGCTCATCAACTACGACCTGTGGGCTGACGAAGTTGAGCGACCTGATCACGTTATGCATATCCCGGCACCCAAACTCCCACCCCCTGGTTACGAAGAGAGTTACCACCCGCCTGCCGAGTACCTACCAGATGCCAAGGAACGCAAGGAATGGGAGCAGACAGATCCTGAGGATCGCGAGAAGGATTACCTGCCCAAAGATTTCGGCTCCCTGCGCAGAGTTCCTGGATACGACAACTTCGTCCAGGAGAAGTTCGAGCGTTGCTTGGATCTCTACCTTGCTCCGCGTGTGCGCCGTAGCAAGCTAAACATCGATCCCGAGAGTCTCCTGCCCAAGCTTCCCAGTCCTGAGGAGCTCAAGCCTTTCCCCACTGCATGTGCCACAGTCTTCCGCGGCCACAAGGGCCGTGTGCGCTCTGTCAACGTGGACCCAACTGGTATCTGGTTAGCGACTGGTGGCGACGACGGTACCGTCCGTGTCTGGGAACTCCTCACAGGTCGCCAACTGTGGAGCGTGAAGCTCAGCGATGACGAGGCGGTCAGCACTGTCCGCTGGCGTCCGGGCAAGGACGCAGTCGTCCTTGCCGCTACCGCAGGAGATGATATCTTCCTCGCCGTGCCTCCCATCATCGACCCCGAAATCGAGAAGGCCAGTCTGGATCTCCTCGACGCAGGCTGGGGCTTCGCCGCCTCTCGACCGGCCCCCAGTGTTTCAGAGGAAGGCAAGAAGAACACAGCCCCGACCTGGATCCGTCCCGAGTCTGCTCTCGTGGATGCTGGTGTTTGCGTCGTCATTCCTCTCCGTTACGTGCCCAAGACGATCTCGTGGCACCGCCGCGGAGATTATTTCGTGACAGTGTGCTCGGGCGCCTCGACACCCGCCTCCGTCGCAATCTCTATTCACACAGTCAGCAAGCACCTGACACAATTCCCCTTCAAGCGCCGCCTCAAGGGCGGTGGTCCCCCTCAGACTGCCCACTTCCACCCGTCGAAACCCATCCTATTCGTCGCCAATCAGCGCTCGATCCGTGCCTACGATCTTTCGCGCCAGCTCCTCGTCAAGATCTTGCAGCCTGGTGCCCGCTGGATCTCGTCCTTCGACATCCACCCTACCTCTTCCAGCGCATCCGGTGGTGACAACATCATCGTCGGTTCGTACGATCGTCGTCTGCTCTGGCACGATCTCGACCTCTCCCAGCGTCCCTACAAGACCCTCCGCTACCACCGCAAGGCTATCCGCGCCGTCAAGTTCCACCCCAGCGGCCGCTACCCGCTCTTCGCAGATGCCTCCGACGATGGATCCCTGCAGATCTTCCACGGCAGCGTTACTGGAGATATGCTCAGCAATGCTACCATTGTGCCGCTCAAGGTTCTCAAGGGCCACAAGATTACTGGCGAGCTGGGTGTCTTGGATATCGACTGGCACCCGCGTGAAGCGTGGGCTGTCAGTGCTGGTGCTGATGGAACGTGTCGCTTGTGGATGTAATCTTGAGATGCCGTTGCATGATGTCTGACATTTTTCTGGGCGTTTTTATTTATTTTTGTGTGCATAATCTTCCTTTTGTATAATCGTACAAAAAAGTTGTTTCTTTGGCATTTTCTACTTCATATCATATCAGAATCGACCTTGGGATCATTGTAGTTTAGTAGTCGTTGAAGGGACGTAGAATGAATGATCAAATATTCGATCAAATAGTAAATGTTCGTTCAAGGTATCTATGTCCAGGGTCCCAAGCAAGAAAAAATGGGAGAAAAAAAGAAAACTCTAGATCTAAATGTGTATATCCCAAGAGAAATACATATACAAACTAGCCAATTCAGACCACGCCACCACTCCAATCCCTCCGGAGCTTTTCATACTTCCTCAAATCCGTAACACTAGGCCGAACGAACGCCTTAGCAGCAACAAAGTCAACCAACTTAATACTATCGCGACGCTTGATAGCAGAGTAACCAGCACGACGCAGCAAACTTCCCAAATCAGCACCACTGAAGCCCTCGCACTCCTCGGCGAGTTTACGCAGATCCTCACTAAACTCAATAGAGATTTTCCGGAGAAGAGTCTGCAAGATATCGACACGCTCGAGTGGCGTGGGCAAGTTCACAAAGAGAAGAGTCTCAAGACGGCCAGGACGCAGCATAGCAGGATCAATAATATCAGGCCGATTAGTAGCAGCGATGACATAAATACCCTGGCGACTGCTGCCAAGGCCATCAAGCTCCGTGAGGAGTGTGTTGACGACACGAGCGGAGGCCTCAGAGAGTGTATCATCACGACGGGGTACGAGGGCGTCGAGCTCATCGAAGAAGATAACACAAGGCACGGATGAGCGGGCGCGGACAAAGACCTGGCGAACGGCGCGCTCAGACTCACCGACGAACTTGTTGAGCAGTTCTGGGCCCTTGACGCTGATGAAGTTTGCGCGGGACTCGTTTGCGACGGCTTTTGCGAGGAGAGTTTTACCGCAACCGGGTGGGCCCCATAGGAGGACACCAGTAGGCGCGGTGATGCCGACGTTGGCGTAGATATCTGGGTTCTTGATTGGTTCGACGATGGCTGTGACGAGCTCTTCGCGGATGCCGCCGAGAGCACCGATGTCGGCCCAGGTTGTGTCGGGGATTGTAGCGAAGCCCTCACGCTTGGAGGAGGGTTGGATTTTAGGGAGAGCTGTGAAGAAGTCTGCGTTGGAGACGAGGACGACTTCTGCTTCATCGCCGAGAGGAGTCTCCTTAGCGTGGACAATAAGACGGCGGAGTTCGCGGACTCGCGGGCTGATATCTTCTTCTCCTTCGATTTCCATCTCCATTTCTTCGCCGCTGTTCGACTTGAGAATCGCGAGGTACCGCTTGATGGCGGCTGAACCAGCGGTCGAGACGAGATCGTTCAGATCTGCGCCCACGAAGCCGGGAGTTCGTTTGGCCAGCGTCTTGAGGTCGATATCGTCTGCCAGGCGCATTTTGCGGGTCAGTGCGCGCAGAATTTGTTCTCTGACTGGCTCTGAGGGCACAGTCATGTTGATTTCCTTGTCGAAACGGCCACCGCGGCGCAGAGCGGCGTCGAGGCTGTCTGGGCGGTTGGTTGCTGCGAGTACGATAACGGGTTTTCCATCTGTCTTATCAATGGCAATATCGTCCATACAGGTCAGAAGCTGGGCGACAATTCGCTTCTCCATCTCTCTCTGGGCGCTCTCACGCTTCGGCGTAATCGCATCGATCTCGTCAATGAAGATGAGACAGGGAGCAAGACGCTTGGCCTCCTCGAAGTATTCGCGTAGAGCTTTCTCGGATTCACCCGACATTCCTGACACGACTGAAGGCGCAGAAATTGAGATGAAGGGTACACCCAGCTCCGCGGCGAAAGCGTTTGCAATCAATGTCTTACCGCAACCTGGTGGGCCATGCAGCAATACTCCGCGCGGCGGCTGCACGTTTGAGGATAGATAGACCTGCGGCCGAGTCATGGGTAGAATGACCAAGTCTCCAAGTTCCTGAACAACATCGTCCAGTCCACCCAAATCGGCGAGACTGACATGTGTTGGTGGCGAGCGATCCGCGGGTTCAGCTTTGCGTCGCTTAGACACAGATTCTCCGCCGTGCGTTCTTCTCTTGGAGGATGTGGGTGCCGGGCTAGCGGTGGTTTCAACGGTTTTTTTGGCCTTCGCTACTGCCCATGATCCGACGACACTTTGGTTCATTCCATTGGGTTCCTGATGCCTCAATTCCAATTAATATTTCCGTTCCATTCGAGCAAAATATGCGCAGCGCTTGACGTACCGCAGCAGGAGGCTCCTCCAGTCCCTCAAAGTCCCCCTCCATGGAATCCTCATCTTCTTCACCCATATCAGCTTTGATAACCTCCAACACCCGCTCAAGACTATCCTCGATGAGTCTCTTCGGTTTCCGGTTCAAGCTCGAGTTGGATTTCTTAATTTTCTCATAAATCGTTGGGACCGATAGTCGGATGCGCTCAGTCTCGGGCTGGTCGTCAATGATCTTGCGCACGATCTGGTAGACCTATTTCGGGAGTGAGTGAAAGCCAACAAGACTCAATTTTGAAAACACACCTCACGGTCCAGACCCTGACTGAGGGTCGGCCTGCCACCCTTCCTAGCAGGCATGATTCGATATGGTTGTTATGCAAAAAAAAAGCCGCGGGCCCGAAATTTCGGAGAACATTTGAAAGATCCGCTGAAAATTACTTGTAATTACGGACCCGTTACATAACGTCATTCATGCCTAGGCCCGCATCTACAGATAGAGGGAATCTCCCTTCTCTTCAACAACATGGGAAACTCGAGTAGTTCGCAGAAGATCTCTGCCCAGGATCGGTGAGTGCAGGCTGCTGTGTATTGTATACATACAATATCCACAACGCATCCTCAATCTTGGTTGTGAGAGCATACTATTGTTCTCCTCACGAGACCCCCTCATCCCCGCCAGCACGCCCTTTCAGAGAACCCGATAGAATGACACCGGCTAACAAGCATCCCGTGGCATCTATAGGGCAATCCTCGACCTTAAAAATCAACGCGACAGACTGCATCAATACCAGCGACGAATAACCGTCCTCACAGACCGCGAAACGGAAATCGCCAGGGAATGCCTCGCGCGCAATGATCGCCGGCGAGCACTACTCGCGCTCCGACGCAAGAAATACCAGGAGTCGCTCCTTGCGAAGACAGATGGGCAACTCGCGCAGCTGGAGCAGTTAACTGGACAGGTGGAGTTTGCGCTTGTGCAGAAGGATGTGTTGTTTGGATTGCAGCAAGGAACGAAGGTGCTGCAGACTATCAATAAGGAGATGGGTGGTATCGAGGGAGTTGAGAAATTAATGGGGGAGACTGAAGATGCGAGAGCTTATCAAGAGGTATGTGCCTCGTCTTTTGTTCCTGTTTTTGCGCAGAATTTTGGAATGGGTTTGCTGACAGTTGCTATAGGAGGTGAGTCAAATGCTGGCGGGTCATTTGACAAATCAAGATGAGGATGAGGTTGAGGATGAGCTGGAAGCTTTGCAGCGGGAACTTGCTGGTCCTGAGATCCTGCCTGATACTGTCCAACTGCCGAGTCCACCTACTGCTGATCTTCCTGTAGAAGAGCCAGTTCAGGAGTTGACTCAAAGAGCCAAGGCTAAGGCTGAGACTCGAACGGCTTTGCCTGCTTAGTAGGGGATATTTCGGATCCTCGTTGCACAGCACTAAGCATTGCATTATATTGATACTGAGCGTTTTGTGGCGTTGTGGCTTATTTGATTTTGTTGCCTACATTTATGGTAGATTTCATGCGTCTAGGGCGTTGGCGGCCGATTATATTGTTTGTAAAATCCATGGTTGACATTTGTGAATGCATACATACTCTATAGATTATGATATCCTCAGAGGTTTTACAAATGATATTCGATATAAGAGCTCCCTTTACTGGAACAAGAATCAACAAATCAATAAAATCTATGTAGAAATACATAGTAGTGGAATGGTACTATCGTTAATCATCATGACACCACAAATACATCGAAGCATGGAAAGAAATCTCCAACGAGCCCCAGCTACTGCCCAGGCATAGTGCTGCCAATACCACTAACACCAGGAATAGAGACATGATCCTGAGGGTTCGCCGCCGCCTCGTAGAGGAAATTAATCGGCTCCCGGGTTAACTTCATAAACTGCCCCTTGAAGCCTACATACCCAACCTTAGTAACATCCTCCTCGCCGTCACTCCAATTATCCTCAAAGAAGAGGGTGACAGACGTAGTCGCATTCCAATGGGCACGATTCAACGGCAATTCAAAAACATCAGCGCCAGGTACAGGCTGCGGGACCTCGATGGTTTGGGTCGGGTGTAACTCCGATGCGGTTGAGAAATCCATATCGTCACGGTTCTTGAACAGCTTTACTGTCTTCGGGGCGGCGGTTGTAGGCGCTGTGTACAGGAGGAGGGAGTGGACATTGACTTGGCCGTTGAAGCTGTGTTGTAGAAATCATGTTAGTTCTAGGGTCGCGATAACGGTGAGGGGTAAGATTGGCGGGGGTTTGTTTGGAATTTTTAGGACGCGATGCGAGGGCATAAACAGCTATTGGAAATTGTAGGATATATGTGTGGAATGAGTAGGACTCACGGGATGGTCATGAGCAACTGTTCATCGGCATCGCTCTCGAGCTCCGGCTTGTCGTTTAGTCGCTCAGCCCAGGTTTTCTGGACGATGGATGCACCAGAATTTGGGGTAGTCTCTGTCAATCAGAGATGAGGGCTTGTAACCAGTAGTTATATGCAATCATGGAGCTCATACGTACCATTCAGGGTTATGATCAGATCGAAGTTGATCTGAGAGTAGAGGAGGGATTGGATGGCTGGAGTGATATCGTTGGTATGGTCGTGACCTTCGCCGTGGCAATGGCCATCATGATCATGGTGGTGCCCTGACATTGCAAAATATGTATCAATGTAAGCTTGATAGTTGTACAAGGTGTAGATGTGGTAAGATAAAGATGGGGTTTGAAGATTTGAAGTTGTGTTTGGGGAAGCTCTCCACTCCCGTGACGTCGTTTTACTTCGGAGAATTGAGGTGATACTACGTAGTACTATAGTATCTCAAGAGGGACCATACTACACACTGTTGTTTATGATTCTCTTATATTTCGACTTTGCAATGTGCTAAATCTCAATATCACTTAGTGACCCAAATTACCTCTGTCACTGTTACGGCCCTTACTTCCCCTCAATCTATAAAATGCAACAACACAATATATCTCATTCCATAATATCCTTGAACAGCTGAGCATCATCGCACATATCCCTTTCTAGCTAAATTCCAACATTGTGCTATTACTGCCTGACTCGGTAATAATCCGGAGCATATTCCAGCAGATAACTCTTCTCGATCTTAGTCACATCGCGGATATAAGTCTTTTCGCCCGTTTGCATGATCTCATGGAATATGACCCAGTCGGCTTTTCGGTTCTATATTCAAGTCAGTAAACAAGACCACGCACTTTTGCACACACGATTCAGGAGCACTTACAAACATCAACGAGGTGGGGTGAGGATGAAGAGTTAGACCACCACTAATAGTCTTGAAAGTTCCATCTGGTTGCATCTTCGCCGCATGAGCAAAATATCCCGTTGTAAGACACCTCCGAATCTGCTCCGGCTGGCTGCTCAAATCGGCTGCGCCATGACGGGATGAGAGTGTCTCATCGACTTGAATGCCAAAACGTTCTAGATACCGTTTCAACTGGCCTCGAATGCTCACTGCGCGTAGAAGTGCCCGGTAATTCAAAAGGTTGTCGCGACACCATTTCGAGTCCTTCTTTCCCGTAGTGACAAATGCTTGATACACATTCAGGTACGTCAAATGATCGCCTTCTTCAACGGCGAATTTTCGCCGGTGACTCTCCGCAGATCGTTTGTCTCCATCGTGCTGAACCCATAATGTCCCCTGGAGGTTGACCATGGCTGCAATTGTGAGTATTTCGCTTAGACAGTTGAAAGATGGCGCGGTAAGAAGGACTTTAGCCATCATGGGATCCAGGGCAATTTCTGCCATCCGCACTCCAAGCGGTTTTGTCAGTTTGGCATATTCGTCAATCGCACCGAGAGAGGACAGTAGCTCAAGTGCACGAATGATAAGTTCCGCCGGGGGAGGTGTCAAGAAGTCGAACCGGACAATGTTGTCGATGCCCAGTGCTTTAAGCTGCATAACGACCGGTGCGAGATCTGACCGCTGGATTTCAGGTACGGTTGCTTCCGGCATCTGCTCGAACGCTTGTTGCGTGTACAGACGGAAACATTTACCTGGCTTCGTTCTTCCAGCGCGGCCAGCTCGCTGGGTGGCGGATGCTTTTGATATCGGCACTGCAGTTAGTGTATCAATACCAGTATTGGGATTGTATGCTCTGAGCTTGGCGAAGCCGCAATCAACCACATATACAATCCCGTCTATTGTGACCGAGGCCTCGGCAATGTTGGTCGAGACGATGACCTTTCGGGTGTTTTCTGGAGTCGGCTCGAAAACATACATTTGCTGTTCCGTGGTGAGTCCAGCATAGAGTGGCAGCGTAAGCAGAGATGGCGCCTTTGGATGGAGAGTTGCCGCTCTTTCGGATATCAACTGGATCGCAGTGTCGATCTCTTCCCGGCCAGTCAAAAAGAGAAGTACGTCGCCTTCTGGTTCTTGGGTATGGATATCAAAGACGGTCTTGACTGCTCGCTCTATGTAATCTTCTGCTGGAGCGTCGAGGAACAGCATGTCAACGGGATACATTCGTCCTTCCAGACTGATGATCCGACCAACGCTTCCACCCAAATCCGCGGGCTCTGCCTCGGGCAGGTACTCCTCGCCGGCGAAGAAGCGAAGAAATTCCTCTGCTTGGAGGGTTGCACTACTAACAATAATGCGAAGTTCAGGGCGCTTCTTGCAGATCTTCTTCAGAGTCCCAAGGAGCACATCGGTACCGAGAGATCTTTCATGTGCCTCATCAACCATGATCACTGAATACCGCGAAAGTAGAGGATCCACCAGGGCTTCCCTGAGCAGCATTCCATCTGTCATGAATTTGATCCTTGTTGCAGAAGATGTCAAATCTTCAAATCGGATGGAATAGCCCACCTCTTCACCGACTTTGCATCGCATCTCTTCGGCTACTCGCGTTGCAACCGTTGTAGCAGCCACCCGCCGGGGCTAAAACATGGTTAGTAACTATTTAAATTGAAATATGATGATGGGATCAGTGCTCACTTGTGTAATAGCAATGATCTTCCCATCCTCGCACCATCCTGCCTGGTCTAGATACTGTGGGAGCTGGGTTGTTTTCCCACTTCCTGTTTCGCCCACCACGATAGTAACGGGGTATTTCTCAACTAAATAGAGCAGGTTCTTCTTGTGGCGTGCAATAGGCAGTAACGCAGCCGGTTTGTACAGGGCTGGAATGAAAGAGGTCGAGAGCGCCTGTTCTGATGCCATTTTGGATCAACTTGAATTTCAACCCTGTTGTTATAAGCAACCAGATTAGGAATTATACTTACTGAAAATGCAAGCACTTTGCAGACTGACAACTTGAAGATGTCAATGTCAGATGTCAGATTCGTAGCAGAAATATCCAGGGAGATAAGCTCGCTCGCCCACTATCACGTGCGCTCCACGTCACTTGGAGCTTCCCCGATATGTTCTGCTCTCAGACATTCTCAGGCAACACTGTTTTTTGTGAATTTCCCTTCAGTCAATTTCTATACTCTGTTAGATCCTGAAGATACCTCAACATGTCTGAGGAAGACAAAATGGTATGTTTACTTACTTTCCGGCCGCATATGACCTATCGCATGAGGCTCACATTCATACACAGAACACTCCCAGCAAGCCCTTGGCTACCCTCAACACGCCTAACAGCCCCCGACCCGAGTCGCCGACTACTGCACGCCCGATGGACTTTGACGATGAACCCCAAGAGACCGGAATTATTGCTTCCTCCCCTGTCGCTCCTCAGCCAGCTGCCGCCGAGGCAGCCCCGCCAAAGCCGCCCCGGCCCCTGAACCCGAGAGAACAGTCAGAGAGCACCCTTAAGGAGGCATTTCCAAGTATCGAGCCAGGTGTTATCAAAGCTGTCCTGACCGCAAGCAATTGGAATGTCGAGCGGGCGTTCAATGCCCTCCTGGGTTCGTGGGGAAACTACCATTTATGAAATTTATGAAAGGAGTATGAGCTGACCATGGCTCTACTTGCAGGCATGACAGACCCCAAGGCTCAAGAAGAAATGGCACCGCCGCCAAAGCCGCCGCGCCCAACACAACAGAGTACTGCTGCACAGAGACAACTGGAAGCCGATGAGATGTATGCACGCCAACTATCGGAGCACTACAATGCGACAGGACGTCGCGCACCACCCCCAGGTTGGGAGACCGACCCCCGATACCAGCGACCTAGAGGAAGCGAGGAGTCGGAGGAGAGAGAATATAGCTTCTTTGATGGTATGGGTTATATGTTGGTTTGCCGAATGAGTTTGTGCTAATTGAGTATTTAAAGATGATCTACCGGTGATCCGCGAGAACCTCCGCAAGGGCTTCCTGGAGACACAGAATAAGGTTAACTCGTGGGTAACAAACCTCAAGAAGAGAATTGATGGAGATGATTTGGACGAGGAACCTGTTCAAAGAGAGACTCCCACCCATGCCCGGCCCCGACGTAGTGGTGATATGGGCCGTCGCAGTGGAGATCGTGAGCGCTATGACGCAGATCCCCAAGTTCTCAGCGATGATTTCTCTGCTCTCGAGTTGAGGGATGGCGAAGGTAAACAACGATCTTAAGTCTGGCATCGTTGAGTCTTGCTAACTGTGCACAGCTCCCCCAGCTCGCCCCCTGCGTCCCGGCCAGCCCAACCTTAAACTATCCGCGTCTCCTTCGCCAGACAGGCGCAGGGTGTCTTTCCAAGATGGGCCACCCACCGAGATCGACAATATTTATGATTCCTCCACACCATCTCAGCGTCTCAGCTCAACAGGCAGCAAGGCGAGCAAATGGCAACCATTGTCCAGCGTCGCGCCTTCTCCCGTCGCGGAGAACGACCCATTCAGCCTCGGCGACAGCGATGACGAGAAGGAAACTAAGACTAAAGAGCAACCCACTAGCTCAGAGGGCGATCAACTCAAGAACGCTACCGTCGAGTCGGTGTCAGACGAGGTGGGTTCCTCCAAGAACCAGGAAACCAAGGGCGCAACAAAGCCCGACGAGTCAAAATAATTGCGAATTGGAATTTGAATATCCCCACACTGTTATCTGAATCACTTCGTGCCTTTCCGCATTCCCTCTCAGCCCATTATCATATTCATTTCCCATATCGTTCTACTCTACTAACTCACCTTGCTATGCGCTACCAACCTCCCTGAGTCTACGATACCTAGTAAAGGTAGCCCAAGTTATTTTCCAGCCTTTTCAATGTCTCCATAAACACAAGCCAAATTGAAACTGTATTTGTACCGAAAACAAGCAACAAAACAAAAGGGTATAATCTCCGACCGGCCCGTATGGTAGTGAATACACGGCCTCAACGCCAAAACCAGAACAAATCAAGAGATCTCGTTCAATGCACCGATGTGATAATAGGTAGCTCTTCTTTGAACTCACACCAACTCCCCAAAGCGATTACTCCACGGGAGCATTGCCCAAGCGCTTTGAGCCAGTCTCCTTGCGCAGATCCTTGATGACAGTCTGTAAAGCAGTCAGCTACTAGGCACCTTGAACACCAAATCACGCGCGCAGAGAGCTATATTATTCAGATTTGATGCCAACCTCGGGGGAAACACCTACCGCCAAAGCATCGGGGTTGACCCCGTTTTCAATAAGAGACACACAAAGCGATAGCTCTGTTCTGTCCAGGTTTGTATTCTGTTCAACATGTTAGTTTTGGTAGCTATATCTTTGTTTTCTTTGTAAACAAGAGAGAATGACGACATGGACTAAGGTAAGGAGAGTTCTGAATCCTGAATCCTGTTTCGGTCTGGAGAGGTAAACACGTACCAGTAGGTCGGAGATCTCCTGGAGGATATCGATGACCTCTCTTGCGGCTTGGCGCTTGTCGTCTACCTGGTCTTGGGATTTTGGGGGCATTTTTAATTGATTTGATAGTGAAGGTGGGGTGATGGAGGATGGTGTGGGTGGTGTGGTTGGTGTGATGGTTGAATCTGTGTGGAGTTGGGGCTAATCGTGGGGGGTGAACGTTTCTGCGGATCAAACAATAGTAATCCTGATGTATTAATCCTACCTACGCAGTACTTCGTACATCATGATATTTATTTGAGACCATTTTCTATATTGACGTCATTTTGTTTGTAAAGGAATCTCCTACTTCAATTGTTTTTGTGCTTTTTACTGGTGGATATTATTAGATATAGTGCTTATCTTCGACTTTGTACATTCTACTAAAATATATAAGAGACTGCTCGGAGAATTTAATGCATCTAAATTTTGATTTATTGCATTAAATCCATAGGGCATAGGGCTACAGTGTCATATTTGTGTGTTTCTTCTCTTCCTATCACTCTTGTATCTTCAATATTATACACTAAACTGGCATCACTGAGGGAATTTATATGATAACTATACAGGCCATATTAAAGAGTCTCTAAAGAGGTCGGTTATTTGGACATAATTTCCTGCTTCTTCTATTACTCTTCTACATTATACAATAGTTCGAGCATCACTAAAGTCTGAGGGAATAAATGCCGACCTGTAATATTATTGTAGGTATAGTTAGAAGCCAAAGTGGTAACTCGTCCACTTCCAAGAGAATTATTCAGCCAATTCATTCGATACCTTCAAAAACATCATTCGATGGCTTAGTATTCTAATAATTTCTAAAATCCAAGAAATGTTGCAAATCCTAATATAAAGCATTCTGTATTAATTAACAGAAGTACAAGGATAAAGTACTACCTTGTTGATCCTCAAGGAATTGCAACAATTGCAATACAATCTTCAGACATTTGATCCTTCAGCAGGGCATTGTTCACATGGCGAAAGTACAGTTTGATCCATAAACGACTATCTTCACCACTAACAATCGAAGATCATCCCACGGCCAGACATGCCCATTTCGCCCCCAACCCTAATCGCCATGCCCGCCCGTGCGGAATAAAAACGTGCAATTTATGCAGAAAGATGCTATCCAAATGGAGAAAGTGGACCTGGAAAATTAGTGACCTGAGCGTAAAAGAATGTACAGTTAACTATCCATTTTAGGATGCTGCCCTAATAATTTTATATGATCTCATTCAGGTTGCTAGATCAAAATGACAAGATTACCCATGCTCGCTTGTTAAATTTTTGACAGGTCTACAAGGCTACTCACATTGCTTTTGTTCTGTGTTTACAGAACACCTTTTAGAGTGTCATTCTCCATATTTCAGAGTGCTGGAGCAGTAAACCGCAAATATGGATATGGAACATATGAACATGACATCTGTTTTCGGACCCCCACCGCCGGGGGTCGATCTCACAGAAAACAGAAATGTACAGGACACTATTGCTGTGGTGTCTGTATGTGCGCTTGCGATAGTAACAATTATCTTCCGTCTTATTGTGAGGGTATATGTCCAGGGAGCGAGGCTGGAAGCCGATGACTGGCTGGTTGGAATAACTGGCATTCCATTGATTGCATTACTTGCATCATCTATTCTTGGTACGTTGGAATCCGATCTTATATAGAAAACAAGACATTAACAGTATATCCTCGAATTAGGTGGCCGCTACGGTTTCGGTTTACATGTCTGGAGTGTAACAGTGGGAAACATGGTCAAAATGAAAAAGGCATGACCAACAAGACTCTATGTCTCAGAGCCAAATCTAATCGAATATAGATCCTCTTTGCCTACCTCATTATCTATCTCCTCGAGCTCCTTCTCATCAAAATCTCGATTCTTATGTTTTACCGTCGAATCTTCGGCATGAACTGGATGATCTGGGCCACCCTTCTCATCTCCTGTGGCTGGTGGCTAGGAAGCTTAATCGCAGCCCTATGTGCCTGTGATCCAATTCCATTTTTCTGGACCGAAATCACCAACCATAAATCTGGCTCATACCGATATAACTTTTACTACTACTACATTGGGAATGCGGCTGCAAATGTCCTGACGGACATCCTTATTCTGCTTGTCCCAATGCCTATTATTTGGAAACTTCAGATGCGGACAAACCAGAAGATTGGCGTGTGCGCTGTGCTTCTTCTAGGTGGATTGTATGTTCTCGAACGAACCGAACCTTTTCCAAAAACCAATACTAACACAACTTTGTCTTAGCGTCTGCATCGCAAGCGGTATTCGAATTCACTACCTAAACTACCTCAACGGCAACGTCGATCTCACATGGGCCTTAGGCAGTGTATCTGTGTGGTCAACCATCGAGCCGTGCATCGGTATTATCTGTGCCTGTCTCCCCGTCCTACAGCCATTCGTCCGCTCACTGTTCAAGAAAATGCCGAATTTACCGGGCACCCGTCATATCGGTGGGACGCGAGGACTGTCTAGTTTCGTACACAGAATATCTCTCCACGAACGCAAAGAAGGAAAATATGACGTGCAATGCACAGCAAGAACAAGTCCAACGCCCTTTGGGCACTCAAATGAAGATTTTGACCCTCTTACTACGGTCATGACTCAGGTGGGGACAGATTCAAAAGAGAGGTTTAGTGGTGGGGAGGAGAATCTGGATCCCATGGCTATTCGTGTTAAACGAGTTGTGCATTGGAGTATCGATTAGGCCCAGTCAATCCTAGTGCCAGTGGGAATTTTCTTTGTCTGGCGTTCTGTGGAAGTTATTGCATATATACATGTACGTTTATACCTTTGTAGGGAGACTTTTGTTGGTTGCGGACCCATTTGCAGATAGTACTGATACCATAAAAGGCACATATTATCTTGTACTTCCCTTTATTTCCTCACCTATACCTATCCTTTGCCTTTCACTTTTTCCTATGTTTGCATAATTCAAGATTGCGTTGCTTTCTCGCGACAGATTTTGCCTTTTTTAACTCATGTGCTCCCTCGATTCCGTTATTAATACTTCTATTTCTTCTATCCGACCGGACAACTTTGCAAGCACCCCTGCAACTTGTTTCAATGTCGTCAATCTATCTTCAATCAACCCCCTAGACAACTTACATTAAATCCATGCACGCGAGAGACATCTGGAATTTGAATACCGAGCTTGAGCGCGATTCATGGAAATGCCAGGACATTTGTGTGGGACAACGATATCTGCAGACTGGCTGAGGATACGCGGATTATCAACGATGTGCTTTTGAGCGAATAATCGTCAAGCTATGTATCACCACAACATCCTACGGCGCAGAGTTTAGGACTATCACGACATATTGAACACTACAATGATGGGAAATTGATATTCCCCATCTCTCCCGGTCAGCCCCCGCCTCATCAATATCCCCCATACCCTCATACCACTCAACACCCAACCATCCAGAACTAACTATGGGTATCTCAGTCTCCTAGCAATCGCCCGTATCGTTCTGGTAGTCCTTTATCGCAAGCGCATGAACCGCGACAGCCGTAAGGGTCTAGAAGATCGCCAACGTGAAGACGGCTTCTATGCTCACTATGTGACCCAGCGCTTCGGCACTGAGGGAGCAGCACCATCGACTGGACGCACCAATCATTCCCACTCACGACGCACCTCAGGCGACTCGATCTATGATTTCAAGCAGGATCACCCTCATCACCTTGCTCAGTTGCCCGGTAATGAGCCGGGTCTTTTTGATAATCGGTGAGAACACTCTATCCGGTAGGGTCATATATGTCAGATGGCCGATGAACTTTGACTCCAATGGATACATTACCCCAACCCTAGCCTCGGCTTAAGGAGAGGACTGGGAGATTGTTCCAATCATAGCAATCTGATTCATGGGACCCTACATATCCTGCTTCTTCGGTATGACTAGTAATTGCCATTTACTCCCGATCTCCACTAATGATTATTAGATCTTGAGGAAAGTGTTCTCAGCCCGACAACTACTCCAGTAATTGATCATCTCAAGACAAATGTGTCTTTGTCACAATGGTTGCAAGAATAAATTGAGAACATCGAAAATTCCTCCAACGCTGCGTCATCTGTAATTTCCGCCGCCACATAAATTGACGAATTTACTGACGTTGACAAGCTCAAGTTGAGCGAAAAGCTAGTATAAATTTTTTGGCCCCTTCTTCTTCTTTAGGGCCTAGAGAGCAGGTGGAGATGGGGAAAGGGCCTTCGAACAGGAGTACTTAGTGCTGTAAGAAGAGAAATAGAGCATCGCTATGTTCAATCATCAAATCAATAAGCTGTACATTGCAATTTTGTAAAGAAAAGATGAAATAGACATCAATACAGCATACCACCGAGTGATTCTAGGTTGTTAGGTTTGTATCTGGGGAGGTTGACATGCAAATATGGAGGGAAAAAAGAATGAAAAGGTGACAACGGCGCAAGACGAACGACAATCCCTACTAAAAAGTCAAGGCAGCATGTGTTCGGAGAAATCAGGTCTAATTTAAAAAATAATAATAATATTGAAGCCAAAACATCGTGCATCAACTCCTCCCTCACTCACATCTCAAGCATCAATGCCTGAAGCCCTATCGGGTTGAAATCTATCGTCATGTCTTTCAGAATGACTGCACTCGGCATTAACTCGTCATACCCCATCGTACCACCGGCACTGCCATCAGCTTGGCAACAATTCCGAGATCGACCTTGTCTCTTCCTCGCCCGACAGCTTTATGCCTGGCGACCAGTCAACCTTCCTCCGCTTCCCGAAAACCCCGTCACAATAGTCTGCATCTCAAACACCTATAGAGAGCGACCAGTGATACCAAGTGGCGATATTCTGATCCATGCCGGCGATTTGACATCAAATGGATCGCTTGCCGAGCTCCAGATCACGCTAAACTGGCTACAAGCCCAGCCTCACCGCATAAAAATTGTTGTGGCGGGTAGATCTGATCAGTATCTTGATAGAATGAAGATGGGAAGTCGTTGCCGCTGGAGATTAGGAGATCCTCAGAGGTTATATTGGGGCGACATCATCTATCTGGAGCACCGGGATGCTATTGTGGACTGTTGGAACGGACGCCAATTGCGGATCTACGGAAGCCCATACTCACCAATGACCATTCCTTCCTCGGCATTCCAGTACCCCGAGTTGGATAACGTTTGGGATAGAATCCCTGACGACACGGACATTCTCATCACTCACACGCCACCATACACCCATCGCGACTCTCTCGGGGGCTGTAAGCACTTGCTGAACCAGATATGGAGGGATCCTCCTCGACTGCATGTTTTTGGATGCTCTCTTGAGAATAGTGGATGGGAATTCTTGCACTATGATGCTCTTCAGGAGGCTATGGAGAACATTGAGGCGGAGGGTGGGGGATTTTTCAATCTTCTGATGGTATTCAAAGGCCTCGTGCAATCCTTTTTTTACCCTGATATCAAAGCTAGAACTCTGCTTGTAAATGCATGCATTAACGGTGGATTGTGGAATCTTGGACGCCAACCGATCGTAGTGGTCATTTGATCTAGGCTAGGAAGAAAGTCAACTATGTGCTCAGCCGCTTGGTAAGGATGTGAGACATGACTCGACATGTGATTTATCAATGAGAAAAAAAAATGTTTCTAGTTGTATGACGTGCATAGACGCGTAGATGAAATTGAGATAGTATTGTCAATTTGTAGTTGTTTATAGATCAAGGCGACTCTCATTGGCTGAAACTCACCGGTGGGGACCATCCATAACACTTTTCACCACCACGGAGTACTTGAACCTCATACATTTACACGGCATAACCTGGCGCATATACAGTGCCAAATAGCTGGAACAGGCGTGTTAAAACTAGTCAGCCCTGGTTTGGAATGGCACCTCAATGCGAACCGCGAGAAATGGGAGGAATGCCCGGCCTCACTATCTCGGACATTCATTCCTTGAAGAGGAACGAGGCACTGGAGATTCTTGCCCAGATTTCACGCGTCGAGAAAAAGACCTTCCCAACCAATGAGGCATTCCCATTCGGTGAGGACCTGTGGAGAAAAAAGCCTAACACCCGAGTTCTGTACGCGATTCGAGCTAAGGGATCGCAATCTGATCTGATCGCCTATGCGGTCTATGTCCGACAGAAGGGCGTTGCGCTATTACACAAAATTTGCGTGACAGAGCCTAACCGCCGTCAAGGTGTTGGCCAGGAGGTGCTGTCCTACATTCAGCAGCGCCTACGAAAGGAGGGCTGTCAGTATATTCAACTCTGGGTGGACCAGGCTAGGGAGCCTGCGCGCGCCTTGTATCTCCGTCTTGGATTTGAGGAGCGTGAAGTTATCCCTGATTACTATGCCCCTGGACGAACAGGCATCAAAATGGTCCTAGATTTAGAAGCTTGATAGTTGAGCCACTGTCGTCAATGCTGCACCCCTCGGGCCTATTTTCCTCCCACTGAAAATGTTCCTTGCCTTATTGGTCCCTTTTGAATACGTCTGAGGGGCAATAAGTCCTGATGGTTGGGCGCATCTATGCTCCTTGGCTGCCCCAGGAGCCACCTGTGGCTACCCCTTGCATGGACCGGGCGTCTTCGAAACGTGAGATTATAGCGATCGCGCCCGTGTCCATTCTCCGCTGTCATTCTGCTGCATACTTCCGATATCTAGCATATCCAGGTATGGCTTTTTTGAAAGGGCTCGCCTTGAATGTCTCCCTGGTCCCTTTGGTGCGAGAGGGACCGCGATCCTTTTCTGGAAGATCATGCGTGATACTCTTTCATCTTCATCCTAAATCTCTTTCTTTCCTTCTTGATTACTTTCATAATCTTTTGCCGTGGGATTGGAATCGCTGTTGGTGATCGGTGAGCTAGCTGTGTCTTTTCCAGCTATATACAGTTCCAGTGTGCTCGCATTTCTCAACAATGGCGTTCTTTCTCACCATCATGCTGGCTTTCCTGTCAATCACCAGTGCAGCATCCTTGTCTGCCAATTATCCTATAAACGCGCAATTACCACCAGTTGCCCGAGTTTCACAGCCTTTCCAATTTGAATTCGCCCAAAGTACTTTCTCTAATAGTGATGGGAAAACTAAATACTCGCTATTAAATGCACCATCATGGCTCGAAGTGGACAGCAGCAGTCTTACACTGTCCGGAACGCCACATTCAGGCGACAGTGGCGCCATCGATTTCAAGCTTGTGGCATCGAATGGGTCGGAAAAAGACAGCATGGACGTTACTTTAATCGTGACGGCAGACCAGGGACCGACGGTGAACAAGCCGCTTGTACCTCAACTACAGAAATTCGGACCGGTCTCATACCCTGCCAGGCTCTTCATCCATCCCGGTCGTCCGTTTTCAATTGAGTTCGACCAGGATACCTTCGATAACACGCATCCTTCCACGATCTACTACGGAACCTCGCCGCACAACGCTCCCCTGCCTTCCTGGATCAACTTCGACCCGGCAGCCCTAAAGTTTGTTGGAAATAGCCCTGCTTTTCCAGGCGCTGGGCCTCAAACATTTACTTTCCAGCTGATCGCATCAGATGTAGCTGGGTTCAGTGCGGCCAACTTGACCTTTGAACTCTCGATCGGTCCCCATATACTGACATTCAACGAGACTGTCCAGACCTTCAACCTTACGAGAGGAGAAGAGTTCAATAGCCCCAAATTCACTAGCTTTCTGTCTATGGATGGTTCGCCAACTACTATCAAGGAGCTGGCAAACGTCGATGCTGAATTACCGGACTGGTTGAAGTTGGATAAGGACAATATCGCGTTGAGTGGGACACCACCCAAGGATGCCGTGAACCAGAATATCACTATTGCCGTTACAGACTCTTTCCAGGATCAAGCGCACCTGATGATTCGCTTGGAGTTCTTGAAGCTGTTCCTTGACACCGTCGATGGCTGTGAGGCAGCCATTGGCCAAGACTTCAAGTTCGTGTTCAACCAGTCTATCGTCACTGATGACTCTGTGCAATTGGAGGTCAACTTGGGCAGCAACCTCACATGGCTTACCTACTTCTCGGACAACAAGACTCTTTATGGACACGTTCCGGACGACATGGATCCCCGGAAGTTCACCATTCCTCTTACTGCACACCAAGAATCAACCGAAGACACAATGGATTTCATTATCGATGTTCTCAAAGCCTCGGACACACATTCGAACCCCACCGATCCGTTCACCAATTCTGGCAGCTCCAACCACAAGAAGGCTGGCATCATCGCCATCTCAATCGTGATTCCATTTGTGGTAATTCTGAGTTTGTTGATTGTATTCTGCTGCTGGCGTAGCCGCAAGAACTCGCCCACGATCGAAGATGGCTCATCCGACAGCAAGCTTGCTCCACCACGACCTGTTAGACCAGATGTTCCTATTTGCCAGCCATCTGTGGCAGAAAGACCTTCTCGCGATGAGGATTCCGAAGATTGGATGAGTCCTATCACCCCATCATCGATTCCCAAACTCGAACTTGGCCCCGTATGGGATGTGTCATCATTTGATAAACGGGAACACCCAGTTAGCTTTACTATCCCTGAGCCCATTGTTCCCCCTCGCTCCCCTGCTCGCAAATCTCCTACTCGTGGTGGCTTTGTCCCATTGCGAGACTCTATCATCCAAGAAGATAACACCGTTCAAACCGTCTCTCCCTCCAGGAAGCAAAACAACCGCCTCTCATACTCGAACAGCCCCGTGCGTCGTAAGACCACCACTCGGTCCCGACGAGAGCCATTGAAGCCGATCCAGCCGCGAGCCATGAAGCGAGAATCTATGCAATCATCCAAGTCCAAGAGATACTCAAAGCGCTCGAGCGGTATCTCCTGCATTGCTTCTGGACTGCCCGTACGATTCAGCGGAGCCGGCCATGGCGCTGGCGGCTTCGGGCCTCCCGGCCACGGCGTTGTGCAGACATCATGGCAAAACGCGCGAGCCTCAATGATGAGCGACGAGACCAGCATAGCAAACATGGCGCCAATGTTCTCGCGTCCGCCAGGAGCACGCATGCGCCACAGCATGGCATCCAGCATCCCGGACAACTACAAGCGCATGACCCTGCGTACCGTCGAGCCCGAGGGATCCATCCTCTCCGAAGCCGATTCCCTGGAAGCCTTTGTCCATAGCCGAGCCAAGCACCGCAACTCCTCCAACCCTCTCTTCTCCGCACAAATCAGCCGACGAGCTTCCTCCGGATTGCGCGCGCTTGATCGAAACTGCGGCGACCGTAGCCGCGCCGACACCGTCTCGGAGTCAACCTTCAGCGACGAATTTCGCCAATCTATCCGAGAACGGCCCGTGTCGACTGCGATCTCGGCCTCGGAATACGGTGATGAAAACAACAACCGCTTCTCCCATTATCAAAACACCCACCAGGCCGGTCTGTTCCCTCTTGCGGAGGGCAGCGTATATGGACAGAGCCAGCTAAGCCTTGCACAAGACTACCGCGGTGTCATCTCTCCGCTGCCACGGTACTGGAGCGAGAATAGTATGGGCAGTGGTCGGCAGTTGGAGGGCCAGAGTCAGGGCAACTCTCAGCCTCAGAAAGTGAATGATGAAAACGCTATGCCGCACAGCTCGTCTATGATCTCGGATCTGGATGAGCATCTGTCACGCAAGGTCAGCTCTAATAAGAGCCCCGATCATCCCTGGTGGTTGTCGTCGCCTCTTCAGGCCCCGCAGCCGGTGAAGAGTCCTGGTAACGGTAATCGGGGTCTTCCTATAGCTAGTAGTGGAGAGTTGGCATTTGTTTGATTTTTGGCTCCGCCGTCTTTTCCCCCGTCGTATATTTCTATATCTCTATCTGTTTCTGTCTTCCATCTGTTTGTTTCTGGCGTTCTCGGGCATTGCATGATATCCATTGGCTTTTCTATGGTTGATTGGTTGGCATTTTGGTGAATTCTTACTCGTTGGTCTAGTTTTAGAGCGAATAATAACATTTCTACATGATTTAATGTTGCTTAGGTGTATGCATGCATAGCGATCGGGCTTCTACAACATCGGGTTCACCGCTTGGGTCTCTCGATATCCGCCTTCGTAGTCACCTCTAATAAGCGTGGAACACTATAGAGTCCATGGCTCATGAGCGGAATGAGAAGACCTTTGAAGGAAGTTATTCCCTACAAATAGAGTGCAGGTTTTCCAAGTTTGAAAGTCAGGCATTCTAAATAGCATGGCATGACTGTACAGTGACTACAGTGACTAGTTACATAGTCCCTGTTTACTTTCCGCTCAGCCTCAATGAGATACAAAATTGAAGATACAAGTTACTAGGTATAGATCATATCTTGATATGTAAGCTAAAGACTTATTTGCCCAAAGAAATTCTCTCTAATCCCAATCTTCTCCCAAAACTCCGTCTAGTAACCAATCTGATCCCCTCACGTGACTCTATAGAGCAAGGCGTAACAAAAGCGGTAAACGCAATACCAGGAAATCTCTGCGATGATCTTCTCAGGACTCGGACTTTCTCTCTTAGCTTCCTTGAAATTGTTTCTCCAATCTTTGTCTCCTTACAAAATCGCTACTGTCTTCTAAAACATCCAAGTGCAAAGGCAAGAGATCTATCGTCATCCGTTGTTCCCCACTTATCGCGGGACCCAGACGCGCTGAAAGCCCTGCGCCCTCATCTGACCCTTTCCCTCCAGCACCTCCAGCATTTTCCACACTTCGATCCAGAAACCTCGATTCCATCACCTCCCCCGAATTATTCAATCTTTGCCAATATGGGTCAAACCCTATCGGAGCCGGTGGTCGAAAAGGTGAGTCCGATATTTCGCTTTCTTGATTCACACCCCACACTGGCCATTGTGACCCAACAATATGTTTTCTATGCCTTCCAAACACCCCCTTTCTTGGCTCCCATCATACCCCAGATTAGGGATTCTGGACCGAGTCTCTCAGTCACGTCTTCCATTTGAACAGATAGTCCGTGCTGTCGCTCGGAGGAATCTTCCTCGGGTTGCCATGCGGGGTCTTGGGTAGTCCAGCTGAGTAGTGAGGGTGGCTCGACCAGCAACGAAACTTGTGTCGCAATCTCACCAGGCAGCCTTGCATATGCCGTGGAAAAGTATGGAGTGTAACTAACATGTTATTTTCGCTTGTTATAGACATCGTCCGAAGGCGGGGATGACTGCTGTGTGTATGGTGTGTCGGCCATGCAGGGCTGGCGAATCAGCATGGAGGATGCCCACGCTACAATCCTTGACCTCCAGGCAAAGTTCACTGGCAATAACGACAAACCGACTGATCCGGAACACCGCCTCGCGTTCTTTGGTGTTTACGATGGCCACGGTGGAGACAAGGTGGCATTATTCACTGGCGAGAACCTGCACAAGATCGTCTCTCGACAGGATGCTTTCGCCAAGGGTGATATTGAACAGGCCATGAAGGATGGTTTCTTGGCGACCGATAGGGCTATTTTGGAAGGTCTGTGCTATCTTCTTGTTCTCAGGTACCACGTGCTAGATTGCTGACTTGAGCTTAGACCCTCGTTATGAGGAGGAAGTGTCTGGCTGTACTGCTTCCACAAGCATTATATCACAGAAGAAGATCTGGGTGGTATGTTATGATTTCAAATCACATTGGACTGTAGAGGCTCAGACTGACTGGTTATAGGCCAACGCTGGTGATTCACGATCCGTCTTGGGTGTTAAGGGACGTGCAAAGCCCCTTTCATTCGATCACAAGCCTCAGAACGAGGGTAAGTACATGGGATCATAGAGTTCGCTACATGAAATATAACAGGGGACTAACAAATAATTATCACAGGCGAGAAGGCCCGTATCACCGCTGCTGGTGGCTTCGTTGACTTCGGTCGCGTCAATGGCAACCTTGCCCTGTCCCGTGCTATCGGTGACTTTGAATTCAAGAAGAGCCCTGAGCTCTCCCCCGAACAGCAGATCGTTACCGCATACCCCGATGTGACTGTTCACGAGCTGACAAATGATGATGAGTTCCTGGTGATTGCCTGTGATGGTATGTCTTCTCTTTTTGCTCCCTCTCGCCAGTCTAAATGCTAATCGGCCTACAGGTATCTGGGATTGCCAGTCCTCCCAGGCTGTGGTTGAGTTTGTCCGCAGAGGCATTGCTGCCAAGCAGCCCCTCGCCCAGATCTGTGAGAACATGATGGACAACTGCCTCGCCTCCAACAGTGAAACCGGCGGTGTTGGATGTGACAACATGACTATGACCGTCATTGGACTTCTACAAGGCAAGACCAAGGAGGAGTGGTATAACCAGATTGCAGAGCGGGTTGCGAACGGGGATGGACCTTGTGCTCCGCCCGAGTACGGCAAGTCTCCCGAGGAACCCGAAAGCGTCCCCACTTCTTCGTGCTGACGGTCAGTTCGTGCAGCCGAGTACCGTGGCCCCGGGATCCGGAGCCAGTTTGAGGATAATCCGGATGAATATGATGTGGAGATGGAGCGTTCCCGTGGCTTTAGTGTCCGTTCGGGCCGCATCATCCTCCTAGGTGATGGCACTGAGGTCATTCCGGACCAGAACGACGACGAGCTTTTTGACCAGACCGAGGAGGATGAGGACCTTACCAATCAGGTGCAGCATGGATCGGATGCCCGGAACGACCGCCAGGCCACTCCGGGTCCTCAAGGGAAACAGGAGAATGCCAGCGGAGCTTCTGCACAAATATCCGAATCTCCGGCTTCCACTGACGTCGAGAAAGAGAAGTCCTCATCGTAGACTATGATACGAACAGTCTATCGATTGGTCCAACCTGTTTTGGTTTCAATCTGGTTTTGTTTTCCTTGCCCACTGTCAACGACCCTTCCCCCCTGATTCCACGATCTATGCCCTGTTTTCCTCCCCCTTTCTTTGTTTTGCGCTTAGTTATCGTTGGGCTCTGGTCCCGAGCCTGTTTACACCCTTTTTTTAAACCCCTTCGACTTGAAATGGATATTTGTCAGAGACAGGAAATGCGGCAAAGAGACCCACAGGGAATTGAATGAGATGAAAGACAAGAGCTTTGAATTTCCATGGAGGGTCGATTTTGAAAGAGAGCCCTTCGTCGGGAGCCAAATGGGCCTCATGAACACGTTTCTTACTTTATGCCATCACCACAACAAGATACCGCAGAAAATGCCCGCTATTAACGAGCCATTTACTTACACTTCCCTATCTTCTTTTCCTTTATTTTTTTTTCGGGCTCTTTTTCCCTCCTAATCCCCATGTCTATTCCCTACCTATGGTCACTGTGATCTACGGGTCTGGTCTATACGAGAATGAGTACTTGCTAGGGGCGCAAGCTGGTAGAGCTGTGTATTGATTGAGGTTTCGTCAAGGTGAGCAATGGGCAATGGCAATGGTCATTTACATACCCTTTGGCGTATATCTGATGCATTGAGCGTTTTCTTTGTACCTTGGTAGATGTTCTATTTTAAGCAACAGAGTTCTGAGAGAGAAAACCGTGCATGAGTGTTTATTTGTAGACAACTCAAAGGCAGCAATGGAAGTTTTCTATCAATTTCTTATTTAATCTATTGATAGGTCCATACACATCTAGTGCCTTTATTCTACCTCTACCCCTGTACCTTGAAAAGGGACAAACCCACACGTGGTCAGTATAACTAAGATAATGCCAAGATTTGGTTTTGCAATACAAAATACAGATTTGCAATTCTTAGTATTGTAAGATTCGACCCCGTTGACTCTTTGACACCGCCCACAGGTCCACCAGGGACCGTGGGCTTACGACAGCGGAGCTTGCGGCCCCCACTATTTCCCCAAACAGAAAATTACCAGTCTCCCTTGAAACCGGGTTGCCGTCATTCAGGGTTCAGCATTAATTCTCTCCCTATTCCCTCAATCCTCAACTCTTCACTTATTCCCCTCGGAAGAAATCTTTCTTTATTCTCCAGGGCCGAAATCACAATGTCGCCATCTACCTCCCCCGCCGGCAAGCGCAAGCGCAGCGCCTCTCACCTTCCCGCGCCCGTCCCGAAGAACGTCACAGCTGACCTCCAGCCGTCTTCACGCGACGCGTCTGGCGAAGAAGGCGGCGACGACTCAACAGAGCCCGCCAATGTCAGCTCCTACAGCGCCAATGGCGCACGTCACTCTTCTAAGCGCGCCCGCAAGTCTGCCGCCGATGCTACAAGCCACACCGAGGTAAATGGGGCCATCAACAAGGAAGATCCGGGTGAGCCATCTGAGACGACTGTCGCCAGCAGCGATATTGAAGGTGGTCCTCGGACGCGCCCCGGTTTACATATCGATCTGCCCGAGGATGATGAGCCTGTTACAGAGGAGCAAATGGCACCTCCGGTCTTTGGGCGCTTGCAGGATCCCGTCGGTTACAAGACTAATCCTCCCCCAACCGGTCGCCCGGTACGCGTGTACGCGGATGGTGTTTTCGATTTGTTCCATCTTGGGTATGTGATCACACGAGCGGATTTAGTTCCAGTTCCAGTTTCGGCCCCCATGTCCACAATCAGCCCCAATTTCCACATCAGGTTTTAGGTCTGCTCGATTGGGTAATAGTGGCTGACTATCAATTTATAGTCATATGAGACAGCTTGAGCAGGCTAAAAAGGCTTTCCCCGATACTTATCTTATCGTGGGTGTTACTGGCGATGAGGAGACACACATGCGCAAGGGTCTGACTGTGCTCAGCGGCGCCGAGCGTGCGGAGACTATCCGTCACTGCAAGTGGGTTGATGAGGTTATCCCCTGCTGTCCGTGGATTGTGACACCGGAGTTCCTGGCTGAGCACAAGATTGACTACGTTGCCCATGACGATCTGCCCTACGAGGCTGCTGAGGGTGATGACATTTACGGGCCTATTAAGTCCCAGGGCAAGTTCCTGGTGACGCAGCGTACAGAGGGTGTCAGCACCACTGGTATCATCACACGGTATGTTCCGTCTTCCATAACAACGAATCTAACGGACCAATACTAACATATCTATTTGCAGGGTTGTCCGCGATTACGACCAGTACATCTCCCGTCAATTCAAGCGCGGCGCCTCCCGTCAAGAACTTAACGTCTCATGGTTGAAGAAGAACGAGCTCGAGATCAAGCGTCATGTCGTCGAGCTGCGTGATAACATTCGCAATAACTGGACCATGACCGGTCAAGAGCTCGGCCGCGAGCTGCGCCAGATCTGGCAGAACAGCCGTCCTAACAGTCCCGCGCCCAGCGGCCGCAACAGCATGGACTGGGGAATGCGCGGGCCCCTCACCAGCCCTACAGGTGGCGGCAAGTCGCACCTGTCGCGTGTGGGTGCAGATGTGCCTAATCGCTCAGATAGCCCCATGGGCTCTCGCCGCAATGAGGATTTCGCTACTGGTTACAGTCTCGGATTGATTGGAGGTGTGCGTGCTTGGGTAAGTCACACATCCTATAATCGCTGTATATGCAGCGCAGCTTTATCTAGTGTAACTCGTACTAATATGCTTGATATAGATGGCCCGCAGTCGTCAATCCCTCCAGGATCACCCCAGCGGCATGCAAAGTCCTACCGACGAAGATCCTGAGTCCGAGCACAACAATGGCTACGAGGAGGAGGTGCGTGGCCGTGCCGGTCACGTCTCTTCACAGTAAATATGTTTACTGCCCTTGAAGCCACATTGTACCCGACAAAGCTACAAATTGGGTGGTACATAGGCGTGCCATTCTCCCTGTAGCCGCAATCTACCCCACTCGTCCCCAACACATCTTCCCCCCCCCCCTTCCTTTACATATGTATTCATCTTTTCATCTTGCATTCGGTTCATGTCTTATACTTTCAAATTGTGCCGTAACTGGCGGTTTTTCCTATGTCGGGCGCTTGGTGTCTTCTTTCCTATGTGAATGGGCTGTACGCTGGACTTGGCTAGTTCGGCCTCGATACAGTGTTTTTGTCTTTTGATATTTCTATTTTGTTTTGATTTGTTCCCTTGGTTCTCCAGGGTTCGACCTTTTGGACGCTCCTCCTTCCCCCTAATACTCTTCCAATGAACGTGTTTCCTGTTTGATGTCTTTATATAGAGTCTTGGTTTGGTGGTGATGGTGATTGCTGTCAGTTGATCTGATTCCTTTCATCTGATCATGATCTCCGATCTTGGTCTATCCTCCAAGGCTATTTCCTCCCTCCTTCCTCCCTTCCCCTCACCCCACTGCTTGTTTTAGTTCATGTATAAAAAAAAAGGTGGAATTGACGGACAGCTGATCGAGGTACATGACCCTGGCCTTGATTGTGTCTGTCTGTCTGGATATGGACTGCATATAGTTCGAGATGGCTTTTGTTTAATGTTTTTGATGTTGTCAATTGAAACGTTGAGGTTACTGCATTTGATACATGATGTAGAAATTAACCCGTGAGCCTGGTAGCTCTAATCTACATACAACCTTAGCTCCTATTGCCACCTAGAGAGGATAGGTTATCCGCTCTACCTAGTGCCTATTCAGAGGACTTGAAGTTGGGTATACACCTTAGTGTATAGACGAAGGCACCTGGATTTTGATCTGTGAATGATACTGGATATCATTGGAACCACCATCCAGATATTTCAACGAAAACCTTGTATGACTGCAATCACTTGCACAACCTGTGCGTGTTTGCTTGTTTTCTTGTCATATAGGCCAGGCCTTCTTCCAAGCGAGCACATATAAATAAAAGGCCAATCCCCTTCTCATGGGTATTCCAACCTGCCCACTCCATCCTCTTATCAGGCTAAGCCATTATTTACCAGCTATAATTATGATTTATACCATATATAACATCTTGTACTGAACTACAACTCCTCGATGGGGCCTATGTCTCAAATCGATGATCGTGTCTCCTCCTACCTGATGGCAATTTGTATAGGATACAATCCATGCGTCTTTGCACGACTTTCACGATGGTCTAGGAAAGAAAAAGCGAATGGTCAATTTCAAACATCTGCAGAAGTGGCAGCCATGATGTCTCTGTACCTCTCAAATGCAACTCGCATAATTTCAACTCTGTGGAACTTGCACGGTCAACGTTTCCTCGGGCGAGAGAGTCTAGTCCTCATTTTCCTTCAAATAGCCACCTTAGGTCGAGGCACAACAATCAAATAGTCAAAGGTTGTGTTGGACAGGCCCCTGCTTTGAAGAGCTGGACCGTGAACGTTGCGCAGAATGCGGGGCATGGTGTCTGGTCTGTGAAGAAGGGAAGACCACTGGGGGAATCAAGTGAGTGGTGAAGTCCTGCGGAAGTGATATCCCAGTTTCCAGACCCGTCCCAGCTTTCTAAACACTCCATCAACTAATAGTTCCAAATTCTTCATCGCATTTATCATATACCATATCCCTCTGCATGGCACAATTCAAATCTAAAAGTGAGCCATGTAGGCCGTGCCTCATACTAGCTTTGATATTTGATATTCATTCTATCAATACCTCTATACCTGTGATATAACTCTTCAAGCACAGCGCTGTAGTATATAAAATTTGAGGTATTATATCACATTTGGTGATAATGTATGTACTGAATAGATAAATAGGTATATATATACATACATATGTAGTTTATAGGATTAGATATCATGTCAACATTGAGAATTCTTATGCAAACGGGTACTCGTGTACCCAATATCTTTTCAGAACTTCCATTTTCCTCAAGCCTTGAACTAGCTAAGTTGAAGATAAGAGCACTACATAATATATAATATAGGTATGAAACGCTAATATTAATTCTAAATAATGTAGAAGTGTGAGAAGCACGTTAAAAAGACACTATATATAAAGAATATCAAAATAGGTTTAAGAGGCTTGGTATGACTAGTTTACAGCACGTACAACTCGTGTATTAGTATGTACACAGTCTTCATGCGGGCACCGGATGCCTCTTGCGCCAATAAAGTTGCCTCCAGAGCCTGATGGTATACCGAGCCGCTGACAAGTGCCATTTGTCCCACTCGGTTAATATCCCTTCAGCCAAAAGCAAGTTGCGATGCAGATCATTAAGGGAAAGACTATGTACATCGGTAAAGGATAGCAAGAGATCAATGGCCTCTTTGCTATTTGCTTTCACAGCGACTTTCAGCGCTGATGAGCCAAACTTATGCTCGGGCAGAGGAGAAGCCCCTCGTTCGAGGAGAAGTCGAAGGACAGTCAGCTGACCTTCCGACATGAAAGGACCAACGGAGCGCCTCGAAGCATAAAATGTATCCAATTTGTCTATATTCGCACCATGAGATAGTAGTACGTCAAGAGTCGCTGCTGCTGCCTGAGGATCACCAGCGTTTGCTGCGTCTCCCAGGTAGGAGGCAGGATGTTCAGTGAAAGATGGAAGTTCAGAAGCCGTTGGATTTGGGTCGAACCCTTGATCGAGGAGATATTTCGTGACCAACGTGTGTCCCGCCCGGATGGCGCATCTCAGTGCAATTTGTGCTTCGGCATTGCCAGCAACTGGTACCACACCATATGGACGCAAGAATTCAAGCATGGCGACACCTCCTCTGACTGCTTGACTTACCATGGTTGTCACTTCTGACACTCCTCGGGGCCTTTCTAATGAAAACCCCCGATCGAGCAGCATTTGGACCATGGCAACATTTCCGCTTCTCACAGCAATTTCCATCAGGTTCAACTCGTCATGATCGAAGGCTACCTGAGAATCTGCTGTTCTCTCAAGGAGTATACTAAACAGTTCTGGGAATGGTATGGCCGTGACAAGAGCGGGATCTCTATGCTTATTTTTGCAATTCAGATCAACATCGTGCTCAAGAAGTAGTACCACCATATCAATGTTTCCGGTCTCACAGGCTACAATTAGTGGGGTTTCTTCCCTTTCTTTGAGTTTGTTAGGATCAGCGCCTTTTTCAAGCAGAAGCCTAGCAATTCTGACGTTTCCCCTCTGCACGGCCCATGAAAGTGCTGTGCGGGATTCCCCAAACCATTCTGGGCAAGGCCCGGCTGTAGTGTCTGGATGACACCCAGTCTTCAAGATCTTCTCTATAATTTCTTCAAAGTCACAGGTAGCAGCTACTAGTAGAAGTATAATCATATCTTCGCCCCCAGCGTTGATTTTGCTGTCCACGTCGACATGGGAAAGTAAATACTGGACCACTTCTAGTGACCTATCCTGTCCATCAAAGTTCTGTGCAGCCCGCCTCATTAGCCAAAGGGTGACTCCATGTGGCCATGGATGAGTTGGACAGGCTCCGCTCTCAACCAAAAACCGAATGAGATCCACATTGGAGGACTCTACAGCACAGCTCAAAGGAGTAAGCCAACCAGGCTCTGCACCATCTAGAGGAACCCCGGCATTGACCAAAAAGGAAGCAATCTCTGTCTTCTTAGCCAGTGAGAGTAGCCTCCTCTTTTCTCTGACCAAGTAGCTCATAGTTTCGGGATATTCCCGGGCGATGGTTTTCACAATCTCTAAATTTCCACCTTCAACAGCAGTAGTTAAGGCCTCAGAGGCCTTATCCTGATCCCAATTCGCCATTCCACCGTGGGCACGCAGCAGTTGAATAACGGACTCGTGACCATAGCGAATAGCCAAGATGATAGGATCTTGGTCCCCGTTCACCGGGGAGTCCTCTAACCACGCGTCAAAGTCAAAATTCTCGAGTAGATCCTCCCCGGTAAAATAATTCTCAAATGGTTCGTCCTCAAGGGGCCACGGCCTCTTTGGCCACCATTCCTTTTCTCCATTCGGACAAACACCCCATTCCAAGAAAATCTTGACTACAGCATCATGTCCATGAGCAGACGCCAGGCATATCGGCTGCATGGACTCGTTGACTGTAGCATAAAGCAGGGCTCCGGCTTCCAGTGATTTTTGAGCAACAGATGTACGCCCATGCCGAGCTGCCCATTCGAGCGCGCAACCCCCGTTATGTTTGACATTATGCTTGTATAGATATTTGTTCAGCAGGTTGTGCAGTTGGCGCGTTGTCCGTGACAGAGCGTTGATGTCGCTTTCGAGTTCCAAGTATTCAGCGATGAGATAAATCATCTCAAGTGGAAGAGCTGAGAACCCCATGGTTAATCTGGTGGGAGCTAGTTGTATTGAATCAATTTTTGACCCCAATAGCTTTCTACAAAGTACAGCATGAGTAGTGACCTTCTAGATCATGATTCGCAGGCGTAGATGAAGATTGGTGGGAAGTAGGCGGGCGATCTTGTAAAATGTCGCCAGATCTTTTCTGTTTGGGCTGTTTGCAGAGGGATAGAGACTGTATTATAACAATATGAGTTATTGAGTATTATTCCGGGACAATACAGCTTGACAGGCTTAAGGAGAAGTAACTAGATATAGACTAGCGTATTTCAGCACACAACATGGCGTTCGGGAAATTACCTGTGTGTATACGGGGGAATCTGTGTTCGAATATGGCAGTAAGCGTCGCCCTTTTGTAATTTAATGAGCAGATCTCAAATTTACAAAATTTTGCGGACAGACACAACTTATTGGGCGCTTGGCACCATTATAGTCGGACGATGTGAAAGTAGAAAGTCTCTTATGTACAGTGTACCCGGGAAGCAAGTCCTATCATAGAAAGGCCAAGTCCAGATTTGGGCTCGGGCGAAGATCATGGTGGGATCTACCCTCGACATAGCTTACATAGGTATGCCAGTAGAACATCCCAACTCAGTGCTAGTCCATGCTCGCCCTTATTCTCGCACTGTTGCAGCGATGACCATCTGTGCCCAGAAATAAAGCGCATAACCCACAAATATCGCGAGACATCCACGACTCCTTGGCGCAGCAGATCTCCCGAATGCATTCTTCGCAACAAAAAGGTCGCTTACAACAAACATAGCCGCACCCAGGGCTCGCGAGTGTAGCCAGTCTGTTGGAACAATCAATGGAGAGGTGGAAGTAGCAGCCGCAAACATTACCCCAATGATAACGGCATAAACCGAAACCAACAGCTTCATATCCGGAGCGACATCGAGGTCCAGAACATTTGTCTGAAGCGAGGAATGTTGTGAGGGATATATGACACCCAACCATTTTGCAGCGGCCATAGTGGCTACGAAGGTAGCGGCAAAGGCTGTCCAGGAGGTCTGGGAAGAGTCTTGCAGAAAGGCTACAGTGTAGGCTATATGAGCTGCTGCGAAAGCGACGATACCGAGTTGGAAAGATATAGATATTTTTCCTTGCGGTTCTGATTTGCCAGTTTGGTCTTTGGTGTCCAAGCCATGGAATTCACGGCGCGAGGGAATAAGAAAATAGTCGCCCAGCATGGAGAAGCTAAGACCGATGGTGATGAGACGGCGGTAGTCTGACCATTCTGTGGATGGTAGGAGTAATGGGCTGCTAAGGAATGCGAGGGAAGAGAGCATTTTGAATACCCCGGTACCCGTGTGTGATCTGGATTTCCATTCTGAGAAAACTAGTAATGGCAGTGAAGCCAGCAGGAGGCAAGCTGAAGTTGAAATTGAGATATCCATGGATGAAGATAGGGTGAATGAAATGTGTGTTTGGATATACGGGGCAATTGGAGTTCTCATCTTAAGTGGGTTTTCTTGGCGACAAGCCGACCTCGGGAGGCACCATATTTGCTTGTGAGATTGAGCTTGTTCTTTCGGTTAGAGTCAAGAAATTAAGAAATATATATTACAGATGTAGCCTATGGATCTGAACAAGCAGATTTGTGTTAAAACCTCCATGCAACTACAACGTATATTTTTATCTTTGAGTGCTCGAAGTAGTGGTATAGAGGGAAACTTGGGCTTGTATAGAAAGGTAAATGAGGGTATCAAAATAAGAAAAACATAGGAAACAAGAAATAAATCAAGCAGCAGTAATAGCCAATCTAACCCTCCTCTTGTTCATCATCCCCTTCACCCTCCTCTCCCTCGGCGCACACAATACTCCCCTCAATTCCTCCCTCAAAAGCCCAACATCCCTAACCAACTCCCCCTCAATAACCCCCTTAGCAAGCACATCACATCTCGCCGTAACCGCTAATTCAAACACCTTCAACTCCCTAATCCTAAGAATGGGCTTCACCCATTCCTCCTTAATCCCAAACGGAATCCTCTGCCCCGAAATACTTGCCTCCCCCGTACTCGCAACAACACTAGTAAACCTCCCCAAATCCAAACTCAACCCCAACTCCCTCAGCCCGTCCAACGAGGCCACACTCTTCCAAAATCTAGCCCAGAGCTCATCACTATGCGTATGCGCATAAATAGACCCTTTATGATCGAGTCCAGCCATCGGCACCCAGATCGGCATCCATTGCACAGTCAATCGTGAGATTGCTGCACGTGCAACAGACGACAGCGACGCTGCAAATGCAATGAAAGTGTATAAATCGTCAACATCAAAATGCGAGCCTTTGTACAGGATTGTCTCTGCTTCAAAATAGATACTTCGACAAACGCGGAGCAGGGCGCTGTGGCTATTGCTTAGAGTTGAGGGGAGATCGGAGTGGGTGTGTGGGTAGAGGAGTCTATCGCTGTGGCCTGCGACACGGCCATCGTAGATACGCCAGCGGGCTGGGGTTGTGGGGCAGCAGTGGCGGTTTTGAGTTAGGGAGGGGTTTGGCTGATCTGATTGGGTGGGCTGGTTTGGGGATTGGGATTGTTGGTGTTTTGGAGCGACTGGCACTAGGGTCGGGGTTGGACAGCGAACATGGCGGATTTTGCCTTTTAGTTGGACTAAGTGGATGGTTTGGGGGTTTTTGGTATTTGGGGTTGGGGAGTTGGTGAGGACGTAGGACCAGATTATTTCGCGGATTTCGGCGGGGAGACGGAGGAGGGGGGATTGTTGCTGGGATTGGAATTGGAATTGGGTTGGTGTTGGATTGCAGGTCCAGTCTATGGGTGGGCTGAGGTTGTTCTCTGGAGAGCAGATGGCACGCGATTGAATTAAATCGCGGACAGTGTCGCGCCAGCGTTGGCCGGTTGGATAGTAGTGCCAGATGGAGTAGGGATCACGGAGGACCCAGGTGTCGAAGTGACGCATTTTGGGTTCTTAGATATGTTCTATACTCAGGAGAATGTCTATAGAGTCAAAGTAAGGAATATGGGGAAATTATGGGGCGAGTGGGCTTTTATGGCTGGGATATAGACTAGTGTTATAGTACGAAGTACGGAGTACATAGAGAACTAAAGGGAATATACAACATAAACTTGAAATTCCCAATGCGTCGTCTTTCAGCGGGAGTTCCCGGATTGTAACCCAATGACGTCGAGGGTAGTTGGATTCGACATTTCAGATTTTCATATTTCATACTTTTATATGAGACAATGCAATGCCCGGAGCAGAGTGCTCCAGCGGCCAATCCCAAGCTAGTAAGGTACAAAAAAGGTCAAAGCACGCTATATACACCCTAGATATATACATCAAACACATCAAATACGGAGTTCTCCGTATATACAACATAAAGCTTTGGAATGCAAGTCCAGGACTCAATTCCCCTGAACCTGTCTCTCTTCGTCAGTGGCGTCCTTGTATCCCCCCACATCATGATACTCCCCATTCCCATCCTCACTCTGTGGAACAGGCTTCTCGTGCATAAGAGCCACGTAAACCGCACAAACCAAAATAATCCCAGATCCAACCCAACTAAGCGGACTAAGCGTACTTCCCCAAACAACCTTATCATAAAACACAGCAAAGAGCATTTGCATATAAATCATCGATGAAGCACGTGCCCCCTGCGCCACAGGCTTCCCTTCCGAGACCCACGCAGGCGGAACATACGACAATCCCGCCGTCAACAAAAACTGCAATAAGAACCCGCAGACACCTAACCCAATCAACAGTGTCCACTCAACAACTGTACCAGGAATCCGGAACGGCACAGATGGCACGACCATCATCGCAACGAGCGAAATAACCGTCGTGACAGACGAGAAGTATGTGACCGATACAAGAGGGTGCGCACGACGACCGATCATACGGATAGAAGTGTATGCTCCTGAAGCGCCAAGCACACCAACCAAAGCGACGATAGTCGCCATGACATGGTGGTAGGAGTCCGCGTCGGAGGGAGGTTTCTCATCATCCGAAACAGATAGACCGAGTGCCCAAGCGGCGGCAGCGGTTGGTGTTGCGATTGCGGTGTGTGGGTCGCGCGTGCTGAAGGGCCGGGCGATGAGCACGACGCCACCGAGAGAGATCAGGCCTGCGAGCAGCTGTTTCTTGGAAAAGGTCTCGCCAGGGATGAGGAGGGAGCAGGCGTAGCAGGAGATTATGGGCGAGAGGAAGGTTATTACTGTTGCTTCGGAGAGGGGGAGGTATTGGACGGAGTAGTAGAGGCCGTAGACGCCCGTGAAGCCGAAGAGGGCGCGGAGGAGGAGGAGACCGCGGACTGGGCGGGTGCCTAGTGGGGAGGGTGTTGAGGCGAAGTACATATATAGGTAGCTTGCGACTGCTGTTATGGACATGCGGGCGAAGAGGATCTGGGGGCGCTGTTAGTGGTGTTTTGTGGAAGATGGAGAGGGAATAGGCGATGTATAAATATAGATGGATGAGAGGAAATGATCTTCCTGTTTTTCTGACTTACCTGGAAAGGATGCATAGAGCTATGAATCTCCAAGACCTGCGTCATGACATTCATCGAGGCAGCGAAAGCCTGAGCCAGCAGGACAAGGCCCATACCCTTATTGCGCAACCACCATACCTGCCATGCATGGCGGGGTCGCGAAGCCGCGGCAATAGCTTCGGCGGCATCGTCATCCTCGATAGGACGTGGTTCTGATTGAGCCAATGCTGGTTCTGTATCGGCTTCACTGGCACTTTCACAGACGTAGTCATGTTCATACTCTTCCTGGGTTATCGTTCGCGTTGACGACGATCCCTGCTCTGATATGGAGTTCGCGGCCGACTGATCCACCCGGATCGGCAGAGGTGCATCTGGATGATCTTGGTATTGGCCGGCATCTGAGGCCGAATGGTGTGCAGCGACCATACTGGGATGTGTGATCCTGGGGTCGTTATTGGAGAGGGCGATTGGTCCTTGCGGGGATTTTGTGGGGGATGGAGATAGAGGTAATCTAGATGACTCTTTTTTTTCACTCTTTTGGGATCGGATTGCTTCTTTTATAAAGTCTGGATATACAGTGTCCTCTTTGCGAGGAGAAGAAATGCAGATAAAAAGTATATCCAGGCGAAAGGGAATGATCTTATTATACCTGCACTGTATTGCCGATCTGGTTAAGAGATTTCAGCTCGAAATGCGCATGACGGGCGAGTGGAGCATCCGTTGACCGCTAACCGCCTTTCGTCTGGTTTCTTTTTGTTTTTTTGCTTCTTTCTTTGCTTTTCTTTTCTATCTTTTTATGACTTTCTTAGTCTTTGGCTTGACCTGACTCGAGGTTGTTTGCAAATATAGTTGCCTAGTACCTGGTTATGCACTACCATGTACTCTGAGTTGTGTCTGCCACAAGACCTCCTTGCCTACATGTACTAGCTGCTAGCTACATATAAACATGCACCCAACACGGATATTTATCCGCTTTCCTTTACTCTCAGGCACACTTTGCTCATTAATCTGAACTTTGACTTCAGCCCCTCCTCCAGGGCCCCAGGGAGCAAGATCGCTTACTAATCGCCGTTTCAAGCCACCCCAGGGAGTCGAGCTGTCCAGAGATGAATCTGGTGTTTAGGATATAGTTTGTGGACCATTAACAATCATTTATTGTGCTTCCTTGGTAAATCTAGGGAGATAGACTATGAATGTCGTAGAAAGTCAACGCCCAGGATGTCTCAGCCGAAAACCACATGGTCTGTGCAGTATATCTAGGTGTCGGCTTAGTTACAACCGATAAGAGTAGTCGGCTATATATATATGTAGCCTCTTTGATGGCCTATGATTTTAATAATTTGATTTATCTACCTCAAGATGATATAAAAGAAGTTCTATGTAAGATGCTACTTCGATGTTTTTTTAGATGTCTCCATGGATAAGAAGGCGCTAAAAAGCATAAATCATGCAGACAGACTTTTCATGTATAAACTTCCATTAGTGTCGTAGTATGAAATTCAACAATAGGTACCTAATATATCCTCTTTCATTTGAGGAAAACATTGGCGCCATGACCGGAAGCACCTTAACACCGCCCAAGTAGGAGATTTTCAGGCAAGAATAACTATAGGGCGGCCGTTGTCATTGACAAGGATATTCTGACAAGTAGAGACACCAAGGATGAGAACGATCTCATAGTCATCTGCAAGAGTTCTGAGCAGAGTGTCATTAAATCTAGGGCAATCCCTACAATATCTGATAGAATTAACTCACTACCTACTCACTTAATGGTACAGCGTCGGATATAATCCGTCCAATGAATCCTTTCCACCATCAATAACTTCAAAGCAGGCAAATTTAAGGTCATCAAGTTGAGGAGAGTTGCACCAAGAAATGCAGCGTTGCTTCTTCTTTTGTCGTAACAGGCCGAATACTCATCCAATGTGTACATGTACAGCGTGGTATTCAATACCACGCCTTAGCCTTAGTACTATCCATGGATGTAGTACTGTGTGATGAATATAAGAGTAAGAGATAAGAAAGGTCCTGGAGCCTCAATAAAAGTGTATCCATGGATATACATGACAAGCTCTCAGGGTCGAGCCAATCAGAAGAGCAAATGTGAGAACATCGTACCCCAATCGGTTCGAACCTACGACCCACAAGACCGAAAGCGGCATAGCATGGCAGACCCACTTGTCACTGCACCTCGAGTCTTCAATACTGGGAGGTCGAAAGAAAAAAAAAATGGGTAGCTTCTCTTTGATTGAATACGTCATCCTTAGTGCAGGGGCCGTACTAATCTTCTCTGTATATTTTTATTTGACCATATGCCCCGAAGGGCAAAATATACCTTCGTTCTGTGCTCTATAACCTCGGATTTTGAGAAATTGTATGGAGATGAAAATAATTAACCGTGAGTGGTCGATTATATAGACCCACTTTCGCGTGACAAGGGATTCGAACTCACGACGCCATTGGCTGAGGTCACGTGCATTACTAATTGATTATACCCAATCACACGCTGGGAAAAAACCCACCCATCGTATACCCTCAATGTCAGACATCGAAAAAGAAAAAAAAATGTTTAGCTTCTCTTTGATTAAGCGTGTCATCCTTAGTGCAGGGGCCATGCTAATCTTCTCTGTATATTTTCATTTGACCATATGCCCCGAAGGGCGAAATGTATTGTCGTTCTGTGCTATGTAACCTCACTTTCTGGCAGAGTTATACCGCCTACGCTTTTGGGATGAGTGGAGCGATTGATTAGCACGTGATCTTGATTTCCATTGGACTTCCTACACCATAGTTAGTAGACCTGTTAGGTTTGTATGTTCAAGCTTTATTGCAGAGCACAATAACAAAATCTTGACTGCGAATTATCTTTATTATAATCATTTCCTCCATGCACCCACTTCTCCGTATAATCACATAGGAACGGGCGCTGAAATCTGAAATCCCAATTTACCTGGATGGGCCCGGTGTCTTTGGCTAGATATATCTAATGGTTGAACTAAACACTCGCGGTGATCCTCCGTATACTCATGATGGTGTCTGGTCTATGACTGGATGGACCGAGGAGGAAATGTGAGAGGCTATGAATAGTTGGCGCGTAAGGTCTCAGTAAAAGGGTAAGGGGGGGAACAAATGGCTATGTTGAGTTCAAGGTGAATGGATCCGGAGAGAACCCGAGAAATCGAAACATGAAGTAATATATACTTGTATCGATTTATGAAGATTGCTCATTTGATATTCCTGGAGCCGTATTAGACAAGCCCGTAGGCGAAGATACTATATGAACAACTCTACACGCACAACAAGAACACAGATGAAGTGGTATAAAGGAATAGTTCGAGTAAGATGATATCTACTTTGAAAAGCATACCCAAGCTCTATTTATACAAAAGTAAACGTATCACCGCCCTTCTCCCGCAACATATTTCCAGTCCTAGACGTACCAACAATACGCTCCAACTTCAGCGCATCCCACTTCGAGAACAGCGCACGAACACCACCCTCAGCAGCCTCGATCAACTCCGCAGGATCAAGACCCAAGAAGCCAACAATCTCGCCATAGAACAGCGCATTGTCCGGAAGCCCGTACATGACCACACGCTTGACACCACGGACCTGGTAACGGCGGAAGTGGTGCGCACGCTCGGTATACAGCAGCACAGAGTGGCGGCCGGACACGAAATGACTGCGGGCACGGTTAGCCTCCTTCGGCTCAGTGTACTCGGAGATAGCGCCAAAGGAGACGTTGGTTGTCTGCGTCGAGGTGGCAAAGTGGTTGCGCACGCGGACGAAGTCGAGGTAGGAGGGGATGAAAATGAGGGTTCCGGCGCCGCCCTTGCCGCGGCCGTGCGTGATGTTCTTCACCAGAGTGGACAGGATGGTTGTTGTGAAGTGCTTGAAGCGCGCGTCGGGGTCTTTAATAGGCGACGTGCTGTCGATGCGGGTGAAGGTTTGCTTGACTGGAACAGGAAGCGGGAGCTCGGTGATGGCGCCAGCGTAGGTAGGGGTTGCTTTAAGGCGGCCCGAGGCATTTTGCATCTGGGATGAGAAGAGGGCGTTGATCTCGGGGGTGATGCAGGAAGAGATCACTACGGTTTGTCGGACGTGGCGAGCGTGGTTATCCAAGTACCAGTTGCGGACACGGCCGAAGTCGCAGCCGTGTGCTTGTTTCGGTTGCAGATTCAGATGCTGGAAGATGTAGTCGACATGGTCCCAGTTTTGCATGAGGAGGGCGTCGGCGTGGTCGACGACTACCAGCTCGATTGAGGAAAGGAAATCGTAGTCGCGCTTCTTGACGTCGGCTTGGTCCATGATCGTGCGCAAACCCAGTGGGCTGGCTAGGATAATGTCGGAGCTGTAGAATTGCGCGAAATATTTGACTGTCTTGCGCGTGAACTTGAGACCTAGTCGGAACATATCATCGTTATTGCCGCCGAAGAGCTCCTTGAAATCTTCTGTCTTGTGCTCCCAGGTGTCATCATCTGGCGCTGAGAACCCATCAGTGAAGCGTTTTTTGTTTTCTTGCTGTTCGGGCTGATAGATCCGAGTGATCGCGTCAAGAACCTTAACACATGCTTGTCGGGTCGGCAGAATGTAAAGCACCTTAGGTCGGGTAAATCCCTGGTCACGGCACTCAATATCGGTGTCCGGATCCTTGGCCAGACGGGCGTTGTTCTTGAGGACTTGGTCTCGAGTCTTCAGCAGGTGATTGACGGTGTGCAAAGCCATGATTTCGCGTATTTCATTTGCATTGGAAGTAGTGCGGGCACCGTAGAGAACGTCTTGGTAGTCGAACACATATGGTGCGATGATCTGGGCTTGGCCGGTGATTTTAGGCAGGAGCTCGGCCGCACGAGACTTCAATTTTTGTTTAAGCTGCACGATTGCATGTTAGTATTGGGGTTAATATACAATCTATGTCTGATCTGCATACCTTGATATTGGTTGTGCTCTTCATTGGTGGAAGAATTGATACGCTGTTTGCTCCTGTGTCAGGAACAGTATGCACCAGCCGTAGCCCATCGACCTCTTTTTTAACGGATGCCCATTTGTTCGATTGAATAGGTTCAATCTGCTTGGTCAAATCTGCACTTTCGCGGAGATCGAAGTGCTTCTCAAAAGCAGCGGTTAGGTCCTCATCCTCGTCTACTTCATCCTCTTCATCGTCGGATGGTGCTTGGGCTTCCAATTCATCATCGCCCTGTTCTGGTTCCTCTGCGGGTTCTGCCATTTGAATCTCAGCATTCGAGTCGGTGGCGATCTTGCGCTTCTTGCGAGCTGGTCCATTTGACTCATTTGTGTGGAGTAGCTGAAGAAGTTCGTTGTAGGGGCGTTCGGTATTCTCCTCTTCGTCGCTGGAGGAGCCCTCGTCCACCAGGGTGTTATCACCCAGTTCCTCTTCGGATTGCTCGCTAGCATTATCTTCTTCGCCAGAAGAACCATCCGATCTAGTACCAATTAGATATAGCTAAAGATTTTCAGACTGTGGGAACTTACTCGGATTCATTCAATCGAGAAGTGGCGAAGGAGCGACCTCCGCGGCCACCACGACCACCACGACCACGACCTCGACCACCGCGGCCACCACGGCCACCACGGCCTCTAGCTCCTCTAAAAGAACCACCACGCGGAGCAGGCATATTTGTGAATGAACTAAAAAGGTCGGGGTTCTAATTCCAAATTGTTCTGGCCGAAATGAGAATTTGCTTATCTCTTATCTTAGCGCGAAATTTCCCACACACAACAGAATCGGAACAATCAGAGCGGCTCACTCCACTTCAAGGAAAAATTGAACCTCCGAGAAACGAAGGGAAGTTTGGATCTTGAAACTTCGCAAGATATTCCATCCACCAAAATTAATCATGGCCGAAGATTCTTTCCTTCATCTCGCTCGCCCCCTCGGCCCCGTTAGCGTGGGGACGGCTCCTACCACTGCCCCTCTGAACGTGGTCATTCAACCCCAGGTATGTTGCGATATGTGTGTGATATGATCTGAGGGGTAAAGCTCATTCCTCTTAAAAGGCAATCTTCTCAATTCTCGACCACTCTCTCCGCCGTAATGTCGACCAGGAGCGTGTCATCGGTACACTGCTCGGAACACGATCTGAGGATGGAAGCGAGGTTGAGGTCCGATCCGCCTTCGCTGTCGGCCACTCCGAGGCTGAGGATCAGGTCGAGGTCGATATGGAATACCACAAGCAGATGCTGGCTTTGCACCTGAAAGCCAACCCCCGCGAAGTCCTGGTTGGCTGGTACGCCACTGCTTCCGAGCTCAACACTTTCTCTGCTTTGATCCAGAACTTCTACAGCGGCCAGGGTGATGGTACCTGGCCTCACCCCGCCGTCCACCTCACTGTCTCCACTGAGGCTGGAAAGGATCTCGAGACCCGCGCCTACATTTCCGCCCCCGTTGGTGTCACCGCTGAGCGTGCTGCCGACAGCGCTGCTTTCATCCCCGTTCCCTACGAGCTCCGATACGGCGAGGCCGACAAGAGCGGTCTTGAGTCTATCGCCAACGCCAAGGATGCCGAGGACCGTTCCACTTCGATCACTTCCGATATCGAATCTCTGGAGCGCGCCATCGAGGAGGTTCTGTCCATGGTTGACCGTGTCTCGCGCTACGTCGAGTCCGTGATCGATGAGGAGACCCCCGCTTCGACTGCCATGGGCCAGTTCCTGCTTAACGCTCTCGCTCTCGCTCCCAAGGTCGAGCCTGCCGATATTGAGCGTGACTTGTATGTTGAACCCGCATCATATTACCTGATGAAGTTTCTTATCACTAACTTTCCACAGCAACAACCACATCCAGGACGTCCTCGTCGTTTCTTATCTCGCCAACACCGTGCGCACACAGATGGAGCTTTCCACCCGGCTAGCAACCGCCCAGCTTACCCTTGGCGGCGGCGGCGAAGCCCCTGCTACCGGCGAGGGCAACCAGCGCAACCAGCGTGGCGGCAAGAACAACCAAGGCGGCCGCCCACGCCAGGACCGCACCGAGGAAACCCGCGCATGAGAGGTCTCCCACAGCAAAAAACGCTGATGCATAATGTGACCAATTGCGAGAGGAGCACTCCCCTTCAAGTGAACGTCGATCTTTCGTCTCGCGTTCTCTTCCCTTTCTATCTCACCCCTCCCTGACGTTATTCCTTTTGGGTCTTTCGCTTCTTTGTTTACTATCCCTCTACCGCCATCTTCCTTTTTCCCTTTTTCCAGCTTCTTCTTTTTTTTTCCTCGCAAGGCTTGCATGTTCTCTCCGAATCTCACGGGCTGCGGCCTGGTCACGTCCCGTCAACGGCTCCCGGATTCGGTCTGTTGAGACGTCCAAAGACGGTCTTCGGCATGTGGTGTTATGGTTCTGAGACCGATTTAATATCAATATGATTGGTATAACGTGGTGGTACTTGATGAGGGTGATGATGTCGTTACCGTTCGACGATAGAGAATATTCGGGGGTGATGAGTCTAGACTGTTGAAGATGAGAGATGTATCTGCTGAGAGTCGATCTCTCCGGTTTACGAAGTCGCATCTTTCTAGGCGCGGCGTTTTTCAGTTATGATGAAATGGACATAAAAGTTCTAGAGCTTCTTCGTATTGTATATTTTCCACCGTTTTCCACCCCGGCTATGGCCGTCAGTATATTTATTTATGCACTTACGTAGACAGGCCATATATCTACATCAAAGAAGCAACACATGAACGGATATCTTCTGTTGGGTAGGATGAAGAGTATATTTTCTACTTTCCAACGTCATATTCTACCGAAGTAGTTAACTAGACGAGTTTAGTGCTTCTTTTAGCTTGAATCCCTACTATTTATACAACGTACTACAAAACATATGTGGATCTTCCTGATCTAGATTTTACGAAAATTTATCTCAATGTTCCATGGCGATTATTCAAAAGGTCTAAGTGTAACAAGCTCAGATTCCATCAAGGAGTCATAAAGGTTCTCAGCGACAAGAAAGTCCTTAACACTCACAGGCTCGTATTGTCCTCCCAGAGACAGATAGTGGACCATCGTATACCCTGCATTATTAGTCAGCCGATAATCCAGGCCGTTTTGAATCAAGAAAAGAACCATTTTCCGGAATGAGTTCTTCGCAGCTAGGTGAAGTGCCGTCTCTCCCTCTGGGGCAGTGCGGACATGGATATCTGCACCGGCTGATAGAAGCGCTTTTACCCTCTGGATGGCACCACTCATGACGGCACAGTGCAAGGGGTAGATGGTGCTGGATCGGCTAGTATTTCCCTCTGATTTCGAGTACATATTTGTTTGGGACGCTTTTGTGGGCCCCTCCGTAACGTGCAAAGTTGTACTGTCTGCCGGTGCCATCATATCGGCGCCATATTGAATGAGGTACTCGACTAATCTGGGATCGTCCCGTCCGTCATCTGGTTGGCGGCTGTAGCAGTAACCATGAGCAGCTGCTAGGTGGAGAGGGGTATGATCTCCTGGGGTTGATGCGATTGATGGATCTGCACCATGTTCAAGTAAGTACTTGGCCATCACCACCTGGTTTTTGCATGCAGCAAAGTGTAGTGGGGTCCAGTTATGACAGTCAATATCGTTAATGGCGAGATTGCTGTTATCGAGGATCCATTTAAACGTCTTGATTTTCCCACTTTCAGCTGCTAGATGTAAAACGGAAGCATTCAACTTAGTCCGAAGGTGGATGTCAGCACCCGCTCCGACGAGCCTCTGCACCGTTCTCGTAGAGCAATTTGAGACAGCGGCAAGTAAAACGGTCTCTCCGAATTGACCTCGTTGGGTAATATCGGGTGATGACTTGAGTAGTTCTTCAATAGCGGCATCATTGCCAACACGGGCCGCCATTAAGATAGGGGTGTCACCCGTAATAGTCAAAGCATTGACATTTGCGCCTGATGCTAGTAAAAACCGCAGAACCGGTAGCCCATTCTTCACTCCAGTCGGGAGACTGGCAGCGAGATGTAATGGTGTCTCCCAGTGGGAATTCTCGAGGTTAATTGTGGCACCTTCCTGCGCCAATAGTTGAAGACATTCCAAGTTACCCCAATTGGCAGCACGATGAATAGGCTCGTCACCTCGATGACTTGGCCAAGCAGTGCCTCTGTAGCCAAGCTTCTTACGGTAATCCATGAGGATCTTTAGGACCTCCACTCGGCCGCGGCCGGCTGCCGTGAGCAACTCATCGTCATCCGAGTCTGGACCGGGGTTGCTCGGAGACTGGGCGTCGTACTGGATGAGTAGTTGTATGATTTCGCGTCTGCCTAGCCGGACAGCGAGCTGCAACGGGGCTGTTTCTGATTCGCCATCGGGTGAAACACCATCTGCGAGGAGTGCGTTAACCTTGGCGATGTTGTTTTTGCGGATGGCTTGAAGAAGCTTCCTTTCTCGCTTTCCTTGTAGCCGGATGTTATCAACCTGGTCATGGTTCTCCTGGTCTGATATGCCAGTAAAGAGGTCTGAAGTGCTGGTGAAAAAGTCTGACATTCTGGTAAAAGGGATTTTATTTGGAGAAAGGAGAGGACAAGAACAAAAATTAGTATTGAATGCAGTCACATGATAACCCTTATTGAAGTTAGCTCCCCAGATCTAGTTCTGTATGTTTCTATTGAGTAAATACAACCTGAATGAATTAAACGATGGATAATGATATTGAAACTATCCATATGTAGGCGCCCTGTCTTAGGTACCAGACAGTAAATGGCTACATACTAGTTACAACTGTAGGATTCAAAGAATTTTGGTTCTTATAGCTGTATAGAACTTCCAGGATTCAGTGGACGATTAGACGACGTTCTTGTCTCTGGCCTGTTGTGGGCCTCGCTAACCTCCCGAAGCCTGCACTGATGTCTCTAGTGGTTTGCGGCCGTAATATAATGGATCATATAGTAGTACTTTTTTTTCCCTTTACAATAACCACAGTGGAAGTTCATGCGGTGTCCAGAGAGGGGGGATTTCCCCCGGTGTTCGCATCTTCAACCAGCTCGCTACTTTGATTTACGTTTCATCTCGAATCAAGCAACCCGACAGTAATGGCAAGGGTCACTCTGTTACAGTATTTTCCAAGTTACTATGTATTCAAATATGTATTATTTTTCTTTCTCTTTTTGTGCCATGAGGCTCCAGTGGAAGAGTACTAAATATCAAAAGTGCCCAATAATACATGTATTAATGCCCAGTGAAGTCAAGCCCTTACTCAAGCCACTGATTTAAACCCGATGTATCAGTACATTGCTTGGATGCAACCTTTATGCTCCTCATCGTCCTCTAGAATGAACACCTCTTGGCTTGGGAAAATCGACTCAAGCCTTGCGAACCAAGACCGGACTGCCTGTTTTCAGTTGAGCCCATGTACTTGTGACAACTGAGACTCAAGCAACCGTAGTGGGTGAGCACACTGGATTGAATATGCTGCTTGGGCTTCATTGCTGGGCTGTTCAACCTTGATGTTTGGTTGTCTTACTCGTCCACCAAAGAATGTCACTTTTTCTCTTCCCGAAAGCTCAGATGACGAACTGGCTTGGGTGCTGAGAAAACGGCCGTGGGTGGCAATCATCACTGCCTAACAGAAAGTAGAAATCCCGAAACCAGGTAGGCTGACTGAGTAGCTGCTTCTTGATGGATCTGTATTGAATGTTTTCGAGGACGCTGAATGCACTGCTGTTGACATTGGTCGGGATGTATTGCATTATCTTCTTCTTTGGTGGCCACAGAGCTCAAAACCAATCAAATATTGAAGGTCCGTTAGGAGAAATGCCCATTCAGGGTCAGAGATATCGTCAATCTGGGAGTGACAGTCTGAGATTTCATCCTAAGGTGAGGTGAGGTGACGCCAAAGTGGATGAGATTTTTGTCAGTCCAGCACTGCAGCAAGCAAGCTCCTGTTAGCTGCATTTTTTTACCTGCCTGCCCTCTTTTGGGAATCTATCGCATGCCCGAAAACTGTAAGTCCGACAAAACCAACATTGGCTCCTGTTTTGCTGTTATTTGATCCAATCCCTTTGTGCCTGGGGTTGCCATGTTCAATATCATGAAAGTGCCCAGTTGCTTCAAATATGAGTTGAGGCTTTCAGAAGCAGATGACCGAAGAAGAAGGATGACCCGGATTAGTTTGAGATCACATATCCCTCAGTCGTGGGCTGCATAGATAGTTAAAGCAGTGAGCAAGGGTACCAGATAAAGGGGAAGTAAGTGAGCGGAGACAGTTATTTCAACCTTGGAAGTTGCTGTCTTTGAATAAAGACGTTTCATGTGGGGAAGGAGGCGGATGGACCTAAAGCTTAATTACTTTAATTTTACCATAGACAGGAACACTGTACATTGTAGATTTAATAATACCGATGGAGTATAGAATTGCATGCTGTGTCAAGCTACATTATACAGCGAGCCCTATTCAAGATACCGTATTGGGATTCTGGTATTTTGCTCTTGTTGCAGCGCTTAAGGCTGTGGGATGTCCCTGTCCCAGTCGTCGATTGCGACAGCATATTCATAGGGGTTTGGGATGAAACAACCCATGCGAAAACACTCCGATATGTTTTTGGAAGTTCTTTCTAGACGTCTTTTTAGATGTATACAAAGGCGGTAAAAAGCATGAATTGTGCATACGACTTTTTGATGTCTAATCAGATAAAGTGAGCTTTGGCAATTTGAGTATCCATTTCCATTTATTTCCTGGCTATTTGATGGTGGTTAAAAGTAATTGTACATTCATATGTGAAAAAGGAACACACGTTGGGCATTAAGTCATGTTCGTCGTGACCCACCCACAACAGTCCTGAGTAGGTAGGGTTATTAAGGGTACATATTCAGCCAATCGTCTTGCGCTTCTTCGAAATTGACTCCTCAGTAGCATCAGATCCACGGCGAGCACCTCTCTTTCCCTTGCCCTTGCTCTTCTTAGTAACAGTAGCAGAGGCAGCAGCTTCAGCAGCCACAGGATCCTCACCAGCAGCAGCGGCTGCCGCCGCCGCCGCCGCACCCTTCTTTCCAGCTTCTTTAGCAACCTGATCATCATTCTGGTCAAATGCCTTGCGGGCTTCCTTCAACTCGCGTTCCATGCGCAGCAGCTCCTGGACACGGCCGAGCTTATTCGGGTCGCGACGCAGCGCGAAGCGGAAGTCCTCAACTTTGATCTTCTGGCGGCGGGCGTGGTGTGCGACTTGTGCAGCACCGTGGCTGAGTTCCAGCACGAAGTCAGTGACGATTTCGTCCAGCACACGGACTGTCTCAGGGAGTGGTTCGTTTGGGAAGCTTGGGTGTGGGCTAGGGTCGCCGTAGGCGAGAAGTAGCAGACGAACTGTGGAGATAGTTAGCATCGAGATTATCTTAGATGCGCATGGGCTGCAGAAACTTACGCTCATTCTGAAAGTTCATTTGGCCCTTGTGTCGGGCCATACGTGCGCGTGGTTCAGCCATGGCGGGCTTGCGTGCGGACTCTTTCTTGCCCTTTTCGGTAGTAGATGTTGTGTCAACTGGGCTAGGGGTCCACTGAGGTTCGTATCCGGCGCGGATTAACGCAGTGTCTTGCTCATTGAAGTTCCAGTTGGGTGAAAGCTTGGAGACAAGATGCTTGGAGCTAGGCTGCTGTGACGGACGACGAGCTGGAGTGGGTAAGGCAGGTTTCGGAGTCGGCGATGAGCTGCTCGGGGTTGGCAAGTAACGGTTTGTAGTTGGTGAGACGGTGTTTGGAGTCTGGAGGCGCGGGTTCGGAGTTGGAGAGGATGTGTTCGGAGTTTGCAAGTGACAGGTTGGAGTGGGCGAGACGGTATTTGGAGTCTGGAAATGCGCGTTTAGGGTTGCGGTTGACGTGTTCGGAGTATGCAATCCAGTGTATGGATTTGGCAAGACACGTTGCGGAGTTGGTGTACAAGGTTGCGGAGCTGCCGATGGGCTCTGGCCCAGCAAGGAAAACGATACCCGCTTAGGCGTTTGGCCCGTGCATTTGGCGGACATGGTGGGCAGAATATGCTAGACTGGGGGTTGGTTAGCAACCTTGATACATGCAAGCTACCTGGCAACCTACTGTCGCAACTCTGCTTCTTTGCCCAAGTGACGGGCGAGGATTTCACAGCTGCACAAAATGGTGAGTTCATGCAAATAGCAGGATGGATGGGAGTGACGGCTTATCACCGTGGCGATGAACACATGCGACTCGGTGTTTGCGTCGGAATGACAATGGTAACATGATCACAATGTGCTAACAGACACACTCACCTAGACTGCTCTTTTCAACTTTCAGTCGTTGCTTCTTGTGATTCTCCTGATAATCTGCACAAGCAGCTATGCGCACTCAATAATGCCGGGGATCATGGACCGGAACCAGAATGGGTAGGTGTTCACTTGAGGTGGATCTGGGGATACAGAAAGATAGCGAAGAGACTGATGGTTGTTTTGTGGTAGAATATTTGGGATCTTCTGGAAGTGTGCTCGAGTCGGAGAGCGACTCAGTCCGTACGTCAGCATATGCTGTGTCGTAATGGCAGTAAGTTCCCTCTTGCACAAGTCCAGACGTATGAAGAAGAGAAGAGATATTGACGTTGAATGCAGGTCTCAATCTTCTTCGGTGGTTAACCTTACTTGGCTCTCAATGGGGTTGAAGGGATATTTCCGTGGGGTATCAATGGGTTGTCGTAGTCCTCGACTTTGTGGCAATTAAATCAAGTAACCTTAGGGTGAGGATTACGAGATTATTAGTTTCACTCCATGTGATGCTCTTCAGAAGCAATGAGATCTTAAAACGAACAACAAGTTCATAATGATGCAATGTATAGTACATGATATCCAAATTTACAAAAAAAAAGTTCAAAGCCACGTCTTCCAACACCAATGCGTCCAAAATGCTTCCAGGTTGCTTGGCCATAAAAGGCAACAATAAAAGAGAAAAGGGTATCCTATCTTACATCTTAGGCTTCAGCTTTGACTCCAACTTCTCCAAGCCACTGTCAATGAGGTCATCGCGCTTCTTCTGATCACTGTGCACATCAGACGCGGGCTCGAGGGTGAGAAGCTTATGGGTTACATCCGAACGAAGGCCTTCATCCATCTCCTCGATCGCCACCCAGAGGCGTTCAGGGTCGCGGAGATAACGCAAACTCTTCATCGTGTAATGGTCAATGGCAAAACCTTCCTTTTCCATCCTCGTGATTGCATTAGCGGTTTCGGGGATGTCCTGTGCATTCGCGAACCCGTTGATGATGGTGTTCCAAGTCACCTGATTGTACTCCACGTCGTGCTTAGCCATCATCTCCTTGACTTTTTCAGCTGCATCGGGCTGGCGATTGTAATTGAAGGCACTGAGGAGGATGGTCCAAGTGCGAGGTGTGGGCGAGATGTGTTTGAGAGGCTTGCCAGTGGTAGTCTCTTTTGGCATGGCAGATGTGTCAAGCATGTCTTCGACCAGACGTATGCTTGACCGCAGTCCACGACTGCTCTTGCGGAAGGCGATGAGGAATTCATTATAGACATGGTCGGTTTCGATCAAGGGGGCAATAGATGGGTGGCCCTGCTGCACAAGCTCGCGGAATCGGTCATACATGTGATGCACTTGTGAGATCCGATTCCTGCAGCGGAAGAACGTTGCGATCATGAGGAACAGGGCTACCGGAGAAGGCGGGATTTTGACTTCGAGTCCTTCATTTGGTGGCGGTGTATATTGGGGAGGGAGTAAAAGGAGTTCTTTGAGCGGTGTGATGTCGTGAATTTTGTTATACATGTCGAGCATAGAGTAGAAAACTCCCGAGGGATCGCTCTCCGGGTCAATATGCTTGGCGGTGAAAGTAAAATGGGCGTGGAAAATTTTGCTGAAAATGTATGGGTTGTTGCGTAGTTCCTCTTGCATCTCGACTTCTCGCACCAGCTCGTCCACACGACCGCGGTCGCCTCGGGATACCGCATCAGTGAGGAGAGTCAAGTATGTATAAGAATCGAATTCGTGATGGTGATTCTTCATGAACTGAAGCATGTCTGATCCTAATTGAGGATCACCGGTTTTGTAAGCATTGGCGAGCACCAGATTCATCATATCCCGGTCTGGCTGGACACCCATCTTGAGAAGTCGTGGAAGAATCCGGAAGTTGCGCCCTCCAGCGGTATCTTCCACAGTGTCCAGGGTCAGGAGCTTGCAACAGTGTCGTAGGACTCCTTCAGAGTCCATGGAAAACTCAGGGTCATTGATTTTGGGAATGAATTCGAGAGCTCTGAGGGCATATTCGACGTCATTCAGCTGTGTGAATCGGTACATGTAGCAAAGTGCTGTTTGGGCTTCCATCGTAATGCCTCGCTCGTTCATCAAACGGAAACTCTCGTAGACACCTAAAAAGCCTGCTCGGCGAATATAGAACCGTATACCCCTTTGTGGTGGCGAGATAATTGGCCAGTCCTTCGGATCTAGGGAAGTTGCAACAACCGATTCGAATGTGTGAGCACCCTTTTGCCAATCCCGGAGCTCTTCATAGTGGAATCTCTCCAGGTACGCCAAGCAATCGACAACCATAGTCAGATCCGGCTTATCTCGCGGCTCAGTTGTGACGAGTAAAAACTCCAAGGCCATTGCCGGGTTATTTTGCAGCAGCCAAATAGCCAGCCGTTGCCAGGCCCAGGCCCTGGTAGAACGGTTCATTGCCAGCCATGCCTCTCGGAACTTGCCTTGACAGTCGTCAAGAAGCACAGCTAGCAGTTGCTCACCATCTTCTCTCAGTTTTGGCAATGCAGACTTGTGCAAGACCTCACGGCCATATGTCTTGGCCTTGTGAATTGCTCCGTATGCCTCTTTCCACTGGCGGAGTCCCAGCTCACGCGTATAAAGAGAATTCATTCGCATCGCAAGCGCCAGATATAAACCCCGATCGGTCAAGTGTCTACCCTTGTTCAAGATTTCGCGGTTGACCCTCTCGGCCGCCATGGCTACAAGTTTGGGATCAGCACGTCGTACATAGGCGACCTTCTTCATTTTATCATTTGTTATAATCGGTGTCTGCAATGACCTTCGTGGTGGAGCTGAGAGTTTTGACTGGTCATCATCGCCCATGCCATGCCGATTTGTTGCGACCTGATCTAATTGTTCACTTGTCGGCGGATGTGAACTGTTGGTTGAATCGCGGTTGTGTTGATATGATATGGGGTCAGGAGCATCATGTATCATGCCGGGTTCTAAGATCGCTAGAGCATTGTATGTGGAGAGGCGCACTTTATGACCGACATTCACCGTCCCCGACTCCCGATACCATCGGCCTGGGCTCCGACATTGTTGTGAGAGTAACCCGTTGAGACGGGACCGAACGAGTTGGTGTGGACACGATGACATTCAGGAACTTGCATTCGCAGACATTTGCGGGAAATATACCAAAACGAAGAAGACAGGTCGAGTATGGCGCGTTGAGAGAGGAATCAAACTTCAATGGCGGACAGAAAGTTGAATTCCGCCCGATTTTGCCGTGGCTAGTGTGTGGCGCACCACTCTACTTTTATCGCTCCATCGTCCTTCAACTTCCAAGCAGCGGAGGGGCTTGGGATTTTCTTCCGGTCACTTCAGTCACTTTACTTTCCAGTCCTCAAGCCAAGTTATCCTCTACACCGTCAGCTTAATCATCACTCGAAAGCATGTCGTCAAACCATGCCAGTCTCGATGCGGCATCCACCGACCGCAAAGCCCGGCTCGCCAAGCTCGCAGCTCTGAAGCGCAAGCAACCTGAACAAGAGACAAACGAGGCCCGCGCAGAAGATCAGGAGCTTCCCGATGCAGATGCCACGCCAGATGTGACCACAAAATACCTGTCCGGCCGCAACTACGACCCCGAGACCCGCGGGCCTAAATTGGGCTTCGAGAAAGGCCCGCAGGAGGGTCAGATAACAGTGGAAGCACAGGCGGCTGAAATTGCAAAAGCCACAGCGGAACAAGCCAAGCAGGACGCGGGTGCTGACGAACCCATTGATCTATTCAAACTACAACCTAAGAAACCCAACTGGGACTTGAAGCGCGATCTGAATGAAAAGCTCAAAACTCTCGATGTACGGACCGACAATGCAATTGCCCGGCTCTTGCGACAGCGAGTAGAGGAGACAAAGCGTGTTGCAAAGGCACGTGGAGCTAAGTCTAACGGAGACGATCAGGGAGAGGAAGTGGGCATGGAGGGGGAGACGCTTGTTGAGGGCATCCATATGCGCGAACGAGAGGAAGAGAAGAGCGACGAAGAAACGATTTGAACGTGATACCCTTTGTTGCAGACGAGCGTTGTCTGGGTCTTCTGTCTCCACCTGTAACTGTTTATATTCTGTCCATTTAACTTATTTCTTTTTTGTTGTGTTGGTTGAGGCATTCAATGATGCCATGGGCATATTGCGCACAAAAATGAGGCGTTGGGAGGTTTACAATTTAGGATTCTCAATAAGCATGTCTCTCCTAGTTTCGTTAAGAAATCATTATTGAATTTTTTTATATTTTTTTTTGCGTTCCGCTGTCGAGTGACAGGTATTTTCAAACTCCACGACGGAGATGCTAATGATACATTTGGTAATATGCCGATGAAACATGAATTGCCGCCGTGTCCCTATCACCATATTACGCCGTAAAAAGTCCCAATGCTGCAGAGCAGTTTTCCAATTCAATTTACCGTCCGTTATTCATGGCTTGAGTCAAAGCAAGACGCTTACTGAAAGGACTCAAGCTTCGTTCCCGAGGAGGCTGGTTCTTCTGAGGTATGGGATCAGGCCTAGACCGTCCAGGTTGAGACTGGCGTGGTGGGCTTGCTCGATCACGGTATGAACGGTCCCGGGGAATATCCTGGGTCGTAGCACGTGATTCTTTCACTCGATCATTATCTGCACTCTTGCTTCGGCGATCCCTTCGCTCGCTATGTCTTCCTGCTCCACGGTGCCGACCTCGTTCTTCGGGACTAGACTCTCGTCTCCGTCGACGAGTGTTTCGGTCGTCGGTTCGCTCTCGAGAGGGTGAGCGGACCTTTGGTCCCGAGTGAACTGAACCAGAAGAACCCTCTGAAGAATCACTGTAGCGTCTCTTTCGGGACTTTGTAGGTGATGTTGATGAATCATCTCGACGACCTCTGTCGGTTGCGCCGTGTTTATTACGGCGGGGAGATGAGGAAACGGATCGATTGGTGGATATTGTTGCCACTGAGAGAGATCTGACCCGTTTTGGAGACTGGGCGTTACGATTTGTCATATCCTCAAGTTCTCTCTTTCGGCCACGCTCTTCGTCCCGTGTAGCAAGTAATTCATCCGCCACGCCCTCTCTTCATACAAGTCAGCGAGTATTCTCCAAAAAAATGTACAGAAAGACAATTAAGTATGTGAACTTACTTCCGCAGCAGCTCATTTGGATTATCGCTGGAAAGCTTAGGCATCAATTCTGGGTGAAGTAGCTGCTGAGTCCTTGAAGGTCGCGGGACGTATGGGCGCTCTTGCGCGGATGCCTTGCAATCAAAGCTATAGTGTCGTGGATCGGAGTTAGTCAAACATCTGGAGAGCATATAAAAGAAGGTACATATCTCGTCCGAGGCATTTTTGGCACAGTGTAGTCGCGGTGGCTTTGTTGGAGTTAGAGCCTCCGAGCTTCGGGGCGTTTCGATATCGGTTCATTGAAGCTCGTAATGTGGTAGGTGTAGAATCCGATATTGGCGGGTACTTGAAGCCCAGAATATGGGTATTAACACGCCTAATATCAAAAACACATGCAAAATCCGACGTAAAGCAGATCGGCGCAAGTTAGCGGCTGTTAACATTTGAAGTCCAAGGGAAATTGTAGGCGCGCGCCAAGGGCGGTCGGGCGCGGCATAATTCCCACGAATCTTCAGGCAATCAAGAAGTCAGAATTCGGATTTCCAACGCTCCTTCTCGATCTCGGAGTTCATTGTCAACATTCACGTCATCCATCTCCGACGGATGATCTAGAGTTGATCAGCTCTTCAAATACCGACCGGATCTGGAGAATCCCCTCAACACTCAGTACGAGGTCTTTATCTCCCTGACGATGAGCCAGCTTTAATATCATGTAAGGCACTGTTGCCTGATCTGCCTAGATCTCTTGCTTCAATGAAGTGGATATTTCTCTTCGTTGAAACCTATGGATCTCCTTATGTTCTACCATGCACGGTGCTAATGCGCATTTTTCACAGCTTCCTCCATGGCGATTGCCCTACCCCAGAGATATGTCTTTCGTTTTGGGCTTGTGTGAAACGAAATTACGCAGCGACTTTACTTTCTATCAAACAAGCTTCGACCTTCTTCACATTTGCAAATCCGAAGCGTGCTGAGCGCAGCTGCTGCTTGACTTGATCTCGGATTTTCTTTTTTTTTTTTTGTGAATTTTAAACAGTTTCAGCGACCATCCCGCGGAGTGTTGTCATGGCATCAAAAAGTCCCCCAGGTGGAGACGGCCCTCTCTCCTTTGCAAAGGTAAGCTAAGAGTTTGCTCCACTGCCTCTTGGCTCATCGCTAATTTCGTGACAAGATTGCCGCTATGCCCGCACCCCTCAACCCACATTCCTCGGTATCTGATGAAAACGAAATATGCCAGCCAGCAGAACAATCATCTTTCTCAGAAGAAAATAGCTCCGGTGCAGCTTTGCCCAGCCAGCATACTCTCGATAAAACGCCAGAGGCTAGTTCCATTGATCTAGCTGTTGATGATCTAGGGAGAGGTGTGCAAGATATTGGCCTCACTTTGAAGAAACACAGTGATGGTTCAAGCTCTTTCATTGGTGGCCAAGAAACTGGCTTGCTTAAGCGGGAGAATTCTTTTGAAGATGATCGCACTCACCTTTCTACCTCATCCACAAAAATGACTAACTTCGATTCCAAGAGCCTTGCCTCGGTAACGACATTTGCAATGGATGAAAAGGATTCTGTCCGTCCCGATGACAGTGCTAGTGTCCAAGCCATTGACGAAGATGAGTCGCTTTCTGGACTCGCTTCTGGGGCTCCAAACTCAGTGGCAGGTTCCGAAGCTGACAGCCGCGCGTTTCGGGATCATTATCGAGATGGTATTCCTACACGCCCACGCGGGATTTTGCCCGTGCCTCCTCTCTTTGACGGCACCCAGCCGGTGAATGGTACAATTCCTCCGGATTCAGTTGCGAATAATTTTGTGATTCCAGCCAATCCCGATGGCATTGAAGATGGTCAGATCTTACATGGGTTCCCCCTAGAGCCGGATGAAAAACTCCTAGAGGCAATGAAGTCACCGAAAGATCGTCTCCTGATCCTGCAACTGGAGGAAAAGATTCGGTACTTTATCAAGGACTGCAATGAGCAATCCCTGGAGTTGCCCCCCTCGAACGCCTTTGGGCGACTTCTTGCACACAAGCTGGGGGATTACTATCACTTAACACATTTTGTCGACAACAATGTGACATCTGTGAGGCTTCATCGAACACCTTTCTGTCGGCTACCCACTCCTTTGTCTGCTGTGCATGCTGCTTGCAATAGCACTCCACCTCCAGCTGTTCCAGCAATGAAAATCATGCGCCGAAACGATGGAGGGCAATTCGAAGGAAGTATTGGAGGTTCGTCGAACCCTTCAAAGGCCAATTCGGAAGATGGCGAAGATGGAGAACGTCACGGATCTTCGTCCGGTGCTACACCCGCTAAAGATCGAATTGCTTTGACGAGGGAAGAGCGGGAGGCAAAATATCATGAAGTACGTGAGCGGATCTTCCGTGATTTCCCCGACAGTGCCAAATCGGACCCGGCCAGTGGTGACTCGAATACCGACATGTCACGCTCCAGCTCGACGAATGGCCGCAAGAAGAACCAGAGGCAGCGAACTCCTCATGACGATAGCTTTGAGGTTCGCTCACAATTCAACGCGTACTACCGAGGGATGCAATATGGAAATGGTGCTGCTCAGTACAATGCCCCTGTAAATGACAACTCGTACCCAAGCCAAGTACCCTATTTGGTCGGACCTGGCGTGCCACCACCCTCTGGCGGATACATGCCATCTGGCCAGAATGGTGCCATTTACCCTGGCCAGCTGAACATGAATATGAATGGTGTCTCCCAGTATCCAGTGGCAATGTCGCCCCAGATGGCCTCCAATGGCTCGTGGCAAGGAGGAAATATGCCGCAGCAATCCCCATATTCTGGGTATGCTTCGATGAACCAGCAGGGGATGATGAACCAGCCGTCTTCAAACGCGTCCTCGCCTGCAATGAACAACTATGCTGTGCCCAATGTGACACCGTACCAACAAGCCCCTAGTTGGAGCTCTCCTCCTTTCCCCGCAAATTTCCAGCAGTCCCCGCACCAGCGAAATGGACCGCCTGTTCACTGGCCCAACTACCCTCAGCAGCCAATCGCTTCCAATATGCCACCCAACATGGGTTCCAACATAGCGCCTAACATGAACTCTAATATGGGCCCCAACATGGGTCCTACTATGGGCTCCAATATGCCTTCCAACATGGGCGCTTACCCCTATGCTCAATACCCCGGGCAACACATGAATGTCGGCCTCCAAAATTCTGCTGGATCTCACGCAGCAATGCAAGCAGGATATGCCAGGTCGCATTTCAACCCGCAGACACGCTCATTCGTCCCCGGCGGTGCTCCTCTCGGGCGTCACCAGAACAAAGGCCAGCACGTAATGCAGCCGTATGGTACCATGCAGCCTAGTGTCCAGCCACAATGGAACGGGTATCCAGAACCTGTCCCTAACCGGACCATAGATCAAACCCCGGCTATGATCCCCAACCGAGTGCCCACCGGCCCTCGAGACTCGATCGCAAAATGGGGCACACCGGCTCATCTTCCTCCCAAACCACCACCATCTGAAGTCCCCTCAGACTTTGACCTAAAAAACCGACCCCCTCCGGCCTCGGTCCCAGCACCAACATACAACAACAATGGAATTGCTGCCGTTAGCAATGGACCACTTGTGGTCTCGGGAGGCACAACTGTCTCCAAATCGAACTAAAACTATATGGTTCGGTCGCATTTCTACTACTATTTGTGTTGCATATGTTTGTGATGTGATCCTTGGGCCTTTGAAAGTCGTGGAGATATGACCCGTTGTCCTGTAGGATATGGGATAGATTCATCTGTTCACATACGGGCACCTATGTTCCAAGGTCTACATCTACAACAGTACAATGCATAGCAGTCCGGGTTCTTGTGTGTGTACCTCGTCGCTCTTAGCTAGTCATGAACTTGCATCTTCAACTGAAGTTATTTTGCTTGCCTACTTGGTCACTCGTTTGTCATAGGCTCCATCCAGACAGTAATTTGAACGGGTAACTAGATTTGTAGTGTTAGATGAAAACAAAAGCAACGTCTTTGGCGTGATCGTCCCGCTTATACAAGGTCTAGTTAGTGTCGAAATATTTGATCAAAACATCAAGTCCCCAATATCTAATTCGAACAGCTCAGCCTTGTCAAGGTATCCGCCCAAAAAATACACATTAACTTAATTCCTCGTAGCAATCACCGCAGGTACAATGATAATACCCAAAAGAACTGCAACAATAACACCACCGCAAATAAACTATTTCCGATCAGGTCTCTGCTTGCGCCTTGCGCTGCGCGGGAGTACTAGGATCAGCACCCCCAGTCTCATCTGCTTGGTTATGATTAGCATTGACTGCTTCCTTATTTAGTATCCTCAACCCGTCTATCGACTTCGAGTACAGTTCCGGCCATCGACCTGCAATATGCATTCGCCATTATCATGCTCGACCGGGTTTGGTTGAGCTGTGACTTCTTTATAGGTGTCGAATTTAGGTGGTGGGATTCGTATTTTCTTCAGTGGTCGTGTTGGCGATGCCCTGATCTCAGGGGCTGGGTCTTTTTGGATGTTTGGGGTTTCGGGGTTTTTTGCTGTCAGGTTCGATTGCTAGTTTAATAGTCAACTTCGCCAGGTGGAGTGGTGGGTTGGTATTGCATACTTGTGAACATTTGATGGGCTCAGGTTGGTTGGAAGTATCCAAATGTCTCTATAAGTTTCTCATGTTATAAAATCAAGGTGATCCTTTTGAGTTGGAGTGGAGTGAGGCTTGTATGTAGCACTCTGGCCCTCAGTCAGTATCAATATTTGAAGGTTGTCTGGCTAAATAGTTGATCCTCTCTGGCAACATTATGCGTTGATTCTAGCTCTGGTAGACAGAAACTGAGTATCGGAATACTTTCTTTGCAAAATAGACCTATTCGCTGGATCTAACCAAGTCACCCTAGCCTTCAAAATGGACTATCTAGATGCCTGAGACAGCCTTCTCTTGTTCCTCTATCTCTCCATTCTCTGCTCCTCTCTTGTTCTCATCGCTGCTCGGCATCCGCGAAGCCCTGCATTGATGAATAAGCCTCCTCGTGCAAGGCATCTATGCTTTCATATTCTCCACGCCAGTAATTTCGGACGATGAGGCCACAGAAAAGATCATCTGTAGAATGAAACAATTCAGAGTTGGTCAAGGTGAATTGAACCGATTGAAGAAACGATAATTATGAACGGGCCAAGTAGCAATTGAGTAGATAATCCAATTATTTCAATCTTAGCATTCATATCGTCCTCAGATACAGTATCCATTTGAGCCATTGGTGGTAACAAGATAGACTGGCTAAAGCTCGTAGGCTTCGGTTTATCTTTAATAACCAAAATGTTGCTGAGATAGGTATACCACATAAACACCCTGCGAGAGTGCACATGTGATAAAATCTTGGAGAGACAGAGAATCCAATCTAGCTTTAGCTCTGAGTGGGTGCCGAGGTAAGAACCGAGACTATTTTCTTTCGCAAAGACCACCCCAGTCCTATATTCAGAAGGGCACGTGGGGGGGACTATTCCTTCGTTGCTGCCCAGGTATTCGTGAATCTGAATATTATGTCTCAAGAAGTCGTAAAATCCATCAATCTCAATCACGCAATTATTCTCTGCGACATACTGCTTGAGCAGGTCTGGGCCGATACTGACAATTGAAGCCCCCCAAATTTTGGTATGTTACCACTGTATGATAGACCGTCCTCTTCAATGTCTGGCCCCGAATCTGTAAATTTGATGCGCAAGCAGGACGGTGGATGTTCAATAATCTCCAGTTTTCGTGGGAACTCGCAAAGAGACCGGCGGCAGAAGCTTTTGTAGCCACGCTGAGGAACATTAGTTTCCAAGTCTTGGATATAGTGGGGATTCAAGCTATCGTGAGCATCCTTCATTATTCTAATATCCAGATCTGCATCCAGAAGGGCATGGAGGGCCTTGTAGTCAGCGATGATGCAAGTTCCTGCAATGATGGGCTTCATCATCGGTTGACGCCGAAAAAACTCTCTAAGTACCGATTTTTGTGGGATAGATGGATACCAGATAAGACACGACAGCTCTGCTCCGGGAGTATCCAAGGTTACATGCGATAGGCCACTGTTCATGATAAAGCGGGCGTGGATAACAGGCTTGATTCGATCTGACTGAAAAATGGAGGACGTTTGGAGTGAGCACCACTTGGCAAACATGGTTTTGTTATAAATGTCTCGCACTAAACAGTACAACTCTGAGCAGGTTTCCTTGGGTCGTCAGAGCCAAGCGTGTCGATCAAATTTACCGAAGAGCGCGGCAGTTAGGATCAGAAGGTCTTTATTGGGTGTTAGAAGGTCGGCTGGGAGTGGATTGTAAAGCATTGGCAAGATCTCCTCGTCTTTAATCGCAAAAGGCGTCGTCTCGGGGTTGGTATCTTGTTCATCCATACGCTGGTCTTCACTGATGTCGCAATAACACGAGTACCGCCTCCTGTTGAACGCAGATCGAATACTGATATACAACCGAATGTCCGTATCACCGTTAAAATTTCCAGGAATGGGAGTAAAGATCTCTCTAGTATAATTGTTCATGGCATTATACTTAACACCAACTTTCATGGTGGCATGATAGATCGCCACGTGGCCACTCTCGCGTGCTTCTTCGGCAATATGACACTCGGGTAGCGGATCTAACTCGTGAAAAGGATCTGTATAGTCTACAACTGCACATGCACGTCCGACCAGGTATTTCATGAGAGGATATTGTTTAACTATCTCGCGATAGGTTGTCTCTGACGCTGTATCTGGATGCCAGAGACAGGATGGAATTCTTCAGGGCATTCTGGGTTCAAGTGAAGTATTTCATTGTTCATGATATTGCGTGCATTGAGGGCTCCAGTGAGTTCAGGAACCAGCCTACGAAGCTCGGTTGCAAAGCCATGACAATATCGGATACCACGAATTATGCATCTTCTTGTTCTCTTTTTAGCAAGAGCTCGAGGGATGTTCTGGCCTCACAAGGCTTGCACAGGTTCATCGTTGGTCGCCTCTCTGAAGCCAGGATTTGTTTGGCTGAAAGCTTCCATTTTGAGCAGGAGGTATCTGATATATTCAATTAAACAATAAAAGGTCAATGTGTGCGATGTACAGAAGAAAGAGGGAGGCAACCAAGGCAAGAATCCGCGAAATATGGGAGAGAGGTGAGAATGAAATAGAGCAAAGGAGCATATACTCCACGGGTCTCGTCCCATATGTTTATCTCTGACGCCATCCGATAATCTACTACTAAAATGAAGCCAGCGTGGAGACATAAAGTACCATGATTACAATGTTACACCGTAGATAACACATTGATATCTCTCAGAGTCAAGCACTTCACATTCAATTTGGAGTCCAGCATCCTTTCATGCATACCTTGGAGATCTCGTTTTTATACCCACGATGTTAGTCCACTACACATGTTACACACTAAGAGACCAGGGTGTGCCTCACCATTACATTTCGCCAGCCGCAAAGAGCCACTTGAAATAGCCCCGCACGAGCCTAAAATTACTCTTCCCAGGGAACTTCCCATCTGAGTTATGGGAGTTGTGAGTTGCAATGTCTGAGCTGAGCTTTTCCTTTAGTTATGTTTTTGATCATTCCTTCCTTGGCCACATCCTAGGAATCCTGTTGAGACGGCCTTACTGCCTAAGGCAGATAGGGCCTTCACTCCTCATCTGGTCCATTTTGCTTCCTCTCTTTATTAGTTAATAGCTTGATCTAACCCATGGTTTATTTCCTGTCTGCTTTCTCTACAAATGATCTCTTGTTTTGGGGTCGTCTCTTCCTGCCTGTTTAGGAACGAGTGCCTTCCAAAGCTTGGTATACGTTCTTCATGACTCGAGGTACTTTGTGAGTCTGCATATGAGCAGCCCCGCCTCTCTACACTAAAGACATGATAGGTGATTATCGATGAACCCAAACAGCCGTTTTCTCAGTTTTTGCGGCAATGGTCTTGCGACGCCTAGATATCTAGGAATACTCCTAGTAGTTAGGGTTTATTCGTATCATGTGACTTTACAATATAATCTTTTAATTGGTCGAGAAGGTTATAGAAGGGCCGAAGGGGAATTCAGTCAGTGAGTAGAGTACAATTTAAGGAATAACTATAACCAATATGATTTTGATTTTTCAAGTTGCGTATATCTCTGATCAATTTATAAACTATGAGATGAAGAAACAGTACTTGGACCCTCCATATTCACATCGAGTTCTCCACCCTTCAATTTATACATCCAAGTCCCCCCATATATCATCAACCTTATTACATCATGCAATATACGGATTCGCAGGTGGCGTGAACTGTGGACTAGAGTGGCGAGTCCCAAAAATCACAGAAGGAACAATAATAACAACAAGAAGAACAATAGCCCCAAGAATCGAACCAAAGAGAATCCACTCTGGCCGACGAGACCTATGACGCTTTACCGTCCCTGTCACAGACTGTATCTCCGGATCTTGCCTCGCATCTGCCTGGTTTTCGTCTGTGGCTCCTGCTCCGGCCTCGGGCTGCCTGTCTGTGTGTTCTGGGTATTTGTCGTCGGCATATTGAGTGAGTTCCAGGCTGTAGTCTCGGTCATTGACTTCCAGGGTGCAATCCTCATTCATACTGTTCTCGGTGGTTGGACGGGGTGACGTTGCGAATTCTTTGTATGTGTCGGCGCATCGGGGACTTGGAGCATTTTGCCGGAGCGGGTTTTGTGTTTCGAGTGACGATTTCTCCATTTTGAGTAAGTATTCTAGCTATGTTTTCTCTGTTCTAGTGAAGGGTTAGTAAGTAAAACCTGGAAAGTACGGTTGAGGATATCAAGTGGCACATACTTCATATAAGGTTGCGGTGTCGGTAGTAAGGATGGGTATTGAATACTTGACAAGAGAATTGAGCACTCCAGATGTCTATTTTTTTTTTTTTTTTTGACCAGAGAACAGATCCTACTGGGAACTGGGGTATTTATAGATTAGGAAGTTGAGGCTTTGTGTGTCTCCCAGGACCCAGTTACGTAGATAAATAAACAACCCCTTGAGTAGACTAGCTTGGTTAGTAACAGCATGCGCTTTGATCGTATGCTAGAAAGTTTAACTATTGACAGTTCTACATTAAATTTTATTGTCCCTTGATTGCAATTGCCGTGTGCGGGAAGTACTAGTCTGTTACGTCGAGGCTGCAGCTGATACATCAGATCTTGTCAACGACCCCAGGAAATAGGCGTTGAGGGTCTGCAGGGAACTTTCATTGATTTCTGGAGGACTAGGTGATGGATGGCCTTTAAATAGCAGATTCAAGTCAAATTGCTGGAAATATGTTTTCTTCGGGATGAGGAGGCTATGGGGTCTTATATATATATATTTCTGCGATTTCACACTACCATTGATAATATAGTCACAAAACCATGCAAAATACCCTTGTATCAATATCAATGCAATCAAGGCAGTTATTATTTGTGGTGAGCCTTGTATTTGATCTACATTGCAGGTCATGGCGTTCTTGTGAAGGTTATTGAGATATATCAAGGCCTGGATCGTCAGGCATCAATACTCAACAAGATGTCAGGTTCTGAATATCTTATCTACCATGGGCGAGTCTTCGTTGACAACGTGGTTGACCGTGATATGTGCTTAAGCTTCATATCTATATATAAGCGCGAGATGAAGTATTTTACTACGACGTCCCTACATTAAGATGTTAGGACACATACCTTTGCCCAAAACTAGCAAACCACCGAAGAAGTGCGAATAAAGAGGTATCAAAATCTTTTATACAGGGGCTATGTCACAGGCGCGGTTGCAAACGAAGACGGAAATGCCATAAGAAACAGGAAGAAGACAGAACTCCTGGTAAGAAAACAAGTAAAGAACAACAGAGCCAAACCTGGAGGCCACGCGGGATGGTGCCAACATCAAGCAAACCAATCAAAGCCTAGGAGGAAACATCTCCCAGACAGATACCAGAGATCACCCCAAGGCCGAGGATTCCGAAACAGAACCCCCACAATAGAGCTCTCTCAACATCTAATCCCTCGACTCACGCTCGGCCTCCTTCTTAGCGAGCTTATCGTTTTGCTTCTTGGCCATACTGAGCTGGGAAATCGCCCGTTCCAAAACCTCGACGCCATCCTTCCGGAACTGCGTGACCTTCTTCACATTCAACCTCGTGAGCGAGTGCACGAGATCCCGGCCCTGCTCACGCTCACGTGCCACAGTGCGTGCCGTCATGGCGAAACGAATGTCCTTCGGCCCATCGACCAGCTCGAGAATGGCAGAGGGAGCCTTGACCTGAGGTTTAGGCTCTCGGATGGCGTTTTTGGCACCCTTCTTGGCGGAGAAGTACTCGTTCTTTTCGCGGGGTTCTATGCGTAGGACTCGTGTGTAGCCACCTGGTCGGTCTGCGTAGCGCTCACGGAGGGGACCGAAGAGTTTGGGGAGCATTTCGTGTGGTGTCTAGGGGATGTTAGTGTTGCCATTAGGTTGTTGATTTTTTTCCCCCGAGGAATGATGGGTTGAGAAGTGCAGTGATTCATCACGGAATCGGTAAACCCATTGTTTCTCGTGACTAGACTGGTTCCCGCCCTGACTGGAACCGAGATGGGTTTGTTCTCTGGGAATTCAACATACGTAGAAAATCTCCAATGCTCGTCGCCGACTGGCCTCGGTGTTCTTCTTTCCCAGAGTAATCAACTTCTCGGCCAGGCGCTGGGCCTCTTTGGCCTTGGCCCATGTTGTGGTGATTGACTCATGCTCGAAGAGGGAGGTCACCAGGTTTCGGAGCAGGGCCTGTCGATGCGCGGAGTCGCGACTCAAGTGGCGGTATCTGCTTCCACCGCCGGCCATAGTGAGGGCTGTTAAGGGAGATGAGAAGAGGTAGAAAAAGGACGAGATATTAAGAGTAAAGTGGGAATCGCGAGGTCAATGGCCAAACTAAGGTGTTCCTGTAATTGAAGATGAAGGACAGAGGATGTTCGGCCCAGAAGAATTGTCCGGCCAATCGGAGCGCTTCCACCGCCTGTCCGACTTCAGTTTTCCGCGTTCTTGTTCGAGGACATTCAACTTTTGGAATACATTTAAGCTGAGCTCTTTGGTTATCAATAAAAGAACATCTCTATAATCGCAGAGTATTCTTGCCATTTTTCGCATTTTGCACCCATCCCCCCACGAATAAAAGGCAACGCGCCGACTCCCCAACAACCACAACAAATATGGGATTCTTCACGGGTTTTGTACGATTTGCGCTCAAATATATACCAGGAAACAAGGACTAACTTCAATTTGCCCTCGAATAGCTCGGCGGCTTTGCTTTTACCTCATCCGTTCTCTATATTACTATTCAAGTCCACCGCTCAACCCGCATATCACAGCGCAAAGCCATCCACGCGCAAGTTGAGCAAATAGACTGGTTGACCTCCTCTTCCGGCGCCTACGACCGGCGCTTCCTACCAGAAGACATGCCAAGACGGCAGCGCGAAGAGTTGGCAGCACAAAATCAGGCAGAGCCGACTATGAAGGAGATACTTAAGCATAGATGGAATAAGGAAGTGGAGGCCTTAACAAGGAAGGCTTATGAGACGAGATGGGAGGACGTGAGAGATGCTGCTGGGGAAGGCTGGAAGGCTGCTGTACGAGTGGTGAAACGGGAATGAAGGATCATTACTAGGACTAGTATAAGGGTTTGGCTCAAGCGAATCCTTGGATGCATTATCATGTCTGCTTGTTTGGGTTTGGATTTGAGCACCGGAGTTTGGATACCCTTGATTTAGTTATGTCATGATTTACATGTATTAGTAGTATTATTTCCCCAAGGGATATTGTAAATGCGTCCAGCGCACTCCCAGATGGTATAGAAATATCAATACAGTGCTGCAAGACTCGGTGATGACCCGATCAATCCTGGAACATTCGCACTGGTCCGCTGGAAAATCTTAATGAATGCAGCAAACGCAGCGCTGCGGCTGAATCAACTGTAAGACTCAGAGGTTCAACTCGTATGAGTTGTTGACGACGGCGCAGTTGTCGTGGCACTCTCCGAATCACTCCAGATATCCTTGCTTTCCCGTTCAACGGTGCGCATAGCCTGGGCCACCTCTTCCAGTTTAGCAACGACATCCAGAACGCCCTGATTGACCCGATCAAAGTACCGGTCATTAGCCTCACGGCGCTTTCGCGCAAGACGGATGTCTTTCTCGGTCTCCTCATCCAACGTGTGGTGCGACACCTCCCCGCGGCCTGCGCTAGCTTCTGTTGCTGTATCATACTGGTGATTCGACTCTCCAACACCTCCCCGCGTCGAGCTGACTTTTCCACTGGTTTTATCGGCGCCGCTGTGACCAGGATCCACGACTTCATCGTCTGCCTCACTGCGTGCCCAGGCTTGAGCAAGCTTTAATTGTTTCATGCGTAGATCTTCCAATGCTTCAGAGTGCTTTGCACCAAAGACATTCTCGCTTGTCACGGCGCTGAGTTCCACTTCTGACAGAGCGCTCTGCATCTCCTGCCATATGGCGTCGGATCCGTCTACATCATTATTGGAGGGACGGCGCGATATTAAAGGTGATAACAAACTGGATTTTTCCAGTTTTTCACCCCCCGCGCTGCGAGGTGACCGGTTTCGATGCAGTGGTGGAGGTTGGCTGCCAGAGGCAGTTGCTAACGTCGAGGCTGCAGGTGGTACGGATAAGGAGATATTAGAGGCATTGTGTGATGGTGGGCCCTGGAAAAGGGCTGGGGGAGGCAAGCGCTGAGGATTTGGGTTCGTGAGTTTTCGTGACAAATCCATCTTCAACAAATGTTTGAGAGAACAACAGGCATCAGGGCATTCGAATGGGGTTGACCTCGGGATGATACAGCTGATAACCTTATCGTTATCAGCATGCTGATATAATATGAGGTGGGGGCTACGACTGTCCCGTGACTCGCTTAGGGCTAACCGCACAAAGTCACCTGAGGTGCATCCAAAGCGTGTGGTAAGGGAAATCCGGAACTCTTCGACTTTTCGACAATCGACCCTCAGCCCCTTTGGCCGACAACACCCCTCCCAGTCGGTACGTATTCGATATCCTGCTGTTTCCCCTGCATTGTTTGTGCTTTTCCGAAATATTTTATTCGTGGTATTGCGAGATCGATCGCATCCATCTACACGCACAAAAAATCGGTCTTATCCAAACATCGAACACGCATCGAAAACACCCACAAACAGCCAAACCATCGTTGCAGTCGACACGAGGCTAACAATTTTTTTCTCGTTCAGTTGACCGTCGAACACATAATCCGCCAACATGGGTAAAGGACAACCCCGTGGTTTGAACGCCGCCCGCAAGCTCCAGTCGCACCGCAAGGATCAGCGCTGGGCTGATGACCACTTCAAGAAGCGTCTCCTCGGAACTGCCTACAAGTCCTCCCCCTTCGGTGGTGCTTCCCACGCCAAGGGCATCGTTCTTGAGAAGGTCGGTGTTGAGGCCAAGCAGCCCAACTCCGCTATTCGCAAGTGTGTCAAGGTTCAGCTCATCAAGAACGGCAAGAAGGTCGCTGCTTTCGGTGGGTAACCCCGTTCCTTGCTGTTGTTATAAATGTGTTGGATTGGTCTACACGAGTTCGAATCACGACGAGATGGAAACCGCTACACACAACTACCACAAACATATGCTAACTAGCATGCTCTTACAGTCCCCAATGACGGTTGCTTGAACTTCATCGATGAGAACGACGAGGTTCTGCTCGCCGGTTTCGGTCGCAAGGGTAAGGCCAAGGGTGATATTCCCGGTGTCCGTTTCAAGGTCGTCAAGGTCTCCGGTGTCGGTCTCGCCGCTCTGTGGAAGGAGAAGAAGGAGAAGCCCCGCTCTTAAACAACTCGACGCGTTCTGTTCGAAATCAAAAATGCAGCGACCGGGAGCCTTGGAGTGTGGGAACGGTGCCGGACGGAAAGCCCGCCTCATCAGCGCCTTGATTTCATGAGATATTTTCTTTTTGGGGAGTCCCCGGCGGGCTTTCGTCCGGAATGTGGTGGATCCGCTTATTTGCGAATTAAACACGATTGATACAACCTCCAAAAGATTATGGCGCCATGACTTTCTATATCTTTTCCTGGGTTTCTGACCTTCCCTGTATACTGCTACTTGGTTCCTGGATCCTTGCTAGAGTTGTCTCGTGCGGACGCAAAGTAAAGCGTAGGATATGATGTTGGTGTGTACACGGCATTCATGGACATAATATGATCTAAATGAGCGAGCTGTTTGGTACATAAGTCCATTAGATCAATCTCCTATGATAGGGAGTTGATGCCTGGTGAATCCGATCTGTACAAACATCTATCCATCCATCCCATACTTCTAGACCTTCGAGTCTATTTCCTCGTTACGGAACAACCTTAGAAAGGTCATTCACATGTGGAGTTGTTTAATAATTACAATGGCCACTAGTTATATATATATGTATCCCGACTTTGCATCCCTCCCTATGAATATATCAATCTATGCCCTTTGCAAGCCACTAGGAATTCCTTAGTACTAGTTAACCTTGAATAAGCCATGTTATGTAGAATATCTATCGACGTTACACATTTTATGGTACACAAGGATCTGCGTTCAGCCTAATAGTAGGATATATTTTATCCTGTTACTAGCTCAGCGATGTAGGTATCTATGCCAGGCTAAGCTTATTACAAAGTCTATTTGATATGCGCAAGAGAATCCAATGTAGTGGCTAGCACAGCGCTGTCTAAACATCGGCGGAAGTCAGAAAATTTAGTTGTTTCTATTCATTACTTCTGCGTATCAATCGTCAAAGTAATTCCTCGGGTATCGTTCGTGCAAATGTCCCTCAAATGATTTTTTTTGTTAATTTTCATGAGCTGTTTTGACACAATTGCTTAAGCCAATCACCAGCTTAGAAGCTGATATCTTCTTTGCGGTAGTGGTCTGAGACAATGCGGTAAAGGTACGATGGAGCATGGCCGCCGCTGGCGTAGGAAGGGTAAGGTTAGCTTTATGAAATGAGATCAGAAAGTGGGGTGGGTGCTTGAAACTTACATGTTAGTGATGTAAAGATCGACGAGCTCTGCAGGAACGTAGTCATAGATGGGGTTCTGGACATCGACTAGGTCAACGAGATCACCTTCCTCGTATGAAAGGACCTTGCTTGGGTCACCGTATTCAATGAGCGAGTCGAAATCGAATGGGTAGACAGGGCTGAGCTTGTAAACACCGCTCACAACTACAACAGGGGTCTGATGGACCTTGGCAGCACGGGCGATGACACGGGTGCCAGCTGCGGCGACAAGGCCACCGTTGGCGAGGACGGAGTGTGTGCCGAGGATGACCTTATTGACTCGCGACATGATAGCGAAGACAGCAGAGTCGGGGATGAGGATGACGGTAATGCCGTGCTCGATCAGTGGCTTCTGGAAAGCCTCCAAGCCGAGATTGTCATCATCGCTAGCGCTACCACTGACGGTAGCGTGTGTAGCCTCGTGATTATTAGGGTACGACTCAGCGTGGATGACGGTGAACTTTCGCTTTGTGGCGGCCTTGAGCAGGAATTTTTGGACCGTGGTCGAGGATGTGTGAGTGAGGATGATTTCGTTGGAATGAATGTGGTCCAATGCGTAGGCGGCGATCTGGTCGTCCACTTGACCAAGCTCATCAATGATCTCGCCAATACCCTCCAGGACTTCAGCCCGTACGTCTTTGCTTGGGGAGTGACCAGGGAGGCGCCCGCTTGGAGAGGAGGATCCCGGGGTGCTGGGAAGTGAGTGCTCGGGTTCGGGATGGGAGAGAAGGCTGAACATAGAGGTCAAAGGAGGGCGAGTGGTTCTATCCTCGGACCGGAAGGAGAGCGAGTCGCGATCCAAAGGCAATGCTGGATCTAAGAATTTATGAGTCACTGCTGCGTAGGTATTTGGAGAAGTTGGGACTCACCGTCAAAAGCCCGGGGTGTTTGTGGCTGACTCTCTGAACCGATGTCGCTAAGAGCGAACTCTGCTTCGCGATCATCTTCGGCTTCATCACGAATAAGACCAAGGACCCGGCGCACGATATTGCCCACAACCATCTCGCGCGGTTGCGCAGCCATTAGTCGCCTGCCCACACTCTGCACCCGCTCAATAAGCTTTGCTGAATCTGTTGTGCGGCATGCAGAGATCACACTCCGTAGCAAATAGGCGGTTGCCGTGGCACATGATCGCGAATGGCGGATTTGACGTCGCTTGAGCAAGCTGAATGAAATATACTAAGTTAGGAATTTTGATCGTCGGTGGGGATAGCAGAATGACTGGAAGTCTCGAGATACGTACGAAATCAAAGTTTCAATAGAGGTATCAATCGGGTTTGTCTTGAGACACTTGAGGAATGACCCCAGGCCCGGTGTCAGGGCCAACGAAGACGGCATGAGGAAGTGGGATGTTTGGAGGAAATCTACTCGGTGTCAGCGGGGGTTGGGCGATAGAAGTGTGTAGTGTTCGACTATTAAACATACCGAGTTTCAGACCCAAATCACACTGAGTATGTAAATAGAAAGAGGTTTATTAAGAGATTCTCAGATTCTCAGAGCCAGAGAGAGAGAGTGGGAGAGACAAAGAATGATTTTCTGCCGTTCGATCTTGTCCGCTTCCCCACACTCATTGATCCTCTATTGTCTCGGCTTCGGCTTTCTTATTGGTGTTCTTTCAGTTTTCGCGTTTCTATTATTTCATTTCTGTTTTTGGATTGCTCTTTATCGGCTTTGAATCTGTGGTATAAATCAGATTTGGAGTTGCGGAAGTTGTTCCGAGGCACGGGTGACTGGCGCATTGAGGTTAGAACAGCTTACGCCTCCTTACGATCCCCCTCTTTCCCTCGGACAGACATATCACATTCTTACACACAATATCTCATGGGCCGCTTCAAGTGGGTTTGATGATTTACTCACGATTCCTTTGTCAATAGATCGCTGCGCCCCCGTCTCCCGTGACGCCTTGAGGGAAGATGAACTCGCTGAACATCCTGTCCTCGCGAGTCATTGGCCAATCTTCCAGCTCTTCACGCCACAGATCACAGTCCCAAGGCGATAGCAAACGTGCACCTCTACCGACAGACTTCTCGAAACTCCGGTCTTATAGCGAGGATAACTTTCGGTCCCTCGACCCCACCGAGAAGAGCTATGACGGTGGACCACCGCCCGTGGGCGAATATGGAGAGGAAGATGTGCCCTATGAATTAGACGAGAAGACACAGTTACTGCATGAAGCTCACAAGAAAGGCACGCTCACTGCTCGAAGTACTTGGCGACTAATTACCCAACGATTTTTCGATGCGATCACGGAAACCCTCAAGTTCATCATGTCTACGTTTGCTGCACCCGGTGTGTATTTGGCTCAATGCTTTCAGGCCGAAGATGGTCACTACTCGCTCCTTGCACCTGTTCGGAAATTGCGGCGCTCTTCTGCTGCCCCAACAATGCGGCCGGATAAGGCCATCCGGGTGGAAGGTCGGCGCCGGAGTGGCTCCACCCGGAAGCTGCGATCTCAAGGCTCTCACGAATCTATTATATCAACAACGTCAGAGTCTGACACAGATCGACGACATATCAAGCATCTATCAACCGGGAAGAACCGGCCTACCAAGACGAAAGGTCACGATCCTGATTCAATCCCAGAAGCGGAAGAGAATGAGAACACGCCCCGTCGGTCTATACGAATCAAGCTCCATAATGAAGAATCTCTCAAGCGGCAGAAACATCGAAGATCCCAGACTGCGGATTTAGGGCATCCGGTGCCCAAGGGTGTCTCTCGAGTCCAGGGTGCTGTCCACCTGGACAGCTTGAAGTCCCCAACCTCTCCCAATATCCACCGCATAACAAAGTACCCGCATTCTCCAACTCCACCACGCCCACTCCTCCCGCCACGAGTACCTTCATATACTGCAGCTCCCCGCAATGCGAGGCCTCCGCAGAAGACCTTGGTGCTGGATCTCGATGAGACCCTAATCCATTCGCTTGCCAAGGGTGGCCGGATGTCCAGTGGTCACATGGTCGAGGTCAAGCTCTCGATACCTACGACTACTTCATTATCCCCGGGCGGACCGCAAACGACACTGGGCCCCCAGCACCCCATTTTGTACTACGTGCATAAACGACCGCATTGCGATGAGTTCTTGCGCAAGGTTAGTAAGTGGTATAAGCTCGTCATTTTCACAGCTAGCGTTCAAGAGTATGCCGACCCTGTCATCGACTGGCTCGAGTCGGAGCGGAAATACTTCCAAGGCCGTTTATACCGACAGCATTGCACATTCCGTAACGGGGCGTACATCAAGGACCTGAGTTCTGTGGAGCCGGATCTGAGTAAGGTGATGATTCTGGACAACAGCCCGATGAGTTATATCTTCCACGAAGGTAATAACTAAGTTTTATCTATTATGGTGCGCTCGAACTAATAATGATTGCTAGATAATGCGATTCCTATCGAAGGTTGGATCAATGACCCCACGGATAACGGTCTGCTCCACTTGGTTCCCATGCTCGAAGCTTTACAGTCTGTCACGGATGTCCGGGCTTTGCTGGCACTTCGCCGTGGTGAAATCGAGTCATGATTGATATCCGCATTTGTGTTTGTATAAGGGGTTTGTGTTTTAGAAGCGATGTCTAAGCTTTCAGCATGAAAATAGGAAAAAAAATGAAAATATTACGGAGCAATGGAGGGAATTGGAGACCGACCGACACGATCATGCAAGCGCAGTTATTCATAATGGCATTCGGTGTCTTGTTTTGTTACTAAGAATCGAATGGAAATACGTACATATGACCTTGACTTCTCTTGATGAATCTATGTACATAGTATGTAGGTACCTCGTTTCAAGTTCCTATCTTTAACCAGCAGAGTCTGTAATCTTGAAACAGAAATTGGCGGGATAGCTTTTGCGCGAGTAAAACAAGATAATCCATGAAATGGCAACCCAACACATAAGACAATGTCCTAAAACTCCACAGTAAGCGCCATAATCTTCCCCCCTCTGATACTCGTGTCATTCCCAGGAAGCCTGCTCTCCCCTCCAGTAGTGATATACAGAACATTGCGATCCTTGTATGTCCTCCCAAAGGCCGTGGACGTGGCAGTCATCAAATCCGTCGAGTTCGCCGAACCCGCAATAACCTCATGGTCACCATTAGGATAGACCTTGAGAACCACATTGCCAACAAGACCCGCCAAATATGCAACCCCATGCGGGCCAATAACAAAGTCATCACCCAGTGTATTGCGGCTGATAACCTCATAAGGCCCCAAAGCACGGCCAGTATGTGTATCAATTCGCACACGACAGAAAATCTGCTTCGGGCTGTCGGTGTAATACATATAATCATTCACTACCTTCAACCCGTTGACCCCAAGCAACAGTCCCATGTCTGTATTTGCGGCCATTGTCTCGTCTTGGTGGATCACCTCGTAGGCCCCGGTACGGATATTGAGATACCATATGACGCCAAGCGAGGAATCGGTGAGAGCGACTGCGTTTCCTTCATCTAGAGCAGCAATTCCGTTCAAAGCACCAGCGGGGAGTTTCGCGATAAGGGTTGCCTTGGGCGCGGTTTCATCGCTTGTGAGATCGATCGTCCAGACTGAGTTGGTTGCAATCACCGCATAGATATCTGGTGAAAGCTCTGTGATGCCATCTGCATCTTCGGCGCCGTCGAAATGGTAGACTAGATGGGCTGAGCCGGGAGTTGAAGGGTCAATTTCCCAGAGCTCTGCTGTGCTCAGATCCGCGACGAGGAGGTTGCCGTTTGGTCGGACTGCGATGTTCTCGACCCAGGTCGCATTTGGGAATCTGTAGATTTCGCGAAGATTGGGGGAGTGCGCGAGACAGAGAGTGGAGAAGAATGTAAGGAGTAAGAGTAGGGAGTCTAGCAGATTAGCCATCTTTGGAGGGCGTCGTGTAATGTTCTGAAACACCACAATACATTGGGAGACTTTGTTATATAAGAGATGGCGGAACTGCCGGCTCTTATCTTTTGCATCAATTAATCGCTGCTAAATGAATTTGGTTGGTTTCCTCGGAAACTGAGTTGTAATGCAGGTGTACAAGGTGCTTGGTAATACAAATTGCTGAGAAGTAGATAGCCAAGTCTGCACCGAATACTCCGTACTGCAGATCACCATAATGTTGCAGATAAAACAAAAATACAATGGAAACAGACCCTAGTTAATTAACCATCATGAAATACAATTTTCAGATAATCTTCGTTAACCGCCATGATCCAGAATCCCCCGGTTAACCTTGTGCCTCACGTCATGTGCTATGGAATTCCCCTTCTATCCATAGATAAAATATCATATGTTTCACTTTACAACTTCTTGTCCGGTCTAAGTTCCTGGATTATTGGGATACACTACGGCTCGGAATTAGACTAAAAGTCCACAGTCAAAAGGATACCATCAAGATTTATCTGCACGGGAGGATGTAACGTCTTGGCGTAAGCAATATGCAGCCAATGTTGCCATGTTGTGGTATAGTGTTCTTGGCAATACGCCTCTCAGATAGGCATCTTCATGCTTTCCCTTGCTGACATCCATTCGGATTTAAGGTCTGTGGATTTATGCTTCCTTCGCGGGTGCTTACCGAGTGGGTCACAATTGGGGAAATTTGATTGGTGAGCCAATCTGGGCTGCCAATGGCCAAAAGTTAAGCTGGGACCCACTTTAATGGTAAAAGTAACATCTTTGGACATGACGTGCGATAAGCAGGCTGCATGATAGGCTCAAGGGCCAGATGATAGACTGTTCATCCAGGGCGCATTCTTAAGATTTAATTCACACCACACAGGATCCGACTCTCCTCTCCTACCGGGGTCTGGCAGAGCCGTTTCTGTAAGGTTACATCTTACCAGGTACCCACAACTAGCCATCCTTGTAGTACTTTTGTTAGATCTGCAACAAGTTGCTGGAAAATTAAGCGAAATCTGGCGATACGTTGAGAGCCACCGGTATTCTTCATTTTCTACTCCGTACAGTTGATCTTTCGCGATTACGCATAATATTGCGGGGTATATAACGACAATGTCAATTCGCAGACCGCCCGTGTATCAACGCCGTGATAGAGACCAAACCTTGCGATTTACTGAGAATGGCAAATTCCAAATTTCGGTTTTTAGCGACTTGCATTTTGCCGAAGGTATGATGACAGACTCTAACCATTGTCTGGTATACTAACTATACACAAAGATGATGAAGCAGACAAGAACACCACAAGGGTGATGAACTCCGTTCTTTCTTCGGAGAATGTGCAACTTGTGGTGCTTAATGGCGACTTAATCTCTGGCGAGGCAACACAAAAGTCCAATTCTAGTCTCTACGTCGATCGAATTGTTGCACCACTGGCCGATCGTGGTTTACTATGGGCATCGACTTATGGGAATCATGACAGCGAGATTAATCTGGACCCCGAAGAGACGTTTCGTCTAGAGGCAAAACATGAAAACAGCTTAACCCAGAAACAAGTGCTTGGGTCCACTTCTGGGATCACGAACTATTATCTGCCAATATTCCCGCATGAGGGTTCGAATGATAATACCCCCGCGTTTATACTATGGTTTTTCGACAGTCAAGGTGGTCATTATGCCATGAAAAAGAATGAAGATGGCGAATCAACCCCGAAACAGAATTGGGTAGACGATAGCGTAAGTGCTACGCCGTTTATAAACCCCAAAGATTCTCATATATTCTTATATTTGATCCCGGGATTTGAGGTTTAGTTTTCACATACTAACTTGGTACAGGTTACTGAATGGTTTACAAAAACCAATAAAAACTTAACATCTACCTACGGACAAACAATCCCATCTCTAGCCTTCGTCCATATCCCAGTCCATGCAATGCGCGCATTCCAGAAATCTGGCGTTAACCCAACGAGCGAACCAGGAATCAACGGAGAACGAGTCCAGGAACAAGGCTACGACACCGAGTCCGGCTACCAATTTCAAGATTACCAATTTATAAGCGCTCTATTGAATACCACGGGGCTGATGGCGACTTTCAGTGGCCATGATCACGACAATGACTGGTATGGAGCAAACTATACCAGACATTCTGTTCTCGGTTTCAAGTCAAAACACAAAAGATCTCATTGAGCTAATACCTTTTTTTTCTTCTTTCGACAGGTGCTTCAAATGGGATAATAAGCTTTCTGGCCTCAATATCACTGGAAATGGTGTAAACATGTGCTACGGTCGACATACGGGATATGGAGGGTATGGCGATTGGGCACGTGGTGGGAGACAGATTTTGTTGGATGAGAAGTTGCTTGGGGACGATATGCGGACTTGGGTTCGGATAGAAGATGGGTCAATTTCAGGGGATGTCCATCTCAATGCGACGTATGGCCATGATCGATATGGGTTGGCTGAGAGGAGGAATGCCAGCGATCAAAATGGTGGTCTTTCGCTTTCTCCTCAATACTTGGGTATTTTTGTGTGGATATTTGTATTTTATAGGCTTATATCTGGAGTTCACTTATGGTAAATTACTCGATCAATTCTGTCTATGGAAGTGTGCAAGGATCACGGAGTATGGAGTATACTTTGTAAGTATTGGCCTCGATGTAGGACCAAATGGCTGTTATCGGATGCTGTGTACTTTAATGCAACATATTGTACCTGCCTTGGATGTTAAGAAGGCGAATCATTGTTCTTTCAAAATGGGTGTGTCATCATTATAGCTCTACAAAGTAGCTCAAGGAGTGCCTCTGGCGAAGACAGTACAAAGTAGCGCAACCAACCGTTTTGGCTCTGTCTTCCCGGGGGTTTCATAAATGACCACTAAACCTCGGTTAAGATTGGTGAGCCTCAAGAGACAAGGTCGTACAAAGTACATTAAATATGGGTCTAGGCACAATCAAAAGATCAAAACCCCTGGTATTCTCCAATGGATTTGAAACACAGCCCTTTTTCCAAAGAGATCGTCAAAAAAAGAACAGGGCTTTCCCGCCTCTGACGTCAGTGACCCCTGGCCCCACTTCTTTCTGGTCCAGGGGAGTTCCAAAGTTTTACCAAATGCGGTCTTTTTGAAAAAGAGAGAGATTTGAGAGAATGAGAGAATGAGAATGATATATATGAGTATTAGGAAAGAAGAAGATTAAATAACTAACTATGTCAGGTTAATTATTAATCGTATACCTGACGTAAGGGGGAAATATCATACATGACTATGAAACATTGGTATATACATACTCCATACAAAGTACATAAATCATTGAATCTAAATGTCTAAAGAGGTTCAAGAAGTCCAAGGAGGTCCAAGTTCCTTGGTTAGTTGTGTGGAATAGCTTGTCTTGCCCTCCTTACACGCGTTTCATCGCTTGGCATATGCGTGGTGACCGAGATAGTGGAGAACCCCTAAGCCCTAGCCTATAGGTATATTATTCGACATTATTCGACATCATCTGTCACTTCCACTCGTTCCATGAAAAAGCAATGATAATATGACCGGCCAATACTCAATATTCTAGCCAACCATGAACATGTTCAACTGTACAGTATACGCATACAAACAAAATCGGTCCTACAAAGTGCACTCGGCCCAGCCAGTGGCGAACATGATCGCTCTACTGGTTGATCGTCGGGTCTTTGCGAAATTAACCCAGCAAAAGCATGCAATTTCTCCCAACCCCACAGAAAGGTGGATAAGGCCCTGAAAACTATTTTTGTTTCTGAACTTGGGTTGGGGGTCTCTTTTGCCCATACATCATTGCGCCGCATCCCCAACCCCCAAAGTTCCTTCCTCTGACAGGCAAGATCTCGTCCAATTCCCACATCAACTCGCGACCGTTTCTCAGTCAAGATCGATATACTATCTATGATTGATCCAAGTCCGAAATGCAACTGTCCGGAACATGGTCCATCCTTAATGGCCTCATCGCAATACTTCTCTTCTCAACGTTAACCTCTGCAATCGAATTGGACATCAATGATGAAGGTACGACATGGCTACTAGAATTTATTTTTGAATTTATTTTCCAATGGAAATTCGCATAAGACTGACTTCGCTATCCTTGGACAGAATCAATCAAAGATGCCGCAAGTACGAGTGCTTACTCCATGATGGGATGGTATGTCGGCAATGAAACCGGTCAAATCCCTGGCGCTTTCCCTGAAAAATGGTGGGAAGGATCTGCTCTTTTCCTGGCACTGCTTCAATACTGGCACTTTACGGGTGACACGACCTATAACTCTTTAACGAGCGAAGGAATGCAGTGGCAGTCGGGCGACAAGGGTGATTACATGCCCAGCAACTACAGTAGCTACCTGGTGAGACCAATACACCGATTGCAAAACACCGTCACGTATAGTTATCTAAATATTCCCTAATCTCTAGGGAAATGACGACCAAATGTTCTGGGGTCTCGCAGCCATGATGGCCGCCGAGCTGAAATTCCCTGATGTCCCAGACAAATTCTCGTGGCTTTCGCTCGCACAGGGTGTATTTAACACCCAGATTGCTCGATGGGATACAACAAAATGTGGTGGTGGTCTGCGTTGGCAGCTCTTCCCTTACCAGAACGGATACACCATGAAGAACGCCGTATCAAACGGTGGTCTGTTCCAACTTGCTGCGCGCCTCGCCCGCTACACGAATGAAGACAAGTACACAGACTGGGCCGAGAAAATCTGGGACTGGTCTGTTTCCTCGCCGCTGGTGAACAACAAGACCTGGAATGTTGCCGACTCGACAGAAATGAGCAATAATTGCGCCGACGCTGGTAACTACCAGTGGTCCTACAACTACGGCACATACCTAATGGGTGCTGCCTACATGTATAATATGGTAAGTGTAGCTCTCTATTTTCGCTATTTTTCTATTACAGACACAACTCTTCTATTTGCATACACTAACACTCAACCCGTACAGACAAGCGACGAAAAATGGAAGACCCCAGTCGACGGTCTCCTCGGCAAAACTCTGAAAACCTTCTTCCCGAACGGCGACGTCATGGAAGACACGACCTGCGAACCAATCCACAAGTGTAATTTCAACGAAATCCTCTTCAAGGGCCTCACCTCATCATGGCTCGCATTCACCGCGCTCCTAGTCCCCGACACCGCAGAGCAAATAAAACCTAAACTTGCAAGTTCTGCACAAGCCGCTGCAGAGTCCTGCACGGGAAATAACAACAACACATGCGGTATCATGTGGTATCAACACAAGTGGGACGGGACGACTGGCATGGAGCAAGAGATCAGCACGACTAATGTCTTCCTTGCGAATATGATCAACTTTGACACCGGTACCTTTGGGCCTGTCACTTCGAAGACTGGTGGAAACAGCACCAGTGATGATAATGCGGGTGAAGGGGACGGGAAAGACAAGGAGAAACCTATCACGACTGGGGATAAGGCTGGTGCTAGTATTTTGACATTGATCTTTGTCTTTGCTTGGGCTGGGGCTATGGCTTTCATGATGCTCGGTGCTTGATCTGGCGGTACATATCATGTTTCTTTCATTGGCATTGTAGGAGAATTGGAGTTTTGGTGACTCGATTATGTTTGTACATACTATATCAAAATTATTTTTACATTCCTACGGTGAAATAGTATACTGGTCTATGTATTTTCAACAGGTCAACGATGTTTGACTACACACGCCGGCTTTACAACGCAAGACCTCCGATGAAGTATCTAGACAAAATATGCGTGATAGGAATGCTGCTCTCGAGCGTACCGAATGAGCGACGCCATATCACTATATCGATCTGTCTAACATCCCTGTATCACGGCACCTTCTAGAGATTTATAAACGATATACTTCGAGAATATATAGATAAATACATACTTAACTTTGTCGATAATATTCTTATCTACAGCGAAAATAAAGAAGATCACCAGTACCCGGTATACTATAGGTACAAAAGCCCTGTACCTAACTACCTATATTTACAATTAGTCAGCGAGGTCCGCACCCGTAGGTACATGGATTGCTCGAAAGTCGAATTCTGTCATATTTTACTAGTTATGTAGAGTTATGCATATCCATTGACTATGCCATACCTTGCTTCACACCAGATGTCTGTCACTATATAAAGCCCAACCTCCGTCCACCTGAAAAAATCGATTTATACTTGCTTTATTCGACTTCACTACCAAATTTCATTTCACAATTAACTACCAACAGCTAATGATCCACTATGGCACCAATCCCGTAAGCATAGTGCACAATCAACCCTCCTTCCCCGCGCAGAGTAGTCAATCCCCGATTTATCTCTAACGCCAGCTCTAATTCTTAGTGAGGTGGATCCCTCTAACTGGCTGACCCAGTTGCGCGAGCATATTGGACTCGAACGCCAGAGCCAGATATATTTATCAAGTTTGACTGTTCCAGCCACCCACAACAGCCACGCTACAACGGACCATATCGAAGGTTGGTGTTGGAAAAAGATGGAAGTTGCCAATTGTCAGTCAAGTACTATACGAGCACAACTGGAAATGGGCGTGCGATCGATTGATCTGCGAATCGGCAAAGGCCTAGTTCTCCGCCATGGAAGAGTCAACCTGCAAGGAAATCTGAGAGACGTGCTGCACATCATGTCTAATTGGCTGGATCAACACCCCAACGAGACCATCATGTTCCGGGCCAAGTGGGACTACTGGGGGGACGACCGTCAACCTGACCAAGACCATGCGCCGGGACAAGTCAATGACCTGATTCGGAAAGAATTTTCGGCAAGGGGTCTCGTCCTCGACCGGCAGCCTAGACTGAGCGAATGTATTGGAAAAATGGTTCTTTTCAATGATAACGGTGTAGGGGCCTTTCCGCTGAAAGGCCCCGAGACGCCCCGCACGGAGCTTCCAGGGGATATGGACGTCATTGACACTCACTGGATACATGTCCAGAGGGGTTTAGAATGGGCCTTGAGAACTTCATCGCCAGCTAATCAAGAGGAGTACTATAAGATTCATTGTTCACAACAGTCTCTGTATAAATTGGAGAATCTCAGCTTGCATAACTTTTGGGGCAATATCACAAGTGTCAGAAGACCGATTGACTTTGCGAAAGTTATCAACCCAAGGCTACATGACTGGTTGCTCGAAAATATCCACGGAAGGGGTGAAGGAAGGCTGGGAAGAGTTTATATTGATTTTGCTGAACCTAACTTGGTCAAGGCTATTCTACTTTGGAACTTTGTGTGATTCAAACCTCTCTCTATGAATCTAGGTCGAAAGCTTATAACTAGACCTAACCCAGACCTAGTAACTAGGGCCCTAAAAAACCTAGTGTAGGCCTAGCTCGACCCAGTTTCTACATAACTTTCTGAATATTATACGGTTATTTTTCTCTATTTTAGTTCCTGTATCATTCTCCGTCATAGGGCGGTGCGCCAGCATTATGGAATGTAGTTTGCAACAGTCAAATAAAAGGTGCCCAAGAGGTGTATTTGGCCACATGACCTATAGGAAAGCAAATATGGCAAACAAATATAGACAAAAGATGCTGCTCAAGTGGAACAAGAATACATAACCTTTGGAGGTTGTTTCCTTATATATTTCGGCCATTTCAGACAGTTTTTCACTTGATCTCACTTGGGCGCTTCCTATTGGCCAAATGACCTTTGATATTGATATTCGTAAGTCTACTCAATATATTGACGACGTGAAATATTACAGGTTGAAGTATTTAGTTTATATAGTTGGTTTCTAGTATGTAGAATTTACACTCATAGAATGGAGGTTAACCAACCAACTAGAGACCCTGAGCGAAAGTCACAAATTTAAGGCTTTCGAACTTGAGATCTGGTCCATGTCCATGGTATTCTGCTCGAATGATACCTGCTGCGTTAATAAGGCTGATGGCCAATAGCTATATAATCCATCGGACTCGATAATTGATCCACCGCCATAATATCTGTCTTTCTCTACGATGCCCGGGAAAAGAAACCTAGAACTGAATTTGCTGCTAATGTATCTCCGGATTTACAAAATATGAGAATCATTACGTTTGAGTAAAAAGTTTGCATGGACAAAACGGTCGGCCTTTGCATTCGCATCACAATATGGGGAAAACCCTGGACTAGGGCCAAAAACCCAAATCAAGGCTTCCATGTAATACAAATTGAAGATCTCAACTAGTGCATGTTTCCTTCTCACAAGACCAACTCTTGTTCGTCCAAAAAATCCAAACGCTGTGCAAATTCTATCAACCTAGTTATGCGTTGTTAGTAGGAAGGTTGTAGGATAGGACATGGGTCCATACCGTATCCTTCAATTTCCAAGAAGTTTTCCCAACTATTGAACATATATTAGTATTTTTAAGCCAGTATTTGCAAGCTGAGGGCGGTTCACTCACCAAATTTTTGATCGTCGTTTTGGTGATGGGGCGGCTGTTGATTTTTGTCTCTGCTTTTGTGAGTTGACCTACCAACTTTCCATGGCAGTTTTGTTAGTTCTAGCCCAGTAGTGCTATGCAGTATGCAATATATTGAATCAGTACTGTACTCACATTCTAGATCCGTACTCTGTTAGTTCTGTAGGCTCAGAACGGATTCAAAGACTCTCACCTCCTGCGTATCAAAGATATGTGAGCCATGCGCGAAAATAATTTTCTGGATTCTGTGCGGTAAAATAACTCACAAGCTGAGTAGTTAGCTTATGAAAATGTAAAATGATTGCTAGGACACCTTACTTGCTGTTATTGGTAATTTTGGTCAGTGCTGTATACCAGAAGTACTCCATCAAGGCTGAACATATTGACTCACATCCTATAGGAGAAACTGTTGTTAGTTATATGTTCATGTCAACCAGGCATTGAAGAAAGTACTCACTCCCTGTTGATCATATAAATCATAAGTACACTGTCAAAGTAGATATGCCCAAAAATGCTGATACTAGCACTTACCAACTATCGATTCGGCTCTGTCAGTGAAGGACCAAGTCAAGTTTGTAAATGTTAACTTACTTGCTATTTCGTGCAAATATTAGCTTCATGTTAACATAGCAGTTGTATTATCGCTTTAGATTGTGACTCACATCCTAGTAAATGTCAGTCATATGTAACAGAACCTTTCATTTCCATAAATACTTACCAACTGTTCAAACCAGTCTCGTTAGAGCATTATTCGAGTAGACATTCGAAGACAGGGCGAATTATAACTCACGAACTATAATTCCAAGACCGTTAGTTCCATATCTCAAAGTATTATGATCCAGAATTCGGTTCACTCACACTCTTTTGTGGGTCGTCAGAAGTATTTGACTGCGTGTCGACTACCTCTGTATCCTCGAGTTCATTCACATCCTTATCTGCATTAGCAACAAAATATGGCAAAACAATCGTCCCAGTGATAGGAGCAATAGGTCTCACCGAGCGCACAACATATTTCTTATCACTTAAATCGTATGAGGTCGTTATAATCGGAGCGGCGAGTGTGAGGCCAAAGAACAGCATAATAAAGAAGAAAATGGGCTGCATGTCTGCGGGTTAGGGTACCTGTGACTTGTTAGTAATACCAAAGAGAAGGTCGTAAAGTTTTCGATGAGTTGTAAATATGATTAATTTGAAGAGGATGCATTGCCTTTAAATATTCATGTCTGCTATAGTACAATAAAAACAATAAAAATTTACCCCTTAGCGTGGCTTGTATTCATATCTAAGGTAGGCGAATAGAACCGTTGGATAAACGCCGTCAGGCTTTGGCTTACACATATTTGAGCGTTAAGGAGTATCTTCACACTGAAATGCCAGAACTGGCATTTTCAGCCCTATGCTTGAAAAATAAGCATAGTATAGACGCCCTTGAAGCATTCTTCAAAACCTAATACTGGACGAGCATTCCAACGTCTGCTAATAATTCCATCGAAGTACTATCAGGTGATATAAATGGCTACATTCCTGACCCATTTAAGATGGAAATAAAAAGCGATTTGACCAATCCTACTCCGTACTCAGCTTCTACATACTTGGCCGTTATACAGGACGTTGAACCCCGGATTCTGGGAATTCGCCCAAGATAAATATCTTGCTAGCTTCCAGATATCATTAAGCAACAAAGCCGCCATATCCAATTTGAGATAGTTATCTTTTGGAAAGGACAAAAGCGACAGCCCACAGGAAAAGTATCGTAAAACATGGTCTAATGTTGGGCCAGAGAAGCAATAGTACTAAGAGGATCTAACATAGCTTAGAAAATGCCCGGTGGTGGCGCCTTGCAGGAATTTCATTCGTGCCAGAGCAACTGAGGGATTTTTTTCTTTTTGAATTTCTGAGTATAATGAGTGTTAGTGGGTGACTATGACGACAGTTGCAATGACCCCTGGATGATCTATCAGCATTGATAGTATTTGGGGGAAAAGAACTCCTCAAGCTTGTTTGCCAGTCCCTAGCTGATTTTGTACCCACTTGCGTCAGCACCGTAACAAGAGACCAGGAAAACAGGCCTCCAGTAGGGATCGCCAATGGCTCCGAGACAAACCTGAGTCCACCACGTCTCATGGGACGCCGAGCGACGTATACTTGTTTCAAATCAAACCCATTTGTCGAAGCCAATTTATCCGCCTGCTCGTCGACCATTTCAGGGCATAGATCTCTCACCCTCTTGAGAATGTCCTCAGTTGAAGCATCGTCGATATCCTCAGACCTGTCGAGTGTTAGCGTCACTCCAACCCCAGGGACTAACTCAAAGCACACCAGTTATTAGGCTCTTTCGTGCCTCCTATAACAGTCCCACCACCGAGAGGCCGGGGTATGATGACGGTAGAGGAACCATCACTCCAATGATGACTGATAGTTTTACCACAGTGATTCGAGACGATGATGAACTGGCCCCGCGAGGGGAAAGAGTCGGGATCATCAAACCCCCTTCCACTTGCATCGATAACAGCCGAAATATTATCGCTGTCGTCCCGGGACTTATTCTCCAGGTAGACAGACACAGCCTGTCCCAGCTCTGTCAAGTTCGCTCGAATGAAGCGAGCCCCCTGCACCTCTGCCCGCGTCTGTAACCACCTCAAATAAACCGGCGAGTTCAGGACCCAGCTCCGGTAGGTAACGCCTAGTTGGATTGATGGATATTGAGAGGGGTATTCCGTAGGGTCGAGAATACGAAAGTCGGGCCATGTGGTGTAGCCATTTTCTTCTGCCAGGAACGAGGCTGCGTCAGCAGTATCAAAATATTCAACAGCAGGAATAAAATCCACGCCTGCTTCCGGGTAATTTCTCGCGATCTCCTCGAATTCTTGGTAGGTTTGTCGCATGTAGGTCTGTTCTATTCGTTCCTCGTCTGTTTTTGCGGGGGTGGGGCGGAAGTGTGCCCCTGCCCATGGGGAGGCGTAGTCAATGCCAACGTCTCCGGGTAACTCTCTCGCGATGACGGTGACTCTCATGTGTTTGGATATTTTGACTGCAGCGCTGAGACCGAGAACGCCAGCTCTGTTGAATTGCTGTTAATAGACGGATCAAAGAGGGTAGACTTGGCTCTCACCCGACGATGATAACATGGCCTTGACCCATGTTGACGATTGTTCCTTGTCTGTACTTCCCGGCTATAATGGGGGGCTATTAATTTGAACCTGAGTTATAATTGTTCAACGAATTGAGCATCAAGTGAGTCATCTAAATCCTCCCGGCAGGGGGCCATCGAGAAGGCACACCGAACAGTCCATATTGGGGAATTGTGGCTGTTGACTCATAATAAAATCAAGGTCACGAGTGATTGGATATTACACATGTATATCGTAAACTACCTAGGCATTGTTGCATTGGTGTACTCCGTACATCAACAGGGGTGTTCTGTTATCAACCGTGTAATGATACTCGGGTGGATTTGGCCCAGAAGCTGTGCGACGTAGCTTAAAAAGTTCAAACAAATTACGATGGAAATAAATTAACGACATATTAGCGCAAAGAGGAGTATTGCGACAGTAGATTCAGTCTCTTCTCTACAATATGTAGTTGTAGTAACTTCTCAGAGAAATTGCGTTTAGCCTGACCCCACATAAAAGCGGTGAGGACTAATGTTTCTTGCCAAACCCACTCAAGCTTTGCCTTTTTGCTCCACAGCTACGCCCAGATACGGTCGTAACTAGACGGACAGAAAGACAGCCGGACGCTGTAGACGGCGGGGAAATGGATGATGTAGATGAGACTACAGCCCTCCTAGGGTTCACCAAGATCAAGTATACTGTCGGTACACCGGACACTCTTGACAGTTTGTCAGACTCACCCGGTGACAGCAGCGACGAGGCGCAGGAAAAGCCCCTGCCTAAGCTGCAGATTTTGTTACTTTGCTATGCCCGTGCAGTGGAGCCTCTGGCCTTTTTCTCCATCTTCCCCTATATCAGTCAAATGGTGCAGGACAATGGGAACGTGCCAGACTCGGATATCGGCTTCTACAGCGGACTCATCGAGTCAATGTTCTCCCTGACGCAGGCCATTGTTATGATATTATGGGGCCTAGCAGCCGATCGTATGGGCCGTAGGCCGGTCTTGGTCTTCTCCTTGTTCGGTGTGACTGTGGCGACAGGCCTCTTTGGCCTGGCCAAGACCATACCACAGATGGTCATGTTTAGGTGTCTTGCTGGAGTCTTTGCTGGGACCATTGTCACCATCCGCACGATGATAGCCGAGCACAGCACACCCAGTACCCAGGCCCGGGCGTTCAGCTGGTTCGCCTTTAGCGGGAACCTAGGCATCTTCGTAGGGCCTTTATTGGGCGGTGCACTTGCTAACCCGGTACAACAATACCCTGGTATTTTCGGGGGTATCGGCTTCTTCGAAAAATATCCCTACGCGCTCTCGAGCTTAGTAGTCGCATTGGTGGGAGCCACCGCTGCCGTGTCTAGCGCCTTGTTTGTCGAAGAGACGTTGAAGAAGGAGCCGGTTGTGGTGGATCATGATGGCGAAGAGGTGGCATATGATGCGCCAGCCCAGAATGGTGACCTATCGACATGGCAGCTTCTCAGATCACCAGGGGTTGGTATGGTCCTATACGCGTACGGGCATATCATGATCCTTGCCTTTGCGTACACGGCCATTATTCCAGTCTTTTGGTTCACTCCCGTACATCTCGGGGGGTATAGTTTCACGACTCTGCAAATTTCGTTGATGATGGGTCTAAATGGTGCCGCACAGGCTACATGGCTCCTCCTAGTGTTTCCCCCTTTGCAGAAGAGGATAGGGTCGAATGGAGTGATCCGCCTCTGCGCTTTTATCTTTCCATTATTCTTCCTATGTTGCCCTCTTGGCAATGTACTTCTTCGCATGGGCACAGATGGATCCGTTAAAGCCTTTTGGATTCTCTTGCCGACTGGGCTGGCCATTGGCTGTGGAGTCAGCATGAGCTACACGGCGATTCAGCTCGCCCTGAACGACGTCGCACCCTCGCCGAGGGTACTGGGCACGCTGAATGCGCTGGCGCTGACTGGTACTAGTACTCTGAGAGCGTTCTGCCCGGCTCTCTTCACTAGCCTCTTCGCCATGGGGGCGAGGACACAGCTGGCTGGAGGCCATGCCATCTGGATACTCATGCTTGTGCTTGCTTCGGGCTTATCGGTTACAACAAAATTTCTCCCAGAGCCCAAGGTCATCGGCAAGCGCCGGAACAGCCAAACCAGGTGATGATGTTCCGATTAGCTGAATTCACAGCACAATCAAGATTGTTCAAGAGCTCTTTTTTTTGGAAGAGAGCTACATTGGGCGATGCTGCACAAATTTTACAATTTTATCTGGGATTCGTTTCATGTGGTAAGTACAATTGCTGCACATTACATGGGTCTATGTCAATAAGAAAGAGTGTGCCCAGCCATATTTGAGTGACTGAATATATTTCATTTTTCAACTTTTACTTCTCGGGAATGGTTCAAGCCTATCATCTAGCCAAAATTGAATTTTCTTTCTGCATCATACACTCAGCACTCCCCTCTAATACTACCAGCTAATTCCTCCGTTTGTAAGTGTCTATCAGAGGTGCAGAGAAAAATCGACATTATAATTTCATATCCTTACTGATAGAGCCGACCTATCGGATATCATTCACAATTACCTAGACCCCTTGAAGCAGGGACCTCATGACCTGAGCTGACGGCTCTTTTGTTAGATAGATCCTCGTCACCCATGTTGATCATCGTCGATCATGACCTACAGAATGCTAAACAATGTCTTTCTTCCAGAATGCAGGGGCAAGGAATCTAGCCTGATGACAGTACTATCGCTACAAATTCCCTGCTATGCATTCACTTCAATTCGGGAATCCATTCTGTATCAGCCCTACCAATCTACTCGGCGCCTCTTATACGCCAACGTCGTAACGCCAAAAGCCACAATGCCGATATCCGAGAAAGTAACGGTGGTAGATTTCGACGGTTAGATCATCCCAAGACTGGCTCCAACGCGAAAATGGACCCACATGCCCTTATCATCACCCACCACAGCACCAGCAGTCACTACCTGTGAGTTTTAATTAATCTTTCAATAGACAAGCTTAGTCCAAGCCTAACAACCTACCAGGTTGGTGCAAGTATAGTGGGTGATGTGTTTCGTAAAGATGAGCGCGGACTACCAGTCGCTCTGGTCAGTCTCGGGCGGCTAGCACTGGGAGTATAATGGCGTGAGGAAGCCTGAGTTCCGACTGCCAATTATGGTTCCTGCTTCGCTACTGGTTCCTGTTGGATTGGTAATTTACGGCTGGAGTGTAGAGTACCAGACTCATTGGATTGTGCTAGATATCGGTATTGCACTCCGGTTCATGGGGGCAACTATATCTTCCAGTGTTGCAGCCAGTATCTACTAAGTGCATTCCCTGTCTATGCTGCTAGTGTCAATGGGGGTGTTGATGTTGTGCGAGGATTCATAGCCTTTGGGTTCCCATTATCCAGCCCGGTGATGTATGTGAGACTTGGCTATGTATAGGGGAACATCGTATTGGTATTATTGGAATTGGTTATTAGATGTCCTATTTCTTTCATCCTATGGAAGTATTGAGAGAGACTGAGAGCTGTGAGCAATTTTGCATATCAAATTAAATAAATCGCTTGATATTCACTATAGAATAAATCATGAATTATAACAAAGATTTCATATGTCCTCATTCTCCATTCTCATTCATCCGCACAATCTCTCTCATCATATCATAGCAAACCCTTTCACCAACATAACTATCCTGCTGATAATCCTCATGCGAGCGCACAAACTCCCTCATCCAAGTCGCCGGTGTAGGATTCTCACCACTGGCTCGATCACTAATCAACTCTAAATACGGAGCAATCTTCTCCTGCTCTGTCGCCGCCATCTTGCTCTGATTCAGGTAGTACCGCACAATAGCAACCAACCCAGGGAACCCATTTGGATCAGACTCCCCATTGAAGATCTCATCAGCAGACATAAGCGCAATTTCCTCTTTCTTGTTCCCATTCCCCTCCTTCTCCTCACCCAACAGATCAGGGGCCTTATCCTTACACAGCGATATTTGTCCCTCAACCAAGTTCGAACACCCCAACCATCCAAGCCTCCGGAACCACATCTTCCCGCCACAAACAGCTTTCCGCTCCTTTGCAAAACCCATCGACTCGCCAACCTTGTCAATGGGGATATAGAAATTCAGATGCATAGTGACTATAGCTCTGGAGAGCAGATATGCGAAGATGGCAAACGCCGCATTCGCCTTATCCGTGAGCTGGGACTCCATTGTGCGGAACTCAACACACCACCCTGGGCCTGTGTCTGTAATTGGGAGCTTAAAGCGGACTGCGTGCCAGACAAAGCTTTGGAGGAGCTCGAACAGTTTCGTGTTTGAGGCATTGAGGTTGTTTGTGTCTTCTTCTGTTAGCACGAGCGGGTCGCGCGAGAGGATGGAGGCGAAGTGTGTTGCTAGGGAATCGTCCATGACGCCGTCCAGCAAACGTTGTTTGATTTCTTGATTCATTGGTTGCAGTGGTGAATCGCTCTCGAGACCCGGGGGCTTTTCTTCGGAGAGGTATGTGCGGTTCCAGGTCCAGCGTGGGGGCTGTGAAGGTTCGTTAGTGAGATTGCTTTTGTTGTGAGGGTTGACAGTTCAACATACGATAGTTTCCATCTCTTCTGGTCGACGGTCGTCTACTAAATCTCCAAATCGCTGCCACCGGATATCCGTGTCAACGAGGTATCCCTTCCAGATTGGGACTGCGGCGGTCATAGCGAGGAATATTGGCGCGAGAGGTATTAGCTGGTCGTGTAGCCAACGGGCTTCTGATTCATTTTGTGCTTGGAAGGTTGTTTGGAGGCTGCAGCAGCCGATTCCGGTCTCAAGGTCATCTAAGCAGAGGTGGTTTCTGACTTTCTCTCCTGAGGGTAAGATATCGTGGAATGAATTCGATGTCTCGGTGTCTTGATAGATTGGGTAATGTGTTTTCTTGTTACTGTGTCTTCGGCTGAGGATATTCTCTGGGACGATTCTATATCGCGGAAGAGAGCATACGGAGTGATTTGTCTGGGTTCGACCTTGGGGAGTTGTCCATTGACCATCCACTCCAGCCCGAGGAAAGAAGGATAGTGACATGGTATGCTGGTTTGGTGAAAGTATGCGATTGATGACTTGTCGTCTGATGAAGGTTATTATATTGTTCTCCAATAATTGAGAATTACTTACCTTCTCTTCATATTTTGCTGGACGCTCAGGAGATCCTCGATGCTCCCCGTGTATGGTTTTGCGGGAGTTGTCTCAACCACATACTTGGCCCATTCCCATTGGAGAACAATCCTACTTAAGAGTTAGATGAAGTTACCTTAGTGATGGTGATATACTGACGGTTCTTCTTTGCTGGCCGGACTTTCTTGCCATTGGCGGATTACCTTCTCCTGATCTAGTAGCAATGTCGCCCGCTCAGAACTTGAGTTCAAATCAACTAGGTTGTATTCGATCTTTGCAATGGATTAGCTCATTCTTTTTTTTCAAACTCTAGATTGATACACACCTCATCACCCCACGAAGCGATATTGTCATTACGATGCCGCTGTTTATGCCAAAGGCAAAGCAATTGCTACCATGCCCGTCAGCAACGAACCAACGGCAATTAAGAAGCAAAACAAACCTCAGTTGCCCATCGCTGAATATTTGGTGCAGCCTGTTCAGTCTCTGGCCAGCCTATTGACGGTCCATCCACGCTGTGTACGGTTAGATATCGCCGTTGCGTGGAATTATGAGTAAATGTACATACGGTAACCCCATATTTGATATGATTTCGAATCAGCTATGGATTTTGATAGTAAAGATTGGATACTGCGGTAACTAGATACGATATACCAGAGATCTAAACGTACTTATAACTACTCAAATTTCCATGTTGACCGCGACGTCATTTTCAAGGGTCTCTGCGCCGATCTACAGGCTATTGGCGATCGTCTGTTTCAGTCCGCAGAATTCTCTTAGCTTGTTTCTTTTCAATATACATACACTTCACGCCCAGGAAAACACGCTTGGCAGAGTCATGTTCTCAGCCCTAACCTTGATATGACGACGTCATATGACGCGGCACGTTGTAAGGATGCAGGGGGGGAACCTGTATTTTTTTATTCAAGCTAATAATTGAATTATCGAAGCCCGCCAATTGAAAGATGAAGATATAATGATATTCATCCTGGTGGGTGGGACATATAGAACTTGGAGCTCGTAAACTAGCGGGGTTACATAATGCCGAGAGGGGGAAAGAATGAGGTACCGCAACATCACTAGTAGAAAATACTAGATTTCACGTCTCACATGGAAAATCTACGATTTTTCAGATAATATAATGCATTTAGTATCGTCAGCAAGCGTCTCTGTGTTACTTCGGTTTGCAAGCCTCCCAAATATCAGGTATAGGATCGCGTAATCTTCTATATACAGCAGCCTCCATGCTTTTATCTGAACCTCATTGCTCGTTGCTGTATAGCAATCGTGCGAAGCCCACCAATTACTGATTTCTGGTGGCCTGCACCGGATAGTAAGTTGTAAGGATTAGATACCTTTTGTATATAAACTCCATACAAAAGGTACATGAGCATAACATCGATTTTTCTCAACTGTCAAAATAGCTTCAAAAAAATAAAAGAATACTGATTCAATCCAGTCTTTTTAACTGATATAGCACAAAAATTAATTTTAAATATGATATAAAAGAGTAAGGAGCACATCCAGAGGCACAACATAAATATCGTATATAAAAGCTCATTCTTGATAACTATTACTAAAGTTAATACTACAAAATCAAGACTTTCTTTGACCTACATACATAGTCCTATGTCCCCAAAAGCTATTTGGAGGGTTGAGAAAATCGAGGCTGTGACTAACTATGTTGTCTATTAAAAAAAGTAATTTTTTGTAGTAATTTTTGTAGTAGTTTTTACAGCAGTAGTGGTACTAGTGAGATATATATACTATGTGTATACTTCACATTCTATCACAATTGTATAAAATAAAATTCTATATAAAATCGTTACTAATTGTTCTGCCTCTCTATTAGGGACCGCGTTTTCCAGGTCTATCGGGATTAGAGATCTGATACACTTGCTAATCGTGCAACTGGTATACAGCGCTCTCGGTGTACTCCTACCCCGGGCCTAGTTTGCCGCGATAATTGACTTGAAAAGGGACCGGTTGACGTATGGCGGCTTTCATTCCATCCGAGAACCAATTGAGTCATCCCGAGGTCCATGCTGTTGTAATATTCTGTTCCATAAATCCATCAATGCTGTTGCACCATGGCCAGGCATCTATTTTCTTGGCATCAAGGACCTTGAGAGGACTTTGGCAGTTATCCACAGGGTTTACTGATGCGATATAGTTTTTCATCCTTTTTAATTCTCCAATTCCGACAACCAAAACTGTCCATACGCAAACCAACAATGAGTTTAGAACTAAAGCTTTAGGATCTTACGTAGAGTCGAGTCTAAGTTTCTACTTTGTCCAAATCAGGCGTCGGAGGTTCAAGTCACCATCATCTTGTAAAATGAAACCCCTCCACAAACTCCTTACCACTCCGTAAATCAGATATCTCAAGCATCAAATACAAATATCAAATACAAATATCAAATATCAAATACCAGACACCAAACATTAAACACCAAACACTCATCATGCCATCCTCTTCACTCTATCGGATTTCACCTACTAAGCAGGCAACACATCACAACCTGATGGACATGGTGATGGGCGACGAGAAGTCATCATTTTCACTCCACCGAGGCTCGCCTACTAAACATGCAACACCTCACAAACGGACGGATATGGTGCTAGGTGGCGAAAAGACTGAAATTGAAATGAAGCTAGAAAGAGATGGAAATATCAACGCTCTCCAGCGATATCGATACCTGACATGGAGCAAAAATGCCGTACATCCTGAAGTCTCGTACGAACTTCTTGACACAGAAGAAAACCTCCGAGAAGTTGTTCAAGAAGAGATATCCATCAAAGAAGGAACTGCTGCGCCGGGAACCAATGCTCAAGAAAGATTCCGTGTCTTAAACACGAAATATTGGCTCTTGTTCAGAGGTGGTGGTACTGTCGTTCCGATCTGGAAGATCTTCAATTGAGAGGCTTTAACCTTTGGCGATCACATCCCCAGTGGTATATGCATCGTATGCTCGTCGAGGAATGTGCCGGTCGACAACGATGCTGCGCTCGTGGATGTGGCTGCTGTATTAACCGTTTAATGCTTCCATCCCGGAGTCTTGGTATTGGACACTGTACACTCGAATGTGCGTGTTGTCGGAGAGCGAGGGGTTTTGAAGTTTCTCCCACCGATAAGAAATTATTGAAGAAACAATTCAAGAACACTGTCCAGGAGCGGGGCTACCGTATAACCAGATACCGCCAAGTTTCGATTTGGGGCCTTGTTGGTGATAGCAGGGAGGATCCGTTTGACATGATTGATGCGCCGCCGAGCTACGATCAGATTGAAAATAAAGGCGTGAAGGGACTGCTTGACTGGGTCCAAACCAAGTTTTGAGGTTAAAAACTTGAGTTGTTATTATTATCATAGCCGCCATTGTGGCTATTGTGGTTATCTTTATTTCCCTTGGGACTCTTTTGCTTTAATATCAACCGAGAATTGAGAAATCAAAGGCTTTCGGCCGTTTCACACACTATGTGCATTACTTCCTCTGTAGAAGCCTTGGTGTTGAGGAAGTCAGTCACTTCCTCAGAGTTCAGATGTAAAGACAGAGAGGGCCCTCGAAGAAGTTTGCTGCTACTGAAGCGTTTGCTAGTTTCAGAAATAAACTATTTTCGGGATCCAAAGTCACTCATGGGACTCTGATCGGTGGCTTGATATTAAGCTTGGCTGCAAGCTCAGCAAATACAGGATGTCCTGGAGCATAGAGGAGTCGGTTCCCGTAAAAATTAACAGTAATACCAACAAATTCAGGATTAAAAAGTGCCGTGATGCCGACATCGAGGCATGATTGCCTGAATTGTGAGTGCGAGGGTTGGAGGTGGCATATGATCGAAATGAGCGGGGCTTGAATAAGAATGCATATCAGGCACAATATTGGGAGGTTGTTAAGTGCCACAATAGGAAATCCATTCTTTAACTTGCTTATATTAAGATTGGAGCAAATTATCTGCTTAGTACTGGAGTACAGTAATCTGAATTTCAGTTTGTGGTTCATGAACGGGAGACATGAGACGGGGATAGGGCTACGGGCCTGTACCTTTGCTGAGCCAACCCAAAATCTCGTATACAGCCCACCTAATTTAGCCGCAGAGGAAATTTCTTTTTCTCCTAGGCTTGGAGTTTACATAGCGAGAGAATGGTGGTCGCTCGGACAATAAAGCATCAGCAGTGGTAAGTTGGGATCGGCAGGGACTAGTTGGTCTAAGTTGGACATTGGTCTGATATAGCCAAATTATATCCAAGAAAAAACACAGCGCTCATTATAAAATATTTGAACCCACACATGACCATCTAGTTGAAGGCTAATACATAATTTACTTACAATGAGAGAAATATCACCTACCGCCAAGGTGAGAACCTTTGGGGCACCAAGACTTCCTCTTTCCTTGGCCTCGAAAACACTAGTACATATTTCAGCGGAGTAGCAGGTATAAAGTCAGGTACCCTGTGCGGCTGATTCCCAATTTGAAAGTATTTGCCAGGATTTCACTCTGAACAGTCCTGAAATTGTCCCACCAAAATGAGATTCTCTATCTATTCCATTGCAGTCATGACTTCAGTGTCCGGGGTCCTGGCTCAAGATCCAGGTCCATCTCCTACTGCTTCAATGGGCTGTGAGCCACACGGAGACCATTGGTACATTCTATCCCGTCGTATTTTGTGTCTATTACTCGAAGCCATCTAATAAAACTCTTTCTATACAGGCACTGTGACGGCCCAGCCTCATCAGCTGTCTTCTCGGTTACATCCACGGCAAACGAGATAGAAGTAGGCGCAACTACTATTCATACTTCTCCCACACTACCTAGTCCTACCGAGTCTGTTGGCTGCGAGCCACATGGAGACCATTGGTACGTTCTACCCTACCGTATGTTGTGTCTATTACTCGAAGCTGCTTAGTAACCCTCTTTCTATACAGGCACTGTGACGGCCCAGCTTCATCAGCTGCCTCCTCAGTTACATCAACAGCAAACAAAGTCGAAGTGAGCACCACCATTACTCATGCTTCTCCCACAATGCCTAGTCCTACCGAGTCTGTTGGCTGCGAGCCGCATAATGACCACTGGCACTGCGATGGACCGGCTGAGACGACTAGTGCATCTGCGAGTGCATCTGCGAGTGTTTCTACAAATTCTGGAGACCAGGAAGGCAGTGTTGGAGCAAACGGCGTCCAGCTTTTCCTGCTTGTTGGATTGTCGCTTCTCGCTGCTAGCGTGAATGTTTAATTGCCGATGATCTGGCGGCAAGAGAGAGAGAGAGAGAGGGGGGGGGTGGGTGTCTGTGTGTGTGTCTATGCGCATACGTTGCTATATCATCGACGGCCTCGAGCCATAGGGATCTCAATCTGTAGTGTATTGTTCCATTCAAATTCATGAAGATATTCTGATTTCCATTTTGGGATAGGGGCAAATCCTGTACTTGGGGTATCCTGTAAGAGCTAGGTAATCCACCTGAACCAAAAGCCATTGGGGGCATCGCTCTCTAGGATATGTCTGATTTTGAAACTGGATCCTGCTGATATAAGAATGCTCGCGAGCATAGCACCCAACTGCGGTGATTAAATAAAATTTAAATAGAGATTCTAACGTTGTTAGTATTATAATAAGGGCTCTTAATATGTATGTACAGAATAAAAAGCAATGTAGACGGCGCAAAACGAACGGTAACTCATGAGACAAAAAGAAAAGATGGAAAGCTAGACAGCATGAAACCTAGGGGCAGACGACTCTACACTAACGGTATGCTACTGCAGAGTAGTATACCGCTAGGATCCATGCTGTCCAGCTTTCCGTATGGAAAATCATAATGGTGAATCTTATACCAACTTGGAAGAATATCTAGACTGCCGGCCAATAAAGGATCTACATGCCTATTGCCCCATATGTTGACTTTTTCAATCTCATCTTTGCTCTAAGGCTACTGGGTACATACCTATGTGCATCCATCTCATAGAGCCATATGGTTTAACCAGGCTGGAGGATTTACCCTTGAGAGCTCTTAGGCTACTTCAGGAAGTGAAAAATTATTTTCGAACAATCGAGAGGATATACTACTCCCTTCAGGAGAATAGGAAGTTTCCTATGACAAGTGAGCAAGTTTCTGATTTCGGGGTCGCCGCTCTGGTACAACTTCACAACCCGTTACAAGCTATTTCCTACCGCAGATGGATTTTCCAGATGCCGTGGATTCTCCAAACCTGGCAAATTCGCCCTTTGCGGAATTTGGAAGTTGGTCTGAACGGCTACCCGTATCCCTTGACTCTTGAATTATTCCAGACGGGTCTGTTTTCAGAGGTTATGATCTGGGAATACAGAGTAAAAACAGCTTAAAATATCTAAAACGACCTTTGACTCGTGATTATGATGAAAACCACTACGAATGCTCCCCTAGTACCCACCCATCACCAAAAATTTATCTCTTGGGACCTCAACAAGCGCTGGTAAGATTAGGACTATGCGGTTCAATATATCTCGCATAGCAAAAGGGCGAATCTTGGGAAGTTGGATTAGGTCGGACTATAAGAGAAGACTAAAAGGTAATGCATATGGATCAACAGAAAGCGCTAGAGTGCACGAAAGTGCACTCCCCGGTTAAGAAAGTATTTTAATTGGTAATCTAGCATGTTAAGCATCAGGATTTATATGGTGCGCTTTTTGGGAGAATTTATTTCAGTTTGATACTATTCCATATTTGATCCATATATTGGGTTCGAGTTAGGCTCTTTTAATCCCCATTATAATAACTGATCTTGCGACATTAACTCTACAGCCTACGTCCATACGAGACTGATACATAGATCATCGATTGTAACATGAGCAATATATGACCAGATAACATAAATTGAAATAAAGTAATGTCATAACAGATGACCCAAAACTATCACTACGTACTATCGAAAGAGTTGCTTGGATGAAGTCTGATGATTTCTTTTCTTCGCTACGTAGGATACTGAATACAGAACGAGTGTGGGGAGAGCCAAGATGGGTATGTATAGCCAGGTTGAGGAAGATGCAAGCAAGACGGAAAATGAAAGATGCGATTGGGTTCTCTCCCCAAGAGGAGAAGGCAAACGACAAAAAGGACAGTCGGAAAAGAAGAGAAACAGAAATGGACTTAGCCTCCTTGATGTTCCAGCCCTAGATCCTATGCTAATCCAGTCAGAGAATGAGAAATTGAAAGTTGGTTTGGTTGGCTTGTAAAAAAACGACGGGTTCGTGAGTAGTGGGTTACATTTAACAAAGAACAAGACCAAGAATCCAGAACAGGAGAGGGAATAAATCCTGCATTGCGCGCTGCAAGAGGGGAAGAGGTAGAGAGATCCAGGTACAGTAGAGGCAGAGTAGAGGTAACAGCAACAGACTCTCTATTCCTGTCCAAAGCCAAGCGTTTCCTCCACCGCGATAGACATTTTGTGCTCGAGGGCATCGTGCGTCTTGTAAGGAGGGAGATCAAGACGGTTGAAGCTGTGGGGAAAACGAGGTTAGCTATGATAAGCCAGATACAAGAATCAGCGTCGAATACATACCAAGTATGCGACTTAGGCAGCGCAGAAGGATCGCCAGACTTCTCAATGGTAAACCGTCTGGGACCATCAGAACCCTGCAGATCCTTGAATCCGTTAACAGGGATACGCGAGGTACCAGTAGTGAACTGAAGAAGACGAGACTTCTGCTCAGCATCCCAGGTGCGAACGATCTTCCAGAAGTTCTGGATAACCTCGTCCTGCTCCTGGTAACCGCGATAGTCGGTGTGCTTCTTCCAATCTTCCACATCGATATCGGCGATACCACCGATGAGCAACTCGAGTTCGCGCTCGTCGAAGACGTTGACGAGATCAGGAGGGATAAGCTCGTTGAAGCCAGACATGAAAGCATCGAACTGCTCCTCAACTCGCTTCATGATCTTCCATTCCGTAACCAACCTGCAATGCGGTTAGCGGGGTTTCATCGAGCTGGAGGTTCAGCTGGTTCTACTCACTCAATGTACTGAGGCTTGTTCTCGTTGGTGACGGGAATATCCCGTCCACCGGGTATCAAATCAATAGTGCGACGCTCGCCAAACTTCTCATCGTCAACCGAAAACGTGAGTTCCACAATTCCGTCAATGTCATTATCCCTGCCACGGTGTTAGTGATAATTCCTCAAAATGAGACTGTACGTATCAAACTTACAGTGTCCATGCCAAATTGCGGTGCAGATCCTCATCCACACCTTCCATATCTTGAAGACTGACCTTCTTCCGCAACATCATCTTGTAGAAAGCTCCAATAAAGAAGGAATCCAGGAAACGACGGTGGAAGATAGCCAGACCAACCACTCGGCCGATGAACTTGAAGTAATTGAGATGCTCGGGGTTCACGCCCGAGTGGGGATTAATCTGCAAGGTATAATTATCGTGGGCAGAGTATTCGAAGAGACAGTAGAAGGGATTGAACATTTCGTGAGAGAGGAGGAAGAAGAATTCACTGAGAGAGTTAGCAAGCTTTGATGAAAAGAGAAAGGGACAATGGAACATACCGTGAAAGACCACCGTAGTCGAGACCATCTTCACCATCGAACTTGATCATTAGACGCTTCTTAAGATCGGATGCGCTCTGGCGCATGATCTCGGCGTATGAATCCTCGAAGATGTTATTACGACGGACTTTAACGTGGCACTGTCCGGACATAATGCGCAACGCAGGTTGAGACCGGAAGTAGATCAGCTTGCGCCGGAAGTCACGCTTATACTGGGGCACGCCCTGATCCAAAGAGGACGGGAGTCGTGGATCATCCCAAGTAGTGGTCTTCGTGTTGTGGTCAACGAAATATACTCGAGCAGTGTTGGTGAGACGCATCTCCCAGCCGCTGGGGAGAGGACCCAACTGGGATACGGGCTGCTGTTGAATGGTGGTATTATTTGCGCCACCTGTGGTCTGTCCCTGGCCATACATGCGGATGTACTGCTGCCGGCGAGGATCGACCCATGTCGTCGTGCGTGTGTTGTGGTCCACGAAGTAGGGCCGTCCCTCGGGCGTCACTCGTCGTTCCCAGCCTGGTGGAAGCTCCCCTGTGCCTGCAGTGGTGGCTCCCGTTGCCATCATGGAGATCGCGGCGGCGTTGGATCCGGTTGGGGCTCCAGTTGCGAGAGAGGTTCCTGCGTTAGGCCCGGGGGGTGGTGTCGGTATCTGCTGAGGATCTGGCAGGTTGGGTGAATTGGCGCCAGTTCGATCTTCGGGAAGCATTCGGCTCTGGTGGGCGCGACGTTCAAGCTGCATGTTGGCTTCGCGCTGCGAACGCTGAGCATGCTCGTTATAGTTGGCCGCTGGTCGAGACCAGGTTGTGGTGCGCGTATTATGGTCCACATAATATGTCCGTCCCAAATTGTCTTCACGGCGTTCGTATCCGGCAGGGAGTCGACCCTGGCTGTCCTCAAAAGAACTGAGATTGGCACGAGATGGGACGCCGGGTCCAGGGGGATTGGTTGGGGCGCCATTGATCGGGGGAGGAGCACCAGCCGGTGGACCAGTGGTCGGAGTGCGCTGGCTCAACGATGAACTTGATACGGGGGCAGGGGAGGTATCGACATTGCTCGGTCCGGCCTGTGTTTGAGGTGTTGGTGCTGCAACCTGGGGCACAAGACCGCTGGAAGTTGATGTCTGGGCCTGTTGGCGCTGGAGTCCATTCTGGTTCGGATGCGGGGTGGCAAGGTTTGACGATAGGTTGATGATCAATTTTCCGTGGACCACAAGGTTATCATTCGATTTTTTCAGGTCCCGAGTAAGCATTTCTGTGGGGGGGCACATGTCAGTCCACGTCCCTATGACTCGCGATCGACGTTCTTCGGACGTACCATCACCGCCCATCGACAAATCAATGACATCGCCGATGCGAACATTGATGACTCCAAGGAACCCTTGATCCTTCTTTTTGAATTTCTTCTGGTCGAAGATCTGGATCGCAAGAATGCTGTCTTCGTTGACTCTCCTGTAAAGATTGGCCCAGGGTTAACGAGGTTTCAACATTTTCCCTGATAGCGGAGAGTGTATCACGTACAAATCGAATGGCTCATTCCAGTAGGGATTCAGAGTCTTCTTGATCACAGAAGTTGTATGCGTTTGCTCTCCTCCAACTGTGGCCACGGCGAATGGATCGGGGAATCCTAGAAAGAGGTGGTCAGTTCAACCCCGCAGCACTCGATCGACCGATCTCAAAGAGACAACGTACGGAAGACATCGCGTTTGTAC